GTACAGGTTATAAACCCTCGTTTCATAATGAAATGGATCGCCGCTCGATCGTGTGAGATCCACGCGAACTTCACTCTAACGGTGGCAGAATGCACGGCACCATTTATCACGAGTATCACCGTGCACAATGGCCATCGAATCTCTAATTTCGGGTGCATTTGCTTGGGCGAAAAAGAAAATTCCTCGAATTAGTTTTCTGGATTTTCGTGCGTCTGGTTTGCTGAAAATGATCGAGAACTCAGTCGAGCTGGGAAGAAACGTCCTCCAACTTACATTTGAGAGGCTGGAAAGATCCTTCGAAATAATATTTTTTTTTTTCCCGAATGCGTATATTTTCCGAGGATAATTCTAGTATCGAGATGGGGAGAGGACAATTTCGAAGAGCAATATAATATAGCGCGAAAATCAAATTGCGAGGCGAGCGTCCTAGAAGGTCCCGAACCATAAGCTCCACACACACATACTTGCCATTTATACGCCTCAACCACCCACTATCCCTTGCCACTACGGCGCGTGCAAATTCCAAATTGGACCACCACTCGCTCATCATGATTCCCCTAAACTCTTTTTATTCTCGCACCGATGATGAAGCGCCCTAGGGCTAGGCCAGGCCACGTTTGGTTGTGACCCCAATTGAATGTTCGACTTAGGTAACCTTATTTCTTCGTGTCCCGAGAAGGCGGGACCGTGTTCGATTCCGTTCAATGCCATCCCTCTCTCTTTCTCTCTCTCTCTCTCGTTTTACTCTCGAGGGAAGATGGGTTGCCGAATTGTCCCGTGCCCCCTCCCATCTCATGCCGCTAGGCAGGGGCGAGTGAAAAGAACGGTTCGGGTCGTTAAATCAAACCGTTTTTTTTTTTTGGCAGTCTGGTCCGATTGAAGAGTGTCTTTTCGAAGGAGAAAAAAACGGTTCGCAAGCCGAACAAACCATTTGAAACCGAACGAACCGCGAAAGTGTATACTCTGGCCTATCGACTCGCTTTATCTGATTTTAACATTCATACGTGGAGCAACCTACTTTTTTCCAAATGCGAATTAGGTTTGATTTTCATTTTGCGTGAATTTATGAATTGCGACGAGAGTAGTGTTTGAGTTTTTTACGAAATTCCTAAATACCTGCTGCATTCGCATTAGAGCCGGCTAAAATTCTTTCCGGGTTAGAAAGATTATACTTATGGTGGGCCCCACCGAGGTTGGGGTACTATCCTAAGCTAGAAGCGCATTGAAAAGGTCAATTGTCCTTGACTCTTATTAGCTTAATCAAAAGAGGAAAAGATTACTCTAATTCCGAAAGACATTCTATAACTAGCCCTAGCATTCCGAGATAGAATGGCGTTCTTTGTATTCGACAAGGGGGTGTCGTGGATTATAATATTTTTGCTCTGTACTATAGTCATCATTGTTTGGGGCTTTGATCGCGCGAATCCGTTCGGACCTTGATTGGTGGAAAAAAGCGCTCATATACTGACTTTATAATCAGAACATTGTTTACGAGGGGAATTCAACAAAGCGTCGATACGAATGAGAAACCGCCTAAATTATTCGTACCTAACGCGATTTTGGGACGTGACCGAGGGTCGAGTTTCCATGCCCGCGATTATGAAATGGCTGGCTGCTAGTGGGGTTTGGTACTAATGCCGCCTTTACTTTGATATTGGGGTACCATCTAAACTGCACGAGGGAATGGAATACAAGAAGAAGCTACTTGCATGCTAAGCTCCAAATATATATACGGAAAATGAAAATGCTTGTTTTTTTACTTTATGCAGTGCTTTGCTCGCGCAAAAAGAAAAAAAAAAAAAGGCCTGGTGCACATGTCTAAGTAAAGGTACAATAATCAATCTTTTGCATAGAGGTCAACAAAAAGGACTTATAGTATAAATGTCCCTTCCCTTTTCTTGGCGAAAAATGCGAATTATCTACCACGTAATTTATTTTATTAAGTCTCGATCAAAATTATATTTACAATTTTGATACAGTAACTCGTAGAAATACTATTTCAATCGCTGAAAGATTATGAAAGATTTTCCTATGACCTTAATTGAAATAACTGAAATGTCGGGTTTTATTCCGATTTTTTTCCCGGTCCTTCTTCTACGTCCAAAACAAACCTTTCGTTGTTTCGGCAAAAAAAATAAAGAATTAAACCTTTCGTCGTCGAGATAGAACTGGTGACGCGAATTGGATCCTCGATGTGCATTAAACACGAGACAATATAGCTCCTTCTCTACTTTATATTATTTCAAAATATAGATTGGTTGGTACAAACTTAATCAAATATCAAGCTCTAAAAATCAAAAGTACGAGAAAAAAAGGGTTAAATATCCATTCATGTCTTGTGTCCTCCTGTACACAACAAATTCGATTTATCTGTTAACGGGTGTACTAGTTTAGATGACACGTGATAGTTGACGGGTGTACTAGTTTAGGGTTTTACCTTTCATTTGTTACAAATGTACCGGTTTGTGATTTTTCGTGATAAAAATCCAATTTAACGGAACTAACGGAGGGTAAATTTGTCATAAATGTACAAGTTTGGAGTTTTTGATTGTCAAAAAATTAATTTATAGTAAATTTGTCACAAATATACTCAATTTGGAGTTTTTCGTTTCCAAAAAATTAATTTAGAGTAAATTTGTCATGGGTCTATCAATTTGAGATTTTTCATAGTATTAACCCTTCTTTTCAAGCGTGTCAAATCTTTTCGCGACATTTTGTTTTTTTATATTCGACTATATACGGCACGTGGCGACATTTTTTTTTTGGGCATCTCGTCGCGATGAGAGCGAGGTAACACTGTCGGGTACAACAACGCCTTTGTAAAAAGTAGAATTTGTCTTTCCGTGCTCTTCCCGTTGTTTTTGTTTTCTTCCTTCCGTTTCTTTCCGCTCGTGAAAACTTCAGCTCAGCTGTGCTCGCGACGGAGGTAGTAACCCGACCAATCCAGCGCGCGCCCGGCGTTGGCTCGCGGGACGGCGACGTTTTGTCTACCTTTCGGCCGGTGGACAGTGTACTTCCAAACGTCGCGATGGGCAAAGAGGGAAAAAAAAAAACACGAGCGGGACCCACTCGTTCAAAGGAGGGAGGGAGTTTGACCAAAAAAACAAAAAAAAAAAAAAGAAGAGAGGAGAGGGGGGGTGGGGGCCCCACCTCGAGATCCCGACACGTGGCCCGACAAAGGTGACCGCAGGGAGGGAGGGGTAGCGCTCGACCGTTCTGACACTCCTCTCCGGCACTCGCTACGCTCCGTTAGCTCGGCGGTCACGGCCGCAACCGACACCCTGACGGAGGCTAACGGCGGTTGGCCAGTTGTCTTTTCTCCACACCCCCCCCTCCCCTTTTTCGTCTCGTATCGTCTCGGCAATCCGATATCGGGTCCATCTCGAGATTGAGCTGCCGCTGTCTCGCTCGTGGTGGCTTCACCCGGGCATCGCATCGGTCACGTTCTCACTTTGCACCGCCCTTCTTGGCCTGCAGATACGCATAGTTTTACCGCAACCGCACCTCATGTTTATTATATATTTATTATTTTCTTTACCTGATGAGGGATGCGATTTGGATTTCAAGCCAAAACCAGCATTTCATCTCGATTCTTGCATGTGTCCATATTGCCCCCCTCGTTCTTTCTCGCAGCAGTGACGAATTAGAGGCACCGTCATGTCACGTGACGAGGGTTTTATTATGGTAAAAGTAAATTCCGTACATCTTCTTCGATTGCAGTCTTTATCCCTTAATTTGCATACAGAAATACGATGTCTCGAGGTTCATCTTAGAGTATCGAAAACTCGTTTTGCTAAATATGTTGCCTAAATAACTTTCGTCGTTTCAATTTAGATTTTTAAATGCTCATTATCTTTAAGAAATTCAAGCAGCTTGTCACGTATCTTATAAGAGAAATGTATTAAAAAATCGAGTATTCGGATGGGTTTAGGAATACTTCTTTCTATCGGGTTTTTTTTTTAATTACTTTCGTTAGAAATACCGATTAACTATATATAAAAAAGAAATCGAGTGCAAAGTATTTAGACAGAGCTAAAGTCCTTGGTTCCCTATGAATGACCGAAAAAAAAAAGCAGTTTCCCTGTGCAGAACATTGTCATACATATTACAATCAAAACACAACACAACCTAATCAAGTTGGATTTTCATGCCAAGATTTATCGAACCAATTGAGCCTTCGCACGTAATTATGAGTGCGAAAATACTTGCACGTAATTAGTCCCCGCGAATCGAATAAATCGAGATCTTTAGATATCGAAAGTTGAGATCCACCTTGATTTTATCGGGGACTCGATATTTACCGTGTGAAAACGACCTCAACGCAATTTCTCCCTTTTAAATTTCCCTCCAAATTTCCATAAAACCGGTAAACAAAAAATCTCTCAAAGTACCGCGATATATTGTCGGCGGCATCTCCAACCACCTCGATCTCGCCCCGCGAGAGATCTAACGGCGAGCTGCGCCCCGCTCGCACGGGGAACCTCCTGCACCCCAGCCGCTGCGATCCCTCCACGTTTCACCCCCGGACGCACCGATCGCCGCCACGTCGGCCGCAGTTAAATCTCCCGGGACCCACCAACGCCACCCCTCCCCGCGGCGCGCGGCAACCCCCCGTTCAGAATTGCTGGCATTTATTGGCCACATCCAGGCACCCCCCCGGGCACGTTAAAGGGGTCCCTTAACCACGCCAGGGGGGGAGGAAAACTAACCGCGGTCAAAAGGACCGCCAACCATGGTTGGCGAGCACTCGAGGAATTGTACGGCCCTGTCTCCTCCTTTTCTCTCTCCCTCCCGGTTCACGCGTTTTTAGTTCCGCGCAGAACAAATCCCTCCCCATCTCTCGCTGATATATATAAAATCCCCCCCCCACGCTACACGTGCCGTTACTCGCACTCGCGCTCGCACCCGCCGGCGATCATCTCCGGCGACGCGCGGCGGCGGCGGCGTCGGAATTCTCCCGGTGGGCGATTCGATCCGGCCGCGCTCGCGGAGGGAGGCGCGGGGGGGGAGTGATCGCGCGATTCGGTGCGGTCTCGAGGCCTTCGGTGGGGGACGGCGGGGGGAAGAGCGGGCGCCTCGCCGATTCGGCAAATTGCGATTTTCGGGCAATGTGAATAGAGCCCTTGCCTTTTCTGCGCGGTATCGTCGGATTTGGGGGGTCTGGTTCGAGGCTTTTTTTTTTTTTATGGTGATTCGTTCGTTTTTGTGTCGGTACGGCTGGAGCGGATTTTGTTTCTGAGTTTGTCCTGTTGGGAGTTTCGGATCTCGGAGGATCGCGAGGAGATCAGCGGCGAGTGTTCCAAATCGAGCAAGTCATTCGGCGGGATGCGTTCTTGCGCTTTGTGGATCGGCAATCAGGAAGGGCTTTGTTGCCGTTTCTGGATCCTACATTGAGGTATATCGAGCAGCAAACCCTGCGAGGCAGAGCGCTGTCGACAGCCTGGGAGCCTGGTCGGTGAGAGGGAGAGAGAGTTTTTTTTTGGGGGAGATGGGTGGCGATTCGCGCGCGTGAAGGAGGAGGTCGGATTTTGATCCGACATGTGCAAGGTGGATAGGAGCGAGGTGAAGAGCAATTCGAGGGAGGCGGCAAAGAAGAAGAGAGGGAGGTTGGAGATGGGGTTGAAGGTGTTCGGGGAGGGCAGGGTGGAGAAGCTGAGGAACACCATGCTGCCGCACTCGTCCCGGTCGCGGATGAAGGTGTGGATGATACGCGCCACCACCACGGTGTTGCTGTGGACGTGCGTGGTGCAATTGACGGCCTTGGGAGAGACGTGGGGGCCTAGAGTGCTGTTGGGTTTGCCTTCTTGCCTGTCTCAAGAATCTGCGCTTTTGGATGATAAGGTTTCTGCAATTCCTGCCAGGGTATTGCCGCCCAAGCGTGAGTTTTTCTCTCTGCCTTTTCCCTGCAGTTCCTCTGGAACTATTGATGTTTTCCATGCTGCGCGACCGATTTAGATCAATACATCAGCTGTTCTGGATTGCGCAGCTTTCATTTTTTTTTTGGGGGGGGTGCGGGGGGGGGGGGGTCTTCAATTTGCGCTGCAAAATTTGTTCTTGAGTTGAATGGTTTGATGAATGGATCAGCGCTTTCAAAGCTTCTTGGGTATCTCCAACTAGGCCTGGCGTATTTCAGTTGAAATTTTGTCATGCATTCCCTCGTCCCTTCTAGTGATGCGGTTGATTAGATGTCTGGAATTTCTTTCCTGCAGATATAATCTGGTGTTAGTCTGCAGATTGCTTGATCTGCTTCAAGTCTCATATTTTATCTTAGAATGGGGGACACTGTGCAGACTTTCCCTCTCTCTTGGACCCTTATGGCAATCTCATCTTATTCATTCATCTGTTGCAGATCGTAACTCTTGTTTTGATAGTTCTTCCAGATAATTCTGGTCATTTGGAATTCGATTGGCTTATCAGATATAATTGGGTTTTACTTCTGTTTCGTCACAATTTTTCTGTCACTGAATTTTCGATTTTCTGTCATTATCAACCACTCAGATCCATTCAAAGCATTGTTTTTACAATCATGGATTAAATGGTGGTACTGAATGGGATTTTGATTAATTTTTTGCTTTCAGGGGTTTACAAGAATAACGGTTACTTAATGATATCATGCAACGGAGGACTTAATCAAATGAGAGCAGCGGTAAGTTGTGTCAGCTATGTCCCTTGCATCTGCTTGGAGGAGAGATGGGGGCTCCCCCGTCTCTTATTTTGGTGGCAAACTGCGGAGGTTTGTGTAGGAACCTTATGGTCTGCTAATTCATTCTATCTTACGATATGGCTTTCAGATTTGTGACATGGTCGCCATTGCAAGGCATTTAAATGTTACACTTATAGTGCCTGAGCTGGATAAGGCATCCTTTTGGGCCGATCCCAGGTACGGAGACCGAGATTTATTTTCTCGTGGTGATACTTCGCAATCTCTATAGCTGTACCTATTTCCATTAATCCTGAATTTGTGTTGGCAGTGACTTTCATGACATATTTGATGTCGATCATTTTATCACTTCTTTGAGAGATGAGGTTCGGATTTTGAAAGAGTTGCCTCCCAGGCTCAAGATGAGAGTGGATCAAGGATTGACCTTTCAAATGCCACCGATTAGTTGGTCAGATATTTCTTACTATCAGCACCAGGTTAGTATAGTATTGTTAAAATCACTGTTGTGGCTAGGAAATTCAATTCTTCAACCAGTGTTCTCATTAGCTTTTCAGAGAGATTATTTGGAATCTCAGTCATGTGCATGCACGTACAATGTCCTCCTTCGGATCCCTTGACGGCTTTCTTCGTGGTTGGTGCATGCAGATTCTTCCATTGGTACAGAAATACAAAGTTGTAAAGTTGAACAGAACTGATGCTCGACTTGCTAACAACGGCCAGCCGTTAGAACTTCAGAAGCTACGATGCAGAGTGAATTTCAGAGCCCTCAGATTCACCTCTCAGATTGAAGAGTTGGGTAGAAGGGTTATCCAACTTCTTAGGAAAAATGGTCCTTTCCTAGTACTGCATCTAAGATATGAGATGGACATGTTGGCATTTTCGGGCTGTACGCAAGGTTGCAGTGATGCCGAAACAGATGAATTGACGACGATGAGGTGTGATGTTGCATTGTTTCTGAGTTTTTGTTACCCAAAGTGCCTTGTGTGGAATATTCGAGTCTACTCTATTCGTTTGACCTTCCTCAAATTTTATTTTCTTTGGCAGATATGCTTATCCCTGGTGGAAAGAAAAAAGAATAGATTCTGTCCAGAAAAGGAAAGATGGTTTATGTCCATTAACTCCTGAAGAAACTGCTCTTACTCTGAGGGCCCTGGGAATTGACCACAATATCCAAATCTATATCGCAGCAGGTGAAATATATGGTGGCGAAAGAAGAATGGCGAGTCTTGCCAAGGCTTACCCTAGATTGGTCAGTAATCTGAGCAGAAGATCACTTTGGGCCTTAGTAGTTAGTTATAGTTTGCTTTTCTTTTCTAATATGTTGCTGATCGGCATCTTGAAACAGGTCAGAAAAGAGACACTGCTGGAAGCCTCGGATTTAAGATTTTTTCAAAATCACTCTTCTCAAATGGCTGCCCTAGATTATCTGGTGTCATTGGAGAGTGATATTTTTGTTCCTACCTATGACGGAAACATGGCTAAGGTTGTAGAAGGACATCGCAGGTAGTGTTGTGTTCTGAGGCTATATCTCTGATCTCTATTCAAAGTTTTCCCATTGAGAATTCTTATCTTGGTGTGTACTGCCACCAAATGCTGCTCTCTTTTTGTCGTAAAGAAATATCTTAAGGAGCGGTTCTTCTGCTTACTAAACCAACTTTGTGCTTGAAAACAGTCAAATGCCTCCCCCAGGAGATTGCTTCACCGTGTCTGTGGAAAAACAATGATGCCTTTTCGTTAGACTTTCTTACTATGCACTGTTTATACTGGAAGATTTAGTAATGACAAAGAAACTTCTATGCCGTCACTTCAATCTTAAAAGTCGTTTTTCTGCACAGCTAATCTTGCGGTTATATTTTATATGTCGTGCATATCTTTACGGTTGTATTTCGTATGTCAAAGCATGTCAGCTGATTGCTGTGTTGAGTTTCTGTTTCAGATATCTTGGGTTCAAGAAGACAATTCTGTTGGACAGAAGGCTTTTGGTGGAGCTGATAGACCAGTATAATGCAGGAGCGCTGAGCTGGGATGAGTTCTCATCTACAGTGAAGGAGGCTCATGCAAACCGAATGGGGAATCCGTTGAAGCGTTTGGTCATTCCAGACAGGCCAAAGGAAGAGGATTATTTCTATTCCAACCCTTATGAATGTTTGCAGCCATCAGACAATCCCTTGAGCAGTATATGAGCGGTTAGCACTTGCGATGCTGCCTATTCCTTATATCGTGCTTCTGCGATGCTGTCAATTCTTGGACATATCTTGGATAGTGCCATGGTGCTTGCGAAACGTGCCACTCTGAGGAGATATTGTAAAGATCTAGATAAGGGTCCGGAGTTCGAAAGAAGCCTGAGATGTCTTGTGGAAGCAGGTGGAGGGAAGATTCCATCCTTTATAAGCAAAATAATTGAGATGTATAGAAGCTGCCCCATGAATTACGGGGCGAGATCGCGTCCGTTTGGTCCCTTGTACAAGGAAGTTGCAAATATAGATTTGTTGGGAGTGAAAAAAAAGAAATTCGTGAAAGGTAAATCACACAGTCCTCTCCTCCCGCTCTGTACGTCTTTCTTTAGTTCTTTTGTCCCAGCTTAGGGATCATCCTCTACATAATACTTTCAAAAAAGTTGATTTGTTCATACTCCACTGCAGCTTCTCTGTTTCTCTTTTGCCCACCCAAACTGATGTGAACTAATGTTTAGTGAGGATGGGGAGTGATGGTTGGAATATGCACGCGTGCTTAGAAGCTAAATAATTGTCAACAAGTAGAGTGTAAGTTCAATGAAAGTGGGCCATTTATTGTTACAATAGCCATTAGCCTCTCGTTTTCTATATGACAAAAACTGGGTCGAAGCAGAAATCTGATGTCGTTGGTGGATTTGGCCTTTAGAGTAGAAGTTACGTGGTGACAAGGACATTGCAACCGACCATGTCCCAGTCAACAAAGTAAAGAGATGCTTAGCCAAAGCTTTTGATATGGATGGGAGTTAGAAGGATTCTTTCGTCCCCATGCCATTCGGGGAATATAAGAATCGAAGACCGACCGGTTGGACTCGGTCGCTTTAATCATTTCCCTTGGGAATGATTACTTGTACTCCTTATGCGCCTTAAGCCTTTCATGTGAGCTTGACGACGACGATGATGCACCCCGTTTCGTCCGAGTTGGAATGGTGTCGGGATCGGGATTCGATTATTGTATTCGGCACTCGGACGGATTAGCTGGCGCGAAAGGGCGAGATAGCGAAATCTTAACATATAATCTGATTGATTGGGAGCTGTCGTGGACCAATGATACGGGGGGCGTTCGGGACCAGCAAATCCAATGGGGGGGGGGGGGGGGGGGTCCAGCGGAACTTAATTCAACAGAAGATGCGAGCGATAAACGACAGAAACTAAACGACAGAAACTAAACAGAACCACTTGTCTTTTGTCTTTTTGAAGGGTAATGTCTTGTTCTTTTTGGGCTTCCCAGGAATTGAAACCATAGAGAGTCTTGTCTCTATCGATTGGCCACTTGGCATAGAGTGTTGAATGCGCTTCCTTGAACGATGAGCTCTCGATCCTAAATCACACCCATCGAAAAAGATAGAGAGAGAGAATCTTTATTATTAAATGCCTCGAGTACTGATGAAGTAATCAAACAAGAAAATTGTAATGCGTGTGTTATGCATAATCGAAACTTTTTACAATCGATTCTTGTCAAACATTCTTAGAGGAAGTCCCGTGGATGCTCGTTAGAATGTGCTTGAAAAGAAGGTTGAAGGGAGAAGATTGCACGGTCAAACGATTAATAAACTTGAAAGGCCTAGATATATTGATTTCGCAAGTGGTTAACTACGCGGTATCGAATAATGTAAATTGTGAAAATCCCATATGGACCCATAAATGTCATACGAGTTTAGCCTGATTGAAATTTTCGATTCAATTTGCTTTCATACATTCGAGTGATTTATGCCCAATATGGTACCGATATGTCATAAAGACAATGCCTTCAAATACGCATTGTATAGAAAAAGAGATAAACAAATAAAATTATGAATAAGTGCACTGGAAATTCTAAAACTTATAATGAAAGTGCAGTTTATCATGAAAGTGCAATTGAGTTCTAAAATTTTCAAAAAGTGCAATTGAATTATAAAACTTTTAAAAAGTACAATAAAAAAGAGGGAAAAACCACCAAAAACTCCAAAATATGCCGCCCGTGACATATTTACCCTGAATTTTTTTTTGTGACACCAAAAACCCCAAACTATACTATTTGTGACACATTTACCCCAATATACTTTAATCCATGGACATTTTCGTCTTTTTTGCTTTTTTTTTTCCTTTCCGGCGAGGGCCGCCCTCGCCGCGACGGGCGATCCTCGTCGGCGTAGGGTGAGGGTCACCCTCGCCGGAAAGGAAAAAAAAAAAAAAAAAAAAAAGAAAAAGCAAAAAAGACGAAAATGCCTATGGACTAAAGTACAAATGGGGTAAATGTGTCACAAATAGCATAGTTTGAAATTTTTGGTGTCACAAAAAAAAGTTCAGGGTAAATGTGTCACAGGTGACATAGTTTGGAGTATTTGGTGGTCTTTTCCCTAAAAAAGACGCAAAACTTGTCACAAAAGTACAATCGAGTCTTAAAACTTTTTTTAGAACTACTTATTCCAGTAAAATAAGAACAAGTCCGGTTGTTTCTCGTGGAATAAGTACGGAGTAAAAAGCATTACATAATCAGAAAGACGTAATTACGGTTATATCCTTCATTGTCTTCTTTTATTCCGTTTTTTGCCGCTTGGCCATTCGGCTTCGACGGGGTCATTTACGTCCACCAAAGCATTGGCCCCTCCAAGGAAAACAGTCAACCCGCGAAATCCAAAACCCCTCAATTTTCCCGCCAATTTCCCCCCCCAAAAATTTCCAAGATCTAAGGCCCTCGCATTTCCGCCGAAACCCTCAGAACCCACGCCGGAGGAACTTCGCGAATCCGCCATGAAAATCCGATCGCTGAAGCTCAGGGAGGCTCACAAGCCCCCCGCCGGTGGCGGCGGCGACGGCCGCCCGTCCTTGTGCTCCGTGCTGTGGGACCAGCAGGCTCACCACCTCGTCACCGCCTCTTCCTCCGACCCGGCGATCTCGATTCACGACGCCCTGCTCCCTTCCAGCCCTCCGAGGATCCTCCGCCACCACAGGGACGGCGTCACGGCCTTGGCGATCAGCCCCAACTCCACTTGCCTCGCGTCCGGATCGATCGATCACTCCGTCAAGCTGTACAAGTTCCCAGGTGAAAAGCATCGGTTTTGCCCTTTTCTAGCGTTGATTAGCGATCAAATTTTCGATCTTTAAAATGGTGTGAAGCTTTTTGCCGAATTTTCCATCTATGAAGTCTTCATTATTCCGTGATCGTTCGGGTTTTTTTCTTTCTTGCCAACGTGAAAATGTGGGTATGCTGCGTCTTATTTTTTTGCCTTAGGATTACATTGGGTTGGTTAGTCGCTGCAGTGCATTGGCAGGTGGGGTATACCTTTGGGATGATTGGATATTACATTTGCTTCAATTTGAAGTTTGGGGAACCGGGATTGTTCGTTAGAACATTATTCCTTTTTACAGTTGAAGCGTTTATGGTGTTGGTGGCCGGAATAGTTTGTCAGCAAGACTTCGTAATAGGCGATGATGTAAAGTTTTGTGCCATAGGAAAGTTCATGGCATTTTTACAAGATCGGTTTACTTATTGCGCAGTCAACTGATATGCCGAGTATTATTATATGATTGGATCCTTTCCTAACTCTCAAAACCCATGTTAGTCTGAAGCAAATTTGGTCTCATCGGAAACCACAAAGCAAGAGCTTCAAGATCATAGTTTTTGATGCCTTCAACTAGAATTTGCAATCATCAGCATACACTACAAAAGCAGATAGATTAGAAAAAGGAAGGAGGGATTTACAATTATGTAACTGCAATTTTCAATGAAGAGTAGCCAGGTGATGCCTGAGTTCCGAAAAGTTCACAACAGTTAGATGGCCATGGGATCTGCTTATCATGCTTCAAGCACTAAATAGAAACCATTATAAAGTTTGACCCTAAAAAATGATATGCAAACAGCCTTATTGTTAACTCACGGACATTTCTGCATAGAAATATTCACTACATCAGGTTATTGTTCATACTGGGAAGCCTTTCTTCTCAACTAAGGAATAGTTCTAGCATCGATCAGCCACTTTAGAACATTTCACCATGTATTTCTGTGCCAAAACTTTACCCTCGGTTTTCTTCTAATTTTTTAAGCTTATCATTGCAAATTATATCTTTCAGGTGGGGATTTTCAAACCAATGTTACTAGGTTTACGCTACCAATTCGTGCCCTTGCATTCAACAAGTCAGGAAGCATGTTGGCTGCAGCTGGTGATGATGAGGGAATTAAACTAATTAACACAATTGATGGTTCTATAGCCAGGGTTCTGAAGGGACATAAAGGGTCGGTTACTGGTTTGGCTTTTGATCCCAATGGTGAATATTTGGCATCTATGGACTCAATGGGGACAGTCATATACTGGGAACTTCATTCTGGAACCACTTTGCATACGCTTAAAGGCATTGCTCCTAACTGTGGTTCAGATTTTTCTGTCATCAATGTGCTTAGCTGGAGTCCAGATGGAGAAACTTTAGCTGTCCCTGGTCTGAAGAATGACGTGGTAATGTACGACAGAGACACAGCAGAAAAACTGTTTTCTTTGAGAGGCGATCATTTGCAATCTGTATGTTACTTGTCATGGTCACCTAATGGTAAATACATGGCAACATCTGGGTTGGACAGGCAGGTTTTAATTTGGGATGTTGATAAGAAGCAGGACATTGACAGGCAGAAATTTGATGAGAGGATATGTTGCATGTCATGGAAGCCAATTGGCAATTCCTTGGCTGTCATCGATACAGCGGGCAAGTATGGGATGTGGGAATCTGTTATTCCTTCATCAATGAAATCACCAACAGAAGGAATTCCAAATTCACGATCAAACAACAGTAATGGGTTGCTTTTGTTTGATGAGGAGGATGAGGAGGACGAAGAACCCAGTGCTGCTGGTAGTATAAGTGATCCTGGTGAAGATAGTTTTGGTGAATCTGGACCACCTTGCAGAAAGAGGTTAAGAAAGAAGTCCACATATGATGAACATTGGGAGGAAGATGACAATGACGAATTAAGCTCCCCACCAAAGCCTAAATCTCGAAAAGGACATCACGATAAAAAAAAGGCTTCAGACAATGGTCATGAGGGTCTAGGAAGCATAATGTTATCTGCTAGATCGAAAATGCAGGATGCTTTCCAGCCTGGTAGCACTCCTGTGCAGCCAGGGAAAAGGAGGTTCTTATGCTATAATATGATAGGAAGTATAACTACAATCGAGCAAGAGGGCTACTCCCACATAGAGGTAATGCTCTCCTTACTTAATGTGCACTCTCATTTCTCCCCATGATGGATGTTTAATTATAAATACATCTTGGATATTTCGTGTTGCACTGATATTTTAACCTGTTTTGGCTGCAGATAGATTTTCATGACACTGGAAAAGGTCCTCGAGTTCCATCAATGACAGATCACTTTGGTTTCACTATGGCATCAATAAACGAGAATGGGAGTGTCTTTGCGAATCCCTGCAAGGGCGAGAAAAACTTGAGCACCCTCATGTATCGGCCGTTCCGTAGCTGGGCAAGTAACAGCGAGGTCGGAAAATTTTCACTCTTATGCTCTAATTTAGTGATATTGAAACCTCTAAATTCGTCTAATCAAAGTAATACTGCCATCTGCACTGTGTCCTTGTCCCATATGCTGATACACTCTCATAGCAATATTTCAGTGGTCTATGCGATTTGAGGGAGAAGAAGTGAAGGCAGTGGCTCTTGGCACTGGTTGGGTGGCTGCAATTACAAGTCTCAATTTGCTCCGCATATTCACCGAGGGTGGCCTGCAGGTTTGTCACCCCGAAATAGAGATGAAATTTCTGCATTCTGCCTTGGGAACAGTCATCCTATATGATTCATAGCAGCTTTCTCTTATTGCTGTCCATGCTTACCTTGGAATCTTAAACTTATGCTTATCAACACAAACATTGAAGAAGTTTTCTTCCATTTTATGGGTCGTAATGTCTTCTGTTTCACCATTATGAGCGGGGCAATTCAATAATGAAGAAATATTGAAATAGGAAGTCACATATCTAGTTACTGGGGAAGGATTAGATGTATTAAGTGACAGAACGTGGTGCAGAAGGTGCAGTAAGAGAAATTCTTTCCTTCCATTTTCCTATGTGCATGTTCATGGTAGTTGAACCAATCCATTCAAGATCTGCACTCAACTCTGATTTTCTTCCCTGTATTGTAGAAACATGTGGTGTCACTTGATGGACCTGTTGTCACTGCATCGGGCTTCAATGATGAGCTGGCAGTTGTCACTCATTCTTCTGATTGTCTTCCTTCTGGTGATCAGGTACTGAACTCTCCCATTTGTGCCTCAATAAATTCACCATTTCTTTGTTTGTTTGACTCAATGGTGCTTGATCACTGATTGTTCATGACCAAGTTTTAAATTGTTTCAATTCTCAGCGACTTGTGTAAAGCAGCTAGAAATCAAAACTGACTTTTCACCTCGTTGCACTCGGCATTTCTTTAAAATTGGGCAGGTGATGGCGTTTACAATATTCAACATCTCCAAAAGTACAAAGGCAATGCAAGGACGTTTGCCACTGACTCCTGGATCACAGTTAATGTGGTTTGGCTTCAGTGAAGAAGGCCTGTTGAGTTCGTATGACTCAAAGGTATAGTTAGATGTCTTCAGCCATATTTTCCTTGTTTTTCCTGCTTTTGCAAACTAGAAGGAAAAAAGAACAAGAAAAATTAGTGAAGTCGACATAAAGTTGAGTGCTTTTCTAGATTAGTGAAAGAGCATAAAAAACTTGGTTTAAAATATAGAAGGTGATGTGACCATTTTCCCCCTTTTTCTTGTTTCTCTGTAGGATGTTTGTCTGCCATTAAAAAATTGATCTTCAGCTGAAACTCAAATTTGTTGCAGGGTCTTCTGAGAATATTTACAATTCAATGTGGTGGCAGTTGGGTGCCGCTTTTCAGGTTTTGACCGTCTTCCTTTAAGATATGGACGATCCTCTCTCTGTTGTTTTTTAAATATGAGTCTGAAATTCAAATGATCTTTTATGTAGTGCCAGCAAAGTAAAAAGGTCAGATGAAAGCTACTGGGTAGTTGGATTGAACATGACCAATTTATTTTGCATCATTTGCAAAAGTCCAGATTTGTTCCCACAGGTAGGATACACAGTGTGCCGTTATTGTTTTTGATTATGTGTAACTGTTTCCTCTGACGATTGCCTCTCTTGCAATACAGGTTGCACATAAACCAGTTCTGTCCCTTCTAAACTTTTCGATTCCTCTTGCATCCTCTGATATTGGAGCAGAAACACTTGAAAATGAGTTTATCTTGAACTACACGCATCTCTCACAGGTTTGTCAAATCTTCGAATTACTTATGTCGATGCCTCCGAATTTAATTGTCAAGAAAGTGGAATGGGCAAATTGATGCTATGTAATAAGTCGACAATATTTAAATGCTTGTCACACTTTAGAGTTACATGTGTGGATAGTTTGATCTTACTGATTGCCAAGCAAAATGGGTCTTGTTGTGCTGTTTACTTGCTGCAGATTCACCACAAAATGGAAGCAGCTGCTCAAGCTGGTAATGATGTAACCTCACTTGAAGATGACGCTTTCAACGTAGAAGCAGCTCAAGATAAATGCATTTTAAGGCTCATTGCATCCTGCTGCAATAGTAAGCATCTTTTTTGAACTTTTCTAGCTCCAGCCGAGCAGTGTAGCTAGAAGTGATTCATCATAGCATGTAACATCATGTCGAATTGATTTTGGGGAGAGTACCATGACTGCTACATCTTTTAGCTATTTCTTTTCTCAATGTTTGTGATGTAGCTTAAGACATGCTCATGGTGCTTATTCAGGCGACAAGCTTGCAAGGGCAACTGAACTTGTGAAACTTTTATCACTCGAGAAATCTGTGAGAGGCTCAATCAAGCTGGTCACTGCTCTGAAGCTTCCAAATCTGGCGGAGCGTTTCAACAGCATATTGGAGGTATGTCTCGGTTCTTGGATACTTGTAAGCAATTAGAACCTGAATATGGAACTTCATGCAAGATAATATGTTTTATAGGAGAGGTTGCTCGCCGAGAAAGGACCCAAAGATGCGCCAGCTTTGAATATAAAAGACACTGCCTCTACTAGTATTGCGGCAGCTGCCATGGCTGAAAAGAGAACTGAAGCAATCATGACATCAACCACACCGAAGTTATCTGCTCCTCTGTTTATAAAGAAAGTGAAATCACAGGAAGGAACTGAGGTTGGCAGTAGCGACAAAATCGACGAGGATGTAAATCCATCTATCCCAAATGTTGGGGCAACAAAGTTCAAGGATCAGAAAAATGCCGCGGAGGCTAATGGCGGTGGGGAGATAAAGAAGCGGGGACATGTGCATGAGTTGCAATCTGAATGCCCTAGTTCCAGCTTTCCAAAGTCGATGGATAATCCGGAGAAGATCAAGAATGCAGGGCAAGCGCATCGTCAACCGCCTCAACGCCCATCTAACCCGTTTTTGAAGTCAGCTGTTAAGTGACGTCTTCTTCCGAGAAATGGAAAAATAGGATTTAAGCTGAATTAACAGATGACAGAAAGTGCACCATCTGGAAAACTCGACCCTGCTCCAGATGCTTTGAGCAGAAATGGCCATACTCATTGCGTTAGGACAAACGGGAATTCGCCGCAAATCGCCGAGCCCCGGGGGCCAGGACGATCCGGGTCGACCACATATTTAACAGTATTCTTTCTGTATGTACCAATCCTATCCATCTGCTTCGAGTAAAACCGAGCAAACAATGGAATTGGATGGTGTGAAGACTAGTTTCTTGTGATCGTCAAGTAATCAGCAGCACTCTTCCGTCAATTTGTCTTCCTCGCGAGCGCACCTTGTTTCTTTTCGTTCATGTCCAGGCCAAAACCTTAAATCGATTTCGACACCATCGCTTTCGCGATTAAATCACACATTTTACAAATTTCAGGCTTAGATATGAACAATTCTAGGCTTTTATTTTGCCACTTCATTGATGAGAAGTAATTCTCTCTACAAACGTGGTTGATTAAGGTAACAATATCACTGGATGAATATTTGGTCAGTCCTCTTTCTTTTAATCTCCCAGCTGGTGCGGACACATACGCCATGATCAAAACCTAGTAACTCAAGATTTTCGGGTCCCACGAATCATGTGTGCTCCGCGAAATGAGAAAAAAAATTAAAATGAAATAAAAGGAAGGTCAACGAATTTTGCGAACGAAAAACCAAACTTGCATCGCCGAGCGCCATATCACCCGAGAAGAGCCCGAAGCGTCTCCGCAGAAATGGCGGCGGACGCCTCCATCCCCTCCTTCTCCCACCACCTCCTCCTCCACCGCCGCCCGCGGCGGAGCGCCCATCCCTCCCCGGCCCTGGATTACGACGACGATTTCCCCTTCTGGTCCCACCACCTCCACCGCCGCCACCAATATCGCGACGCTCCGTTCGATGTCTACGCTGACGATCCCTTCCCGCCCCTCCCCGCAGATCCGATCGCCGCCGCCCGATCCCATCCCTCCGGCGACGACGTTCTTGTGTTCGGTGCCGATTCTCCGGATCTCTTCCGCGGGCCCGGGAGCCAGGCCGATTTCGTCATGGACCTGTTTCATCAGCGCGTGGAGCAGTCCCAGGTAATGGACGGCGACGGCTCCGATTTAGTCTTGGGTTCGTTGAATGAGTCCAATTTTGCTGTCATTGAGGGAAGTGGCGAATTGAGCGTCGACAATTCGGAGGTAGGTTTAGGTTTAGGTTTAGGTTTAGGATTGGGGTTTGGATTGGAGAGGAACGATGACGGGTCTTTCGTTGTCGAGCATTGTTACGGCGAGCGTGATGATGGTGATGACGTCTTCTTTGTGGAGAGGAGGTTTTCCGGCGGAGCACGGTCCGCAGCCAGTGGTGTGGTGGAGCCCTATGGTGGTGGGAGGTTTGAGTCCGATTCAGAATTGGAGAATGATGACAGGGCCGGTTTGTGCTTTGAGGATGACGAGTATGGGTTCGATTGCGATCATAATGAGAATGATGATCTTGCGAGCAACCCTCTGTTTTGGGATTCTCTAAACATGGAGGACGATGAGGAGGAGGTTCATGATGATTTTGACTGGGACGAAGTAGATGGTCGCGCCAACGAGAGAGAGACTTCGAGCTTGTTTGTTCATGCCGTTGGCAGTGTTAGGTCCAATTCGACCTCGACGCCCGTAGTTGCAGCTGAGGATGGTGACGGAGTGAGGGTGGAAAGAGTGGGAGGTCTGGGGAATGTGGAGTGGGAGGTTCTGTTGAATGCTAACAACTTGCTTTTGGATCCAGATTTGGAAAATGAGGAACCTTCATTCACTGACCGTGCTTACTTTCATGGGGCAGACAGTGAGATTTTGGTTGGGCAAGTGATGGAGAGTGAGAGTGCTTCTAGGGGTATGCTGCCAGCTTCTCAATCAGTGATTGAGAATCTCCCTACTGTAGTTTTAGGTCGAGGGGATGTGGAGAAGAACGAGGGGCTTTGCCCCGTATGCAAAGACGAGTTTGAGGAAGGGGAGAAGGCCATCGATCTGCCTTGCAGTCATAGATACCACTCAGACTGCATCCTAACGTGGCTGCGCATGAGAAGTACTTGCCCTGTTTGTCGTTATGAATTGCCCACCGACGAATCTGATAATGAGGGTAGAAGGATGCTGCAGAGAGCATGACTTGATCTTTTTGGTCATGGACTGAGGTCAGGTACAATTCTTAAAATCTTGCCAAGTATCAGGTTTTTGTGAAATTGGGCAGCATCATGCGGTGGCATCCATCCTCATCTGCTTCATTAGGATGACGTGCTCGATATCGCTATTTTTTATTATTGTGTTTGTAAAGGATGTTATTCCTGCTATGTGCTGGGCCTTTTTCCTTTTTATTATCTCGTAGTGAGAAGAAAAGGGGTGGGAACTACAACTTGCTAGTATTATATCGTACATGGTTGATCTTTTGCTATTTCACCTTAATGAGAAGGGACTATTTTATGGGTTCATGATCGCGCCCCACACGTTTCGTGTGTCTTTGGTCGTGCTTTAAATGGGTTATTCTCTCTGGTTATTGTCTTGTGTTACACCATAGTGGGCAAGTCTTAGAATTTGTTTTATGTTGACAATTTCTATTTCATGCCAACGCCAGAGCCACAAGCAAAGGTAATGGTAATAAGTGAGGCAGATGTGATATGCTTTTGGTCAAAGTTTGAGAACTAAACTTAGACTTCCCGATGGGTACTCCTCGTCATTATTATGACCATTCTAATTTAGACTTTGCAAAGAGGAAGTAGGGTTTAAGTGTTTTGAGTTAATCGAATTTTAGTAGTTGCTTGGCTTTTTCGACATCAATAAAAGTTGTCCCCTTTCAATCGACAAAAGAGGACAAGTTTTGCCTGTGTTGATAGTATATGCATTTTTTTACTAGGTTTTTTCCTCTTCTTCTTCGTTTATCGATTTTCCAAAAGCTTTTCTGATGAAGGACGAAAACCCTGTTAACACCAGAAGTAAAATTAATTTTATCTCATTTAAGATAAATTGAACTCTAATTTTATAATATATTTATTTTTTCACTTTTTTTTGGAGGGTTCGAGGCTGTCAAAAAGATGTTGAATACCAACGTCGCCCCCATTCCTCCAGCTGGATTGCAATGTATTGTTGCATTGCCAACTCTAGAAACTCTTTTAAGTGCTCAATCAATAAGATTTGCCTGCTAAAATTCCGGGAAACACTTAAAAACCACTATGCTTTCTTGCCAATAGGTGATTTTCGGTATCAACCCTAATACCCGTCTTTTGATTCTTTTAATTACAGCACCGATTGTGTTGGTCCATTCTTGGCCATTGGCATTGCCCCCACAAGAAGCAATTACTTAACAGCCATATATGTCCACATGGACAATATCCATAATCAGTAACACAGAGAATTGGTTGGGAACTACCTGCTTCATAGTTCATCCCATTTTTGTCACACATTAATTTGCCCGAGAGCCACGATGCCAATCGAGACAAGACACGTGTTGATTTTTTTTCTTGTGGCAATAGTCCATCGATTCTTTTAGGTCGTATGGTCATTGCCAAGCATCTTCCTGTTTGCCAAATTGGGATGAGTAAGTCTCTTTTCACCGCTTTTTGCGCAGCCCACTTTTTCAAATGCGTAAAGCATATGGAAAATGAAATGACCACCTCTTTTTTGAAGCTTTGAGTTCCGTTGCTTGTAAAATTTGTGAGACAAGTAGAGCTAATCGTGATTATGGAGTGCGTCCTCTGTCTATTAGTTACTTGCCTATTTATTTTCATTACTAAGTTACAGCTGGTTTTGATCTCATTACATTATTTTTAACACTTTTGTCAATGAGACATAATTGAAGGTAGTTCCGTACCCTGAAATTGTAGTTGATATCATCACATTAAGCATAGTTGGTTTGGTGTGCATTACACATTTTTGGACTATGGACATAAAAGCTCCAACCTAATGCTTGATTAAAAGACCTGGACATCTTTTTCTTAGTTCATTAGTCCTATAAAAACCCTCTTGCCCTCCCAATACTCTCGTCCCAACCCCCCCTCTCCCTCTCTCTCTGAGCATGGAGCTGGAGCTAACTCAGTTAAGTGGAGTGAAAAACTCCAGCCTCGCTCAGCCAAACACTACTCACACTCTCCACCATTTCCCTCCCCAACAAAAACCACCACATTTCCCCTCCATCACCCACCCAAACCCTGGTTTCAGCACCCTCCATGCACACCCTTACATCTCACCTCCTGATTTCACCGTGTCGTCGACCCCCTTTGGCAGTTTCTTCCCCAATCCCCACCTCACTGACGAGCTCTCTCCAAACCCATTTCTCCGCAACAACTCCGCCGCCTTTGATGAGGCCGGCGAAGATCACGTCGACCAACCTCGTCGCTTTGACCATGTCGGTAACGTTGTCCATGAGAAGAAGCTGAGGAGGAGGATATCGAACCGGGCGTCCGCATGGAGGTCGCGGCTGAGAAAGAAGATGCAGATCGAAGAGCTCCAAATGCAAGTGGACCAGCTCCAAGGCGCCAACAACAAACTCTCTGAGAAACTCATTAGCCTTTTGGAGAGCAATCACCAGATCCTCCAAGAGAATGCTCAGCTCAAAGAAAAGGTCTCTCCGCTCCAGGTCGTGGTGACTGACCTGTTGAGCCCCTTCAGGAATGTGTAAGAAATTGCTTGCATTTTTTAAGTCCGAAGCATCGAACTGATCGGTCTGTTGGCACATGGACAAGTTATATCAGATATGGTAAAAAAGTTTTGCAGACGAGAGTATAGAGAGAGCACTAACTACATCAATGGCTCTTCAATACCAAATAGTACTTTATGTTGGCTATTATCGTATGCACGGCTTGCAAGATTTGCTGCACTTGCTTGAATGAACAAATTGAAAATATTAAGTTTAGAGTTTGTTATTATGTCTTCTTCTCTTCAGTGTCTCTGCTCTCATTGATCAGGGTTTTGATTTATCTCTCTCGGAGATCGCGTTTACACCAGTTGGTTCGAGTTAACCTTCCTCATAATTGGATTCGATTCAAGCATCACCGTCTCATAATGTCCTTCAATACTCATGTAACCGAGAAGAAAGGTAGTTTGTGGCTCATGCATCTTTGATATTCTTATTCCGGTCTTCTAAATGCAAAACCAAAAGTAATTTCCATCTTCTTAATTTGGTCTACATGTAAGGGAAGTACGAAGATATGGTATAATCACCCGATTTCCACATGAAAATCCGGGATGTGCTCTTTTCCGCAAGGACTCCTAGATTATGTATAATTAGCCAAAAAGAGAAAAGAAGCTTTCCCCACGTTAAAACGCTAGGTAGATTAACATGGCGACTATTAAGTTCCGAGTTTACTTCATCGAATTGCTAACTCGATCAAACAATACAAGTGCATTGATTAATAGAGTTGGCACAACATTTGTTATGCATATTGCTATCACTCATAATATCCTGCAATTACATCAATCATATTCTCATATCAAATAATATAATTGTGTTTGTATCGTACATAATATTTAAGAGAAACTTACGATTAGGCTAATTATATGATGAATAGCGTTTTACTCAATGCAACAAAAGAAAAATATTGTAAGATGTTATAATCATATCTATATAATATATCTCTAGCAATGAATTGTTTATGATTCAAAATAATTTAACATGCAATTAATTTAACATACTAACTAAACTGACATATTAGGGGATTTCAATCAATTTTTTCTTCAAATATTCTTAATTACATGTTCTTAATCACGTAGACAAATGCGTAAATACATCATATTATTTTATCCCGCACATGTTTCCAAAATAAAATTTGAATATTTTCTATCGTACTACAACTTCCCTATAAAATTTCAAATTTCGAAATATTTTCTCATTCAACATATATTCATTCGATGATGCAAATATTTCTCGACAAAACTACCATACGACAACTATTTCGGAATTGAAGAAAAAAATTGAGTAAACCTAATGAAGGCTGTCAAGTGCCTGAAGAATTCGAAATGCTCCGTCATAACAACACCTACGATCAACATTATCACCTAATATAAATTCTCTTGAAATTGACTGTGTAAATTCAAATAATACTTTAAAAGGCCACTTCAAAATTTGCCAATCGTGTCACTTGAAAGGTAAATCATTACGAATCATATAATAAAATTACCAGGAATGATTTGGCTAGAAATATATAGACATGGACAATTCGACATTTGACAAGAAAGATATCTTTGGCCCTGATGCATATACCTTTTTTTTTTTTGATAATCGAGGTGTCCGCGGCCGGGCCAGCTAGGGTTTCAAACTCGGGCCGGCTGACGCCCGACTAGTCCTCGAGGGGCTAACAGAAGCATCCCACCGCCACGATCCTCCACTTAAATCACCGACGGGCGAGTTCAACCCGCGACCTCTCGTGAGAATCGAGCCGCAACTAACGCACCGACGACTGGCCGGCGGTAATGCATATACCTTGGATAACAAGGCGAAACAAAAAAGAAATATTGTCGAGTGATTATTATTTTTTTCGTCTAGATAAAATCTTTTGCTTTTGCAAGACGACGTCCTCGTTCGAATTTCAATCAGCTAAAAATTTATTAATTTATGCGAATAAGGGTAATCGTGAAATTTTTTTCCGGAATGCATTTCCAGTAAAGATTTATCGAGACACCAATGGAGACGGTGCGTGAGGCTAGCACAAAAAGATTTTGATCAATTTTCCCATTTCTGAAAAAAAAAAAAGAAGAAGAAGATAAAAGCAAAACCTTTTAGTTCCAGGCTAAAACCCTAATCCAAGAAATGTAAGAGGGGGTAGAAGAGGACAAAAGGGGCCTAAAACCCTAATCGTAGGCGAACTTAACGGAGGAAGGAAGAGAGCAAACCCCTGAGCCTGAGCGCCGGCCGACCATTTGCGCGAGGCTCAGCGAGAGAGAGAGAGAGAGAGAGAGAGAGAGAGAGATGGGAAGCGACAGTGAAGCTGAGAGATCGCAGCAGAAGGAGAAGGAGAAGGAGAAGAAGAGAATGTTAGCGCTCGCCCCCATTGCTAAGCCTCTCGCCGGCAAGAAGCTCGGCAAGCGCGCCCTCAAGCTCGTCCGTAGAGGTAATACCCATCAAACCTCTCCTCTTGCCGCTTCACTTCATGCGCGCACGACCCTTTTTCGCGTTAGTCACGAGGCGCTTCCTGAAACTCTCCGGGGAGTATTGACAATGTCAGTTTCGTTTTCGCAGTGGCCTTTGGTTTTCTTGTTCCCTTTCTTTTCGTTTGATTGGTGAGTTAACGAGCTTTTGGGTACGTGATTCGTCGAATTTACAGTAACTGGCGGTCTTGACTCTTATGAGATGTTCGATGACACTTTAACTGGAACTGGGTGTATTAGAATGCCCTGTATGGAGCAGCGATGTTCTGCATTGTTGTTGGACCAGTTCTCGTTGTAGATGAGCCGGCTATTTGTCGCGAATGGCGTGCGCGCGCGCGCGCAAAGGGGGTGGGCTTAAATGGGTGTGCTGCTTGTTTTTGGTTAGATTGAGTTTCTTTGGCTGACTATTGGCATGTCCTTGTGGCTCTTAATTGGCAGCCGCCGAAGACAAATGCTTGAAAAGAGGCGTGAAGGAGGTTGTTAAAAGCATACGACGCGGTCACAAAGGGTACAAATTTATCCCTTTTCTAATTTGAGCACCAATGCCGGTCGATGCCAGGTTGAATGAAATCTCTGTAGTTTGCTTGGAGCCAACAGCTTTTCTTCTGCACGGCGTTGGCAGGGGAATGTTGGATTGTCGTCGAGCCCAGATATTCGAAACAGGTTGATTTTTCATGTATTTCTCTCTGTGCAGATTATGCGTCATTGCTGGGAACATATCTCCTATCGATGTCATCACTCATGTCCCTATTTTATGTGAAGAGTCGGACATTCCCTATGTCTATGTTCCATCAAAAGAAGTAAGCTGATTGCCTTCTGTTTTAGTCCATGTCGTGCTGGAGTGAAAACTAAATCTCTTTCTTCCTCTCTCTCTCTCTCTTCCCTATGTCCATGTTCTTCATCTTTTAATGAAAATTACCCATTTTTCCGTGTTCTTCAGGATCTAGCTAATGCAGGTGCCACCAAGAGGCCTACATGCTGTGTTCTAGTGCTAACGAAGCCAACAAAGGGTGAATTAAGTGCTGAGAAACAGGACAAACTGAAAGCAGAGTATGATCAAGTTGTCAATGATATTTCTGAGCTGACTTCCTCCTTGTTCTGAACGTCGAGAAGAAATGCAGTAACAACTCCGTTGCCGTTTTTTTTTTGAGTTCATACTCTTTGGCTGGATGTAAGCAGTGGTGTTGTAATGCGGCCACACAGTGGCAAAATGGATGTAAACAGAGTATGGTCAATTGCTTGTATTTCTACTGCCTGTGATGGTGGTGCTATATAGGTCGTTATTACTACCATTTTTCCGTTTAGACTGGTGATAAGGACGTAAGACTGTTCGAATGTAGGTTTTCTGGAATTCAAATGTAGGTTTTCTGGAATTCAAATGCCGGTTTGAGTTTGAACTGCCTTTGTGTCATGTACCTCTGATGGTGCTGACTTTCTGCGTTACTTCCTAATATTTGTAAATCTCTCTTTGGCGTCATTTTTGTGTGGAGGCCTGGTGCTCCACTTGGGGAGGATTTTGGAATGAGACTATTACCTACTCGTTAGAATTTGATATTTTCAGATGGAACTTTTAATGCACGTAGTTGAGTAATCTAAATGGGGAAATGATTTTCAAGGTACTTGTTCTTGCTCTGAAAGTCCCCTAGCAGCAATAGTGTAGTGGAAGCTTATATGTCTTATGAACCAAAGTCATAGCCGGAGAAGAGAGTACATCCAAAGGGTCTACATAACACAACATTAACTGTAAATATTCTCATGCTTCTTAAGCAAGAGTTGCTTAATATGATTAGATCCTCCCGGCAAAACATAGTTGATAAGTTCAGTTAATTGAGATCGAATTGTTGCTTTTGGTTTCATCAGGTGATAAACTGCAACTGAAACCCCGTTTTCTAGATGGAATTTAGAGTTGCTAAGTTGGAAAACAACGTGCTGTGTGAGCAGTGTCCAATGTATGGCCCAGAATCATTGATTCCTTACATATTCATGCTAACCGACTTAGGAGATGAGGGACCAGCCCCAGAAAGGAAAAGAGAAGAATCTATGAAGTATGCCTCAACCCAGCTGACAAAGGCCAAGGGCCTTTCCAGCTACAAGCATATAGTTTATGATCTCACTTCATTAATCGTGGACCAAAACTCAGCGGCCATGATGCAGCACTTTATCTAACACAGATTCAAGAGGCGACCATCATGTTATAGCACTTTGTTTTGTGTTGCACTTAGTTCTTGCACTTTCGATAAACGTAAATGTTTACATCATTTGTCAAGTCTCGAATCTAAATCTAGTCGGATCAAGGCCCCAAAAAGAGTGCATAGAAGGTGAACTTTTGGGGGTATGTTTGTACTTTATTACTTCACAATCTCTCTCTTAGTTCATGTCAGACTTATCCTTTTCGGTTTTATACATGACTTCTTTTCCTTGTGAATATATAAGCAGCTATGGGTCAACTTCCCTTTTTACTTTCAATCAGTGAACACTGTCTTGAATCAAGGAATCTTATGACAGGTTATCACTATGCTTTAAGGTCCAGCACAGATTGCTGATAAAAACTAGCTCCTTTTCTTTCTCTTACTGAAACATTCCAAAAAGGCAAGAAAGCATGTCCAGATAGAATCTCAGCGGACCATAAGATCACACGCCCCCCCAACCTCTCAGAACCCACTTCCATCGTTACTTCACACTTCACTCTTTATGGGAAGTACCTTTTTGTACAAAGAACTGATGAATGTGAATCCTAGTACACACGGTTACCCGCGGCTCTGCGACGTGTGCAAGGCGGCCTCCTGTGTTTTCTTCTGCCAGAGCCACTCGGCTTTTTTCTGTGCTGGGTGTGATCAGAGAGCCCATGAAGGCAACATTAGTGATGCTCAACATGAGCGTGTTTGGATTTGCAATGCTTGCGAAAACGCCCCAGCTAGCGTTGCCTGTGAGGCCGATGCAGCTGTTTTGTGTGCTAGCTGTGACATCGAGATACACTCAGCCAATATGTTAGCTTGCCGGCACGTGCGAGTCCCAGTGACTCCATTGTCCAGCTCCCTCTACGGACCTCCCAGCTCGACCATGGATCAAACCGCTGAGACTGAAGGACAAAAGGTTCATGAGCACATTGAAGAAGATGAAATTGATTCCTGGTTGTTGCTTGACCCACCTAGTAGTAAAAGCAACCAAACTAGTGATGAGTTACTCTTTGGTGGGGAGGCTGATGAGTATTTGGATCTTATAGAGTATAGTTCATGCACCGACCATCAACCCCTGGACGAGTGCAATCCATATGAAACTAGTGTCGATCAGGGGCAAAGCACCAGTGATGGTGTTGTGCCGGTTCAGTTGATGGATTCCACAGCCCAACCGAATGTCTGCTGGGACAAGGAGGATGGAATAGCAAAAGATGCTTTCATTAGCAACCCTTCAAGCAACCATACTGTAAGATATGTTAAAGTCTTTTTAAATGTATAATGCGAACGTTGGTGGGATTTGTGGCTATTCACACTAACTTGCCAGTTCACAAGCCTTTCTGATTCTCTAGTGTAATTGTTTCAACATAGTTTTCTTGATAATGAATCTGGAAGTCAGATTTTCCTCCTTTGGAGTAACTTCTGTACTGTATATCCAGGTAGTATCTCCTTCCCTCGTAAAAACCCTTTCATGTATAAATCTAGACTTTAGCAGCAGCAAGCAGAAAGTTTTCTTTGTACATCTTTCTTTTTCGTTATTTGCATTAGTTAAATCCTTATTTTGTTGTTTAGCTACTATGTCCAGCCTTGTTAGGTAAATTCTGTAAATCCAATTTGCCCTTTTTTTTGGCCGAAATTTTAATTTGCCCTTTGAGAAAGCCAAGATGAAAGGCGTCGCGTACATGAATGAACACCAGAGACTGGAGGACTCTAATGCTACCATAACCTTGGTTGGAGCTTCACCTGCAAGAGACCATCTTCTCTTTTTACTATTGAATTTTCTTGATTAGTTTGCATTTATGCATCTTCTTGCATCCTAGAAAAACCTTAATATCCAGTGAAGAAATGCTTGAAACACTTCTTTCAGAAGCTTATTCTCAAAATTATATTGAATAAATCAGCAGAATCTTTGGCTTTTAGCCTTTTGTTTTTTACCGTTTGTAAAGACTAGCCTCGGCATATCTTCAACTAGATCGAGTCCTGTGATCAATCAACCATCATCTGTCATAACACCTGTTCTTTTACTTTTGTGATCAGGTTTCTCATTCATTTTTCCATGCCAGCATATCAAGGCCACAAACAATGAACGGGACCTCAACTTCGTATGCCAGGCTTCCAATTGGGATGACAGAAAGGTTCACGAACCCTCCACTCTTAAGGCCGTTTCAGAATCCTACTGTAAATAGGGAGGCCAAGGTTTTGAGATATAAAGAGAAAAGGAAGGCGAGGAAATTCGATAAGAAAATAAGATACACCTTGAGAAAGACCTATGCCGACAGTCGTCCTCGAGTCAAAGGCAGGTTTGCTAGGAGATCAGCCACAGAACTCGAAGTAGATCAGATGTTCTCGATGGAAGACTATGGTTATGGCTTCATTTCGCGTATTAAGTTTCGTTAAATAGATATAGATCTGCTTGAGCTACTAAGAGAAACAATTATTGTCTGCACCATCTCATGGCAGATATTGTAATCCTCGCGAGCGAACTATTTGGTTTAATAAAATCATAGATAAGTTTCGGATTTGCTTAATCATTTAGCTATTTCACGATTTGCTGTCAGCATCTTTTTTGTGATCGTAACTAAAACAATGAAGGTCAGTCTTACATCATTCTGGGTCTCCGCTACCTCTTTTGGTCTTCTGAATTGTTACTTTTCTGACTAGAGCAGTGAATCATTACTAAGCAAATGGGGGAAGGAAGCTTAATAGAAGGTGAAACGTAGTGCTGACAACTTGCTTGGAGAGTAATTTTGACAAGTAACAAAGAATCTAGATGCGTTATTCAACTTTAACAAAGTCGACTGCGCTTTTCACACTACAAGATGTTAAAGGAGAAACAAATATTTCGTAGATTGAGAGAGATGCGGGGAAAGCTCTAACACCAAGCCCCTTGGATGCTGCGTTAAAAATGGTCGAGCATCTGGGATATGCCATAAGTTTTCTGGCAAGAGTACTAGAAGATAGTCGTTGGTCGTACTCAGTGTGCTGGAGGCTTCCGTATCTGTGTTGCTATTGGCTTGGTCGCAGGCTCTTTTGCAGTGAATGAATCTCAGCAAGGCATAGGCTGAGAATTTTTTTTTTCCTGCGAGAATCTTGAACATGATGCTACTGTTCCATTTGGCTTATATGATGGCACTTGAAGGGCCATGATTTTTTTTTTCACCTTTTAGTAGCTTTTACAAGTCAGTAAGCATAAGGCTAGTTTCTTTGGGTTTAATGTATTGCAGTTTTTGATATTCCTAGGCTATTTATTCTGCAGAAAACATGACTAAGCTCATCTTGGTTCAAAGCTGCAGGGATAGATATTTTGTGAACTTTATGGAAAAAACTGGTTTCGTGTGTGAAACACAACATGTCATTATTTCATGTACTATTTGGCTTCCATATCTAAAGTGATATCTACAAACAATCTGATATTTGAATGGATAAGAAAAGAATAAATCTCTTACAAGGACCCATATGAGGTCAAGGGTTATTCTCACTGGTGAACTTTGGAAAGATGAATGCACTTTCACTTTTCTGGCAAAAAAGATATTCACCCATGTACTGAAGCTAAGCTGAACCACAAGGAGGAAAGTGGGAAGAAGGTATCTGTGTGGCTTTTGGCTGTTTCGAGTTGATACTTAGGCCTTACTCCTTTCGCTTTAAGTATCTGTTCCGGCCTCGCTATTGGCTGGGGCACTCTCACTTTTCTCCAACTCTCAAAAGGCACTACACTTGTTGTTTGCTTATTTGTCACCCCTGTCACAACTTGAGCCACCCGAATCAACGGATGAACTGCACCAATATCAAGATGTTGCCAAGAAAGCCGAAACCCGGATAAAATATATTCTCCACGGAGGATTTCTGACCTCGTGATCTCTCTACTCTCTTGCTCTATCTGTCATACAAATGAAGGTGTGCACACTTATAATAGCACATAAGAAGATGTGCAGTGACAAAAGCACACAGCAATATATGCTCGGCCACAATTTGGCAAGTAGCGTAATGGAAAGCAGGGGAGGAATAAAGGGGAAAAATACTGGAGGTGATGATCGACCGAGCAAAGATACGAAGTCCGATGAACCAACACGTGCAGTCGTATAGATGAGTTGGAATCTAGATAGCCACAACTAAGCCTTATCTTGGCGAGTGCTTGAAGCATGTCTTGACTAACGCAAAGGATGTCTCAATTGCAGAGACTAGAAGTAGAAAATATGGTAGTCAATCATTGCTAATCGGAATAAAAGAACTTTTAGCAGTAAAAGGGGCGAAAGGAAAGGACTGAAAAGATCTTTCGTTAGCATCGTGAGATTTTAAACTATCAGTGAATCTCTACAACATCATGAGATTTTAAACTATCGGTAATTCTATTTGGTAAGAGATTAATGTGTGTACTGACAAAAAAGTGTCGCAGAAGGACATGTTTATTCCCGAACTCTGTGTATCAATCTATGGTGGCCTTGTTAACTTATGTCATGGAGGTCTCAGGGTCTCCCCAACTTGGTATCTGAGTATCATGGCACGTATTATAAGCAAGTCCTACCCACAAAACAAATAGAGAAAGGAATGAGACCAATAGATAGTGAGATCTTGACATGACTTGTTTAAGGTTTTTCAACATAAACAATGCACCCCAGCAAAATGGAGTTATTCCTATTCAAGCACGGAAGAATGCCAAAAATCATGAGTACCAAGCACCTACTACATGTAACTCTGGTTCTTCATCAATCTGTGTGGTCATCATCCCCTTCTGAATCTGGATTAAGGAAAGAAATAACATGAGTCAGCTGGAAATCATTGTTGATGATCGTATATTCAGAACAAGAACAACCAAGAACCACAACTTGTCTCAAATAATGATAAGCTCACTGCACTATATATTTGCTTGTACAAAATGAAGTAGAGATTGGGTTGAAGCCCATTTTCTGGAAGTGGTTTTACAGCTCATTCTTCCTTCTGTCAACATCTATAATTATTATTAACAGTTACGAAATTTAGCAGAGGGACTTGGGAGTATGAACATAAGTGCCTTAACATTGAAAAGCATGTGCCTTTCTGGTCTATAAATTCTATTCAAATGAGTTGGCTGGACGGCTGCAGCTAATCCTGCATTAATGTGATCATAGCAGCAGAATGTTGGGAAATTTACGCTTCAGTAAACTGCAGAAGATAACTGACTTGGGAGTCATATATTCTCAGAACTAAGCTGAATACTATCAGTTTCTAGGGGGAACAAAGCTGAGTAACACCGGTTAATTCACATATTTATCCAGTCTCCTATTCTCACTTGTTACCCAAATATATGCTGTGACTACGGAGCCCAGAACTGAAACACATGTTTCAGATTACATTAGCCCAGAACTGAAACACATCTCTCTGATATCCAATCACACAGCAGGTAAAGGGTGACTTGCGTGGATTTGTACTCTCTTCCTTGTCACTAAAAGGCTAGTCACCTTCCTGGTTTTATTTAAGCTCATCTTTAGTAGAGATGGAGATGCTTTTTAGGTCAAACTTGAATGAGGACTTCGCGCATGGTTCATTTAACATTCTAATTTACTTCCACGTACACCTTTATCTTTCCTTTGTCCTAACATTGACGTCCAAGTGATTGTATTTATGCACATCTTTTAGTGATGCTTGTAAAACCTACAAAGAAAACATTATTGCTCAAATGATCCTTACCAGATCGAACATCATCACTTATCTGGCCTCTAGCGCGAACCTGTCTCACCAGCATCCCACACAACAACCACCACCAATATATATTAATAACAAGCAAGAAGAACAGAAGAGTATTGAACACATAGTAGTAACACATAAATCCATGAGCCACTAGCAGCTCCTTGTCCAAAGTCAGAAGAACTTCATGACTGCCAAAAAAATATTGAGAAAAATTATGTCGATCCCCGTTTTATTCAAGAAACAGAACAAAGATTATCGAGTTTCTAAGGAACGCATGCAGAAGAAGGAAACAGAGAGAAAATTAATAGAAAGTATCCCCATTTAAAGTAATTCAGCTAATGACATCTGGCTGTTTGAGAAATTGAGACCATCGAGTCTCCATGTCATCGGCAGAAACTTGATGCTCTGTCTCCTCCGGCAGTCATTAAAATATAATTATCTTTAAATCTTCAATTGGGAAAGTAGCAGAACCAATCTAAAGTACCAAAACTGAGCACATATCTAACCCATTTAGATTTTTTCTTGAAGTGTTTGTAAGTGAAAATAAGCACTGCGCTGGTGCATATGCTAATCATCTTATTCCAGAAGAAAAAGATCTTACTCCGATTAATGAAATTGAGTATCAAATGTGCAATTGAAAAGACCTGTCACATCTCAATTGTTGAAAATTTCTCATTTAATTAAATATCAGTATTTGAAATTATAAAATTCAATGGATTGAACCTGTAAATTAGATGATATGGTAACTAAAGCTTTCCTTGGAGAAGTACAGTGTACTCCTGCAACTTTTTGTTTTTCGCTACATAAGTCCCTTTTTGTCTATGAGTGGCACATCAACAAATATGTTAGCACAAAATGCTTAATTGAGTGATTGGCATCATTGTACAGACAGTATCTACAATAAATTTTGACTAATGCTCCTCAAAATTCCATTAGACATAAGATTTTTTCTTCACAAGACAGAAATTTGCAATGAACTGTTTTCATTCAAATGACTTTACCCTTTCACTATGCGTAAAGCTCTTTCACATCAGATTAATCTAGAGAAAGGATAATACTTACTTTCACTATGTTTTCGAAACCTGATCAGAAAGCTCAAGAAGCACCATGCAGAGACCTAACAGTGTGTTATGTTTTGGCCTTGTTACAATGGGGAAAAGAAAAAATTGCAAAGGAGGTATCTAAGACAAGTGGGACTTGACAGTATGTGCTATTGATAAATTCAAGGGAACATGTGCTAATTTGGTTAACCGGTAAGTGTCAAAAGAGTCTGGACATACCAAAGAGCTGAAAAGATTATATTAAAGAGCTTTTCATATAGCGTGGTGCACTTACCTAGTGCTCCTAAGGATCCAAAATGGAAAGTAGATGATGCGAAAGGTTGTCCAAGCAAGTACAAAAAGAAGAAAAGAACAGCTAGCAATCCTCTCATAGCCACTGTACTTCGACATTTTTGCTACTTCCATGAAGACATCGCTCACGTCATGGAGTGCCAAGATAATTGAACCAACACGAGCAAACCTGCAAAATGCAGTTAAGACCTGATTGAGGTAGAGAAGACTGGGACCATCTGTTTCAATTTTTTCAAGAGATTCCAATACAAAGCTAAGAGCATTTGTAATTCCTTCTTCTAAAGTAGGAAGGATGTATATATCATTATCTGGCACGAAGTTCTTGCCAATATTCTTTCCACATTTACCTCAATATATTAGAACAACATAGGTAACTAAAAAACTTGAAGAGCGCACCTGAACATATATGATAAGACAAGGAGGATGATAGATACCACATGATGTCCCATTGAGACAAAAAAGTCTGATCTCCTTGTTTCCCAGAAAACCAAGGCAAAAAGGGAGTATATATAGAATCCAGAGGCATACATGTACAGTCCCTTCAACTTCAACCTGGCAAAATACACGCAAAAAGATGAAGTAGATAAAAAAGAAATGATACCACATTCAACCAGAGGTTGAAAAAAGAAATGTTAAGACGAAAGCAAGTCCGGTAATATTTTGCAACATGTCTCAATAATGAGGCTTACTTGATCTTCTGATCTGGCCAAACTTGATTCTCAGGGCCAACCCAGAAGTACTTGGTACTAGTGAACCAAGGCTCGTCATAGGAGATTGAAAGAGCAAAAATCTCTGCAGAAAGGAAGTAGACACATGCCGACTCTTTGAATTTGTTAATCTTTTTCCTCCTATGACGTGCCTCAAGATCCAGCTTGGCATGTCTGTCTCCAAAAATCAGCCGTCTCGCTGATTTCTGCCACAACCACAAGATCATTATGAACTCAAGAAGCACAGTAGCTACTTAAGATTAGAGGTTGATCAGGTCAGGTAAAAAGTCTAGTCTTTTTTCTTCTAGACATATCAGCGCGAATTGATGAGACAACCTAATAATATTAATGATCGATTTAAGTAGCAGGAAGTTGTTTTTCGATAACTAGCTAATCTTATCCTTGTAGAAGTTTAAGTCCACGGCCTGATTGCTACGACACGTGCTCCTTATGACTCAACTCACTGCAATTCTCGTACAAGTTTTGGACTTGCCCATTTTTATGATGAGAAACACTTCATACCAAATTGAGGCAGTATTTCAACTAATCTGAAGATCCCTTTCTTATGGCAATTCTTGCGGTCACTAATAAAATGTCGAAAAAATGCGGGGCGTATTACCGATGACATAATTCAAGTCAAGATACAAATTCAATGCTACAGCACGACGAGAGTCACGAGATGCCGACTTGCGCAAACATCAAATTTGCCGTTTCGAATTGTCAGCTCCAAGCAACCCACAAATTTTCTTTCAGCAAGAACTCCAAGTGAATAGTGATAGATGGTACAGTCCAGCACACACACACATCCCCAAAATAAAAGAAAGTTTGCTTTTTTCGCTGTTCATATTGAAGACTAGAAAAATGGGAGAATGAAGGAAAAGGAAAGAAGGCAATTGATCAAAAGCGCAAGTGTTATCAGCATTTAAAATTTACACAACATGTTCATTTAAGAGAGAGACTGACATCCATCAAGATCTCCAAAAATCAAGAAATTTCAAGTTTGGCGAGTGAGGAGCCATTTGATGAAGGCAGTTGAAGAGTTACCTCAAAGATGAAAGTATCAAGAAAGAGCCGGACAGACGGGAAGAAGAGAGCAAAGAAGGGAACTACTGCAAAGTCTCTGTTCGATGGGTACGACTCCACACTCCAATCAACCCACGACCCCATTTTAGCATCTCTGAGAGAGTTTCTCGACAGAGAGAGACAGAGAGATCGAGAGAGAGAGATGGGTTTCCTCTTCTTCGGCTTGATCACGAATCATGACGAGGCAATGTGTGTGGAAAGTTGAGTCGCTCGGTTTGACCAGTGAAAGCAACCGTTCACTGTAGGCGAAGAGATCGACTTTGACCAGTCTTACGGGTCTTCTGGGAAACTATGTTTAGCCGGTCCCACCGAGAGAGAGACCGGGAACGGAGACTAATGCACACGTGGTCAGGCCGGCCCTGCTTTCTTGGAAGCTGCTGCTGATTCACGACACGGGCAGGAACCTGTTGAACTGTCCTGGGAAGCTTGGGAGTTTGAGCATTGAATCCATTGAAGTATCTGCCTGAAGTCATTTAGTTAAATTGCCATGTGGTGCCTAATATCTTTCTGCCTAATCAATTGCGAATTGCAACACAATTTGCGAAATCGCTTTTGCGGTCGTGATTGTTACGATGCCACCTCCACTTGACCGACGTGGCTCGACAATTCTCAACAAAAGAACCCCATATCTTAACGATTCTCTTTCCATTTCCATCGTTCCGAAGAGTGCTTCGTGGACAAATGATTGCATGAACTATCGAATTTGGATTGGTATTTCCTTGCGATGTAACTAGTCAAGTTTGCGAGAACTCTCGTGCAACATGACAAAGCAGTAGAATCGATTGGTCCAGTATAATAAGCCAACAGCCTGAATCATGAATGGGAACGAACTAGGGAATGTCCCACCAATCCTTGAAGATTCCTTCGTCTGCACTTGACCTTAGATAAGGACATCTCCAAGACACTACCAAAACTGCACAAAACACATCGACTCCATCTTCGTGATATAAGAAGCGGACGGAGGTGATCCATCTGCAATCCATTGATACAGCACTCAGAACCAGCTACGTAGATCAAGATGGACCATTCAGCTCCGAGGGGCATTGAAGTACCGCTCCATTGGAATTCAGCTTCCATTTTCATCTACGGTGGCCTGGCCTTGCTTCTCGGGATCGTGATGGTGGCCTTGTTAAAGCTTTCTCTCAACAGGAACAACTGCGATATCGGGGCAGCCGGCGATGCCCAAACGGCCAAGCAAGGAGGCGACGGCGGCGGAAGCGGCGGCGGCCCCCCTGTGGTGGAGATAGTCGTGATCATGGCCGGTGATGAAAACCCCACTCACCTAGCAAAACCTGCTCCGTCCCGTCCACCGGTCAGCGAGCACTTGTGATGTCGATCGGCAGCTACGGCCCGGTTTCTAGTTCCGGCTTCCCGGAGGACAATATAATTTGTATGTAAATTCGGTTTTCCGGCCAAATGTAGGCCAAATTCGTTCATTGTGTAAAAAAAAGATAAATTGATGGAAACAGAAATTGTTGAAGTTAAGGACATAGCCAAATTGTCGGATGAGAGCAGATGAACAAGTTAATCGGAGAAAAAAGTGGTAAATAATTAAAGTTGGTAATTTCTAAGAAAAAGTTAGATAAATTTAAGGCATTTTTAAGACAAGTAAAAAACCTTTGTAAAACAATAAGAAAATTTGGCAACTTAAGAAAATTCAAATAAAGTCGGTAAGTAAATCAAACGGAAGGTTCGACGCAAAAGAAAAAACATATCAAACGGAAGGAGTTGTAACGTAACTTATTGGAAAAAAATTGGTTACTCACGCTAAATATCAAAAAGAGTTAGTCTTAAGAGATTGCTAACCAAGGGAATAAATTTTGATAATTCGATAGAAAAGTTTGTAAAATTAAAAATAATTAAAGCGTTAATAAGTAGTTCAAATGAGAATTGGTAAGTGTTTACCTTAAAAAATAACCAATTTTTTGTTATTATTGACAAGTGATGGGCTTAGTCAATAAGTCGTGGTCTTTTTGACGTAGCTAATGTGTCGACTACTTGAGTAATAGGATTGGGAGAGTGATGTGCACACACGGAGATTCCGCCATAGAAACGAGCAAAAATTTCAGTTCTGCGCTAGTTTGGGAAAATGGTCATAACTTTGTCGATAAATATCGGATTGACCTGATTCCAAAGCCAAAAGAACAAAAACTCTTGAATCTATAACTTTTATGTTTTGAGTTTTTTCTGGAAAAACACTATAGAGGTCGTGACTGGTCAGGATGAGGAAAAAGGATAAGAACTTCATTGAAGAATCGCTAACTTAAAGGAATCAACAAAAAGTGGAGTCAACAATATCGGATGCAACTGCCGAAGAAGTAACCGCCAATGTAGTGGAGTCGAAGAAACCGTTAAGGTTATGGACTCAATGCAATCGTTGGTAACCGTTTGTAACCTCTGTTTGTAACGTGTAACATCTTTTTGTAACTTCTCGAAGTTATTTCTTTGTAGTAATCATTTGTAATCGCTATTTGTAACCTCCGTCGATAACCGTCCATCGTAATCTTTAAGTAGCCACATCGTACTCTTCGAAGAAATCCCAAAAACACAATCAAAAAGTTGTCTTTTTATTTTTAAAGCTTTCTGCTATGTATTTTCAATATCATTAACTGTGGATTTTTATGTCTTAAGTTGGGTATCAATGTAATATGTCATCGATGAGGTTCAAGTACAATTTCTTATTGTGGATTGATGCTACTGCTAATCAGCGGCCTACTGGATTTTTTTGAACCAATTGTATCCCTCAAATTTTTCATCAATCAAGTATTGTCACAGTTTAAATCTGTACTACTTGGCTAAAGCAATGGGTTTCTTTTCTCACCCGGATATCTCTTGTCCGGAATCACCACCGAACCTGGTCTTTTCTCATAAAAACCAAAAAACGACATTCGGTGAATTATATTTCGCTACGGAATCGATTCCGTCGAAATAGTAGGTCGCTCTAATTTTGGTTGGCAGTTTCATATAAAATTAATAAAATCAAAGCGTTAATAATTTATGCAAATAAAAGTTGGTAAGTTAGTACAAAAATTGGTAATTTCCAAAATGAAAGGAAAAAAGAATTAGTAATTTCATAAAAGTTTTGGTTAGTTACCAATTACGATCATTCTTTCTACCTATAGATTTTCGACACATACTACCACTCATTCAAATTTTCTGGCATGGAATAGGAATTCGTATTTTCAGACACGGGACGCAAATCTACGGAGTTCTCTCTCGCATGCTTCGGAAATTTAATCCACTGCGTAATATGATAGGCTTCATTCATCATCAATTAACAGGGAGTAGATACATAATTCTAATTCGTAGGAACTAGGGAACAGAAGTGTTATATGATTCAACTTTGCACAGTCACAGCAAGACAATAAACAACGCAATATGATGAAGATAACAAGCCTTTTCAGCACATGCTATGCTACGATGACGAACCAAAATGAATCTTCTCTTCCTCAGCTCCGAGCTAAAAGCACATGTCCAAGCAACAGTAGCAACACAAACCAGCACAACTGCATAAAAGCAGGCACATAATGTTATTCATCTCTTTAAATTACAGAGAGAGAGAGAGAGAGAGAGAGAGAGAGAGAGAGAGAGAGAGAGAGAGAGAGAGAGAGAGAGAGAGAGATTTATACAATCCCCTGCAAAACCCATCTCCTCTGGACTTAGTTTGATCTCCAGGATGAGCAACACCTTTGAGGTCTCCTTGACCTTGAGCATCTTTCATGGACATGGGATTCACAGGAACTACTGGTGGACCGGTGTACGCATTTGCAGGAACCGAAGCGTGTTCTGAAAATTATCAGGAGCACGAAAAAATCATAATCAGAACAGATGAAATTTAAGTACCACTCAGTATGCATTGACTGACTGCAATGTAAAGAAAGCAGCTAAAGAGGAAGCTTACTTGGAAGATGATTTTGATCAGACATGTTTGAGTTTGATAAAGGGAGCGTGGATTCTGCAAAGAGATGCGAGCAGGGTCGAGTTCCGTTATTGAAGAAGATGCAAGCATATATAACTGAACAAAAAGGTGAGGTGATGAAGGTGATTATAGTGGAGTGGTTGTACTTGTAGCTGACCAAAGAATTCGGCTAGCACAAATGAACGCGTCAATCGTTTGAAATTTACACGGACGAAAGGACGTGGAAAGAAGGGGAATTTAAAAAATTGAATACAATTCAGCTCGACCAACTTGTATTTGTATGTTCTTTTAGTAATGCTAGGTATATGAAAAGTTTAGCAATGTTATCGGCTATTGTGGTATTGAATGCCTGACAATATATGGATATAGTTTGCTTAGGTTCTTTTTTTCTTTTGAACATTGTATATGATCGAAGAGTTGCATTCCGTCTGTCTCAATTTAACTGGTTTATACAATTGAAGCAAGAGAGCTAACCCGGACGTTCAAAGATTCCTGTTGGTTACACTGCAATTCCTAGCATTTTTACTTTCCCTCGTGCTTTTACAGCTTGAGATTATGCGCTGTATCGATACGCAATACTCCATGTCACTTGCGAGTACTCGTATTGATATCATTGAGAAAGATCAGGTAGGTGGCAACTCAGTGAACAGGACATGATCAACTGTTATGCCTCAGCAATTGGATCAAAGCCAATTGCATAGTACTAAGGCTCAGCAAGGATAAAGCATAGACAGCCCAAGCAAGGTGCTTTAAGTGGCAGCCAAAAAGCGAAGCCGAAAGGCGGTTGCTCCGAAGAATACCCCAATCTGTTCAAGAATGTGGGATGTCACGGCTGATGAATAGACAAGTCAGAGCTCACATGACTGCCTGCCCAAGAAAACAAGCACTTTGGGCAGGGAGACCCGGAAAGGTCATTTCAGTTGCCCGATGGAAGCAGGGAAGCTCGGACTGCGGTCATCCATTCTCGCGGTTCTGTTCGGCAGTGCTTCAACAATATGCCGAGTTTTGCGAACGGGCTCTGGACAAGGGGAAGTGTTGCTTCTTGCTGCATCATATATTCTTCAGGAGTTGAAGCACTCTTTTGGTAGCAAGTGTGAGGGAAATGTCGCATGACATCGCTTGTGCATTACCTTAGCTAAAAGAGGAAACTTTGCTTTTGAGCCTGTTCTTTTTGTCCGCCAATTTGACTGCTCAAAAGCTCTCAAAGATTCAAGTGACTCGATTAGAAAACTTAGACTCAAATTTCCAAAAGCACAGCCAACTCCATGGTGGACGTATCCATTACTTAGTTCGATTCATCTGGGGAATAACCCAGGGGATTAGAAAGAGCAACAACTACCTTGGCCTAATTCCCTTATAAAAAAAACAATTTTATTTCGCTATCCAATTTTGATCTCAACTTTTTTTCTTTCCTTTTGCCTAATGAAAATGCACTGCTTTTTTTGCCTCGGTATCCAAACCTCGCCTCTCCCCCGACGTGTTACTCCACGTGTACTGGGCAACTCCTGGGGTTACGTTGATGCCGAAGGATCCCCGACACAATGATATCGTTGGGAGAGTTTTAATTATATGTTAAAACGTGTCATTGACATATGCCTGTTCATGTTTTATGCCTTGTTATGTAAAGAAATGATGTTGAGAATGTTCCGTAGAAAATAAATAATGTAATAAAAGATATTTTCGTTGTCGATAGTGATTTATGTTTAAATATTTTCATGAATTTCAAGTGATATAAACGATCAACTTTAAGAAAATATATTTTTTAAAATATTCATTTTTCATTAAATCCTACATATAATTCCTAGTGCGATCCGACTAAAATAAACATGGTCTTGAAATCGCCCTAACGACAGTCACTCTTGCCAACGTCAGTGAACACCCCTTCTTCTTCTACTTCAATGGCGGACTGAGCGAGCCGTTCCAGTTCCAAATTCCAATTTCAATGGGTCCTCCCTCACCTCCCAATCCTCCATCCACCGCCCCGCCCAATCCCCAGGTCGACGCCGACGCCGACGCCGACGCCGGCGCCGGCGACGTTGCGGGAGATGCGGAGGACAGGAAGCCTGATTCGAACGAGCTCGCCCGGTGAGTTTCTCTTCCCAAATTACCCGTGGTGCAATCGCTGTGTTAGAGCTCATCAAAACTTAGAGCTACTTAGCGGGCGGTTGGGGTTTGGGACTCCGTGACGGACGAGCAATCGTTGTTTAGGTCGAGTTCTCCTGAATCCCCTCGGTTTGAGCTGGATTTTGAAAGAGGGCCGAGCTCGAATTGGTTGTGTGTTGAGAATTGTTTCGGCTAGAGTTGGAAATTGGGGATGAGTGATGGTTCTTTCTTGAAAAGTTTGAATCTTTCCGTATGAGAGTCTTGGGGAATAATTTACGGGGAAGTACCGTGAATTGAACAGGGTATGGCTTCAGTCGAACTATGGAGTGTCGGATTTTGTTTGACTGGTAAGAAATAACCTTCGATGGATTCATGGGCACTCTGTTTTGGAGTAATCTTTTGCTAATATCGAATGATTGAAATGACATGCTAACCACATTGCGCTTTTCTTGAAAAGTTTGAATCTTTCTTATAAGAGTCTTGGGGAATGTTTACGGGGAAGTACCGTGAACTGAACAAGTATGGCTTCAGTCAAACTATTGAGTGTCGGAGTTTGTTTGACTGCTAAGAAACAACCCGTTGACGGATTCATGGGCACTCTGTTTTGGAGTACTCTTTTGCTAATATCGAAATGATTGAAATGACATGCTAACCGCAACGCGCTTTTCTGATCAGTGTGACGTTGCTTATCTTTCATGGAATTGTATATACATCCATGGGGGAGAATCCCGTCCATTACTGTTATGGCGGGCTCATCTCTGTGATAGTATCATTTTTTCAGTTGTACCAATTTTGAGTTATAAGTTGGGACTACTCTTTGGAGCATGCTGGACCCCAGATTCTTCTGAGTCACAATCAGTCGTCTTCCTTATGACCTCTCTGGTAAAGATGTTGGTGAAATACCGAGTCCAGTGTGCCACTGTGGTTTTGCATGTCAGCTGTTTATGTTATGTATTAGACTATTAGATGGTCCTCTCTCTTTCTAGCTCATGCTGAGTTTCCTCTTGGTTTCACTTGCTGTGATAAATTACAGTACTTGAAAATGCCGTAAATATTGAGAGGTTAACAGTCACAGTTGACATTCACAATTGTCAGTGCCAAGGTGATTAATGATGGTCTCAATATTGGACAGGGACTCTAATGATGCCGGGGACATTGAAAAGTACAGAAAATATGAAGCAGACTATACTCGACGACTGATGGCAAAGTACTTCTCAAAAAAGACTATATACGGAGGTTTGTTGTTTTCTAGTTGAGCTTATTTGCCTTTATGCTACCTAGGGGACAAAAGGCTGAATATTAGCAGAAGCATAAAGGCTACGATGATTGTGTCTCAAAACGCTATTTGAGATACTGGCCGCTCAATCAAAAACAAAGATTCGATGTTCAGAATTAGCCTGTCATATTGTCTCTTGCATTGGTGTGACTGACATTCAGGATCAGGATTGCACTAGTTTCTGTATGTTGATGTGGAACATATGCATTCTTTACCTACGGTGCCCTATGGAAAAATTAGCACAATAGGAAAGTGTTATATCCTTTATGTTGGTTGTGGGGATCAAGGAATTTTGCCCTGAATCAAGTCTCAAATTGCAGGTGACATATTTGACGAGGAATTGACAATAGATGGTGAGGTTATAAAGTCAAGCAGGTGCACTAAATTCTATAACATAGTCAATTTTTGCAATTATCATTCTGCATCATAGGCTAAACCGGATTACTTATGTTCAGGTGGCCTTATACCCGATCATACGCAGACACTGTTAACAGTTTTGAGGACCAGAGCTGCAGCGGCTCAGCTTCAGCAGCTGAAACGGCTATGGCCATCTCAAATGGGAAGCATCCACTGAAGAAGAAGGACTGACCCTGATGTTCTCATTCTCGTACTTGGGTTTAATGATTTCACAATTCAAGGAGAAATTGACGTAATAGAATGTTAAAGCTAATGAAGCGTGCTTTTTCTCACCACCTACATCCAGTCTTTGGTAATACTCACCAGGCAAAAGAATGAAATGCTATACGGTCTACTGACCGATTATTGAGAATCTGAGTTTCTAGAGGAATCAGAGGATGCCTTCTTGTATATTTTATGATATACTCTTCATTTTGGAAGAAAGCCTGAAATGAATGGCCCTGAGAATTGAGTTCGTGATAGAGCAAGTCAATACCCTGCTTGTCAATGTGTACTCCAAGTCAATATTTAGTCCTTGAGGAGATGCAATTTTTTCCCATGTGCATGGTTATCTGTAGATATATGGTCGCTCAAACAGTTTCGTAGCTAGAGTTGAGCTGTGGACTCGGTAGACTGAAGCGAATTTGGGCCTCAACGCTTGAGCCGGACACCGTGAAAAATTCAGAAACTAATTGAACAAAATTTCTTATGAGTGTGAAAATTACCTGGAGATCTCTCCCCAGAAGGAAGCATGAGAATGGACCTGGCACTAGTATATATTTTTTTAATTGAGTGCCAACTCTATCTATTCAATGCAACCACCTGGAAATTCTTCTGTTTCCCGTAAATGCTAAACTCCATCGATCCCCAGAAGGAAGCACGAGAATGGACATGGCACTGGTATATCTTTTTAAATTGAGTGCCAACTCTATATATTCAATGCGCCCACCTGGAAATTCTTCTGTTTCCCGTAAATGCTAAACCCCATCAATGCACTTTCCTCCTTGCTTAATTTTGGAATAAGAACACTAGAAGTGTCATAACTTTCGTACGGCGCTCACTTGAGGCCATAACTTTTTTTTCGATCACTTGAGTGCCACAAATTTGAAAAAACGATCACTTAAGTGCCATTGGCGATTTGCCTCGCCAGAAAATCCGATGTAGACGTCAGTCGTCCGACGTGGCTTCGCCGATTCTAACGTGGATAATTTTTAATATATATTTGAATTTTTTGAATTTTTTTTGGAATTTTTTAATTAGCTTTTTTTTTTTTAATGCTAGTGAGTAAAATTTTTCTTTTCCTTTTTTAATTGTCTTTTTTTTAGGGCCGGTGAGGGTCATCAGTGACCCTCGCCGGCTGCAAGCCCGCGACCCCCCAAATCGGCAACGGCCTCGTGGCCGCGCCACCCCGAGCAAAGGCCGCGATGGCCTTGCCCGGGCCTTTGCGGAGGCAAGGCGCCGCCGCAACGCAGCTGGGCGAGGGTCACCGATGACCCTAGTCGGCCCTGAAAAAATAAAAAATAAGAAAGGATAAGAAAAACAAAAACTAAAAATCAAAATTTAAATTTTTTTAAAAAAACATTTAAAAAATTCACGTCGGATGAAAAATTAATTAAAAAGTCACATAGGACGATTTGCCGGAAGTGGAACTTAAGTGAGCGTTGTATGAAAGTTATGACACTTCTACCGTCCTTATCCCGCTTAACTTTCCATACTCACAAACTAAGAAAAGTGCCATAAAAGTCCTAAACCTTTTACATTAGTGTCAATTCAGTCCTAAACCTTTTTTGATGCCAATTCAGTCATAAACCTTTGCGTGCCAATTTAGTCCTAAATCTTTTTTGGTGCCAATTCGGTCCTAAACCTTTTGTTTTGTTCCAATTTAGTCCTTTCGGCCAATTTGACCGGAATTTGCCGACGTGGATGCCTGCCCCGCGACCGCGCCGACGTGGGCACGTAATGGACAAATTAAATAATATTTTAATATTTTTTGAATTTTTATTTTTTTCCTTTTTTTCTTTTTTTTTCCACTTTTTTTTGGGTTTCTCCTTCCTCTGGCCGGCGAGGCCGGCGAGCTCGCCTCGCCACCACTAGGAGGGCGGCTTCGCCTTGGTCGGGCGAGGCTCGACCTCGCAAGATCCGGCGAGGTCGAGCCTCCCGACCATGGTGAGGCTCGAGCCCTCGCCAGGCCGCGGCGAGGCGAGCCTCGCCATGGTCGGGCGAGGCCGGCCTCGCGGATCGCGAGGTTGGGCCTCGCAGCGGCGAGGCCCAACCTCGCGATCCGGGCGAGTTTGGCCTCGCCCCATGCGAGGCCCCTCGCCGGAGGCGCGTGAGGCGAGCCTCGCATGGCTTTGGGCCACGCCGCGGCCGGGCGAGGCTCGACCTGCCGGCCTCGCTGGACCGCCGCTAGGAGGAAGGAGAAACCAAAAAAAGTGAAAAAAAAAAAAAAAAGGAAAAATTAAAATTTGAAATATTATTTAATTTGTCCACGTGACGTCAGGATGATTTGCCGGAGGGTCCACGTCGGCAAATTCCAATCAAAATGGCAATGACTAAATTGGACAAAAATAAAAGGTTTAGGACTGAATTGACACCAATTTAAAGGTTTAGAACGAATTGCAAAAAAAGGTTTATGACTAAATTGGTATCAATGCAAAAGATTTAGGACTGAATTGGCATCAAAAAAAGGTTTAGAACTAAATTGGCACTAATGTAAAAAGTTTAGGACTTTTATGGCACTTTTCCCCTCACAAACCTTAGAATCTCAAGGGGAACGATGCTAACGCACTTTCTCATGTCTGAGACTATTAAAACAGAAAAGACCTACTAATTAATGTAGTAGAGAGCCCCAAAATGTACCATTAGCGCGAACTTTAATTTTGTAGATAACTTGTTCGTCTTCATCAGCTTCTTCTTCCAGGTGCTTCTCTTTCCTGATGATTGCCTTCTCTGTAGTCCGATGATCATAAACATCGCAACTCTTCAATCATAACAACCAAACCATCCCGCAAAAATAGGATGAAACATAGATTAAGGATTGCTCACCGCATCGTCAAGCTCAATCCTGAAACTGAAGTACAAATCCTTGAGCTCTTCTCGAGCTACAATTAGAAGTGGGGAAAATCAGAGAAAAGGAATCACATCTCGAGCCGATGGGGACGGGGAATACATCAAACGGCGATGATGAGAAGGGAGATGGAACACTTTCGGTGCTCACTGTAAAGTTCTTCCGAGCGCCGGGGAACAGGCGGTCTTTGCCGACGCTCAGGCCGGCATTTCTTTGGCTCTGGATACGTCACGGCAGAGAAGACGACAATGCGATTGCCGGGAACTACAAGAAACACCTATGAGGTGCGTGTTTGAAGTACTCATTCCCTTCACTAGAACTAAAATGTGCATAATATGACACATGATCAAGGATATTGAACTTATGTTTTACTATCCTTGCTTGAAGTCTGTGCTCAGCTAAAATGTAAATGGAAGATTGACAGGTTGCTGCCACAGTGGCTCTTGTCCATGATAGAGAGTTATCGCTAGTGATATATGCTTTAGCTTAAATGGCAATTCTGCTCTCTATTTTCCTTTATACAAGTCAATTGCCTGAAGATAACCCATTTTCCTGCTTTTACACCATTGCCTCACCATGCGTCTGCGATGCATGAGGGAAAATCTGCATCATATATCTTTTAAGCATATGCCAATGCCACTTTTGAGCGTCGTAGCATTTACCGACAATTCTATATTTGTTTTCTCAACCAACTAGGAATGATGTGTTGGCTGATCGCCCCTTAATTTCTGTCCTAATATCAGGTGAAGAACTTCAGAGCTGATGAACTACTGGATAAGGTGGATCCTTAATAGCTGCTGTTCTTTCATTGTCCTCTTATAGTTGCCAACTTTAATCCTATTACAGATGTCTTATACTTGCCAATTCCTCGTGCTAGTTTATAAATCTATACAAGTTACGATGCTTGTCCTAGAATAGCATGATTGATTGTTCAGGGTATGCACAAAACCGTTGATTGGCCCGATGAAGAATTTCCCCCACCGAGAACTGTCCTGTCTCTGCCGCCAATTATTAACGACGCAGATTCGACATTAACTTTGAAAACAAAACAGCTGACAAACGATAAATGAGAGAACAAAACAGCCGCCGATTATTACAGTTACTACCGAAGGGTTTGGGACGCTTCATATGTTGAAATCAACTCCAGATCCAGGATTTATTAAAATTCTTTCAACTCGCAAAAAACAAGCATCATTTTCATATTCCAAATCAGCCCTAAAAGCCTAAAACAATGGTCGTATTTGTTTTTCCTTCAACATTGTGCCGGCCCATAGCTGGTCGGGTCAATCTGTGCCTGGGCCGCCCATAGCTGTTTTGCAAGATGACATTACACGAACACCATCCCAGGACCTAAACTGCTGGTTTCCGCACGAGGAGACCTATCAATCCAAAGCGGCCTACTTGCTACGACAATTGCTTTATAATCGTCAAGAGTCAAGCAACCTTGTTTATAGACAAAACCCTGTTGGATATATAGTACACACGAGCCATTCTGCAATTATAAGAACTTATTGACTGCAAAGATCATCAAAATTCACATTTTCTTCAAATCGGTCAAAAAGTGTTGAAGATCTTCCAGCTTTGCACCGCAGAGGCCTGCAAGGTAACAGTTACCGCCATTATAAACGCCAACCATTTTGGTTATAAAACATTATTATGCCAACTATAACCAGGGAGTCCCTCCATATATCTTTAGAAATGTAGAATTAGCAAAGATTCATTACCGGTACTACGATCTACCATAGAGAAATTGTTCTTTTGATGGTCTAATCTCATTTTCTTAGAGTTCTCTGTCTCTTCCATCCTTCTGGTCTTGAACTTTGCTATTTTACACCGAAGTTCATCTGCAGTTCTCATCATCTCTACAAAACAATTGGTCAGCAGACTATTGTCAGAAAAACTTGACTAAATCCATCATTTATCGAGACCCATGTCTATAAACTTGAATACTATCTCCTCTGTTCAGTTACTTAAAATCATTGTCAAAATGAAACTTTTTCCAGTAGTATAACAAGCCAAGATACAAAAACAAACTCAACTGACACTGTCACTGGAGCAATGACTGAACGGAACTACAGTTAGATATGAGCTTCATTTTCCCTTACAAAACGAGTTGTTAGCGGCTGCTAAACAGCAAATAAGCAAGCACTGAAATGTCACTCTAGTTTATCACTAACTAGTGGAATAAAGATTGAGCATCAAAGAGACTTCTATAATTCCAGTGTCCACGAAGATACCTACTGCCGTTCAGGTGATGCCGATTTTCAAATAGCGCAGGTAAAAACTGAAGAAAGTATTGGCACATCCTAAGATTTTGATTAACTTCCATATGAATATATTATCAAGTACGAAGATGAGCTAAAAACAGTTGAAATGTACACACAAAAGTCTAGTGCTGCCATGCTTATCCAAAAGAAAATGTCAACAGTAGCTATGTGAATGGAGCAATTTAATCGTCAATGTGTTAAAAGAAAGACATGAAAATTAAACCCATACTCACACCAGATATCAAATTCCAGAACTCCAGTGTAAAGATGAAGACAAGTGTTAATTAAAATTAAATGGACCAGGAAAATTACCTTGGAATGTGTCGTGCAGAGAGCTTTGACTAGTGGATTCCAGTGCTTCAGTAACAACCTTAGAAAACTGGTCAGTTGAGACAGCATGCCTTTCAAGTACTTCTAGTTCTTGATTCAGCTCAGCAGACTCCTTTATAACCTGTGTAACCTACTTCAGTAAATAAACTCAGAAATTCAATGTAAGGCATTCAATCATGGTTAAAAATGTAATTACCGAAACTAGTCTGTTTCTCAATGAGTCCAACTGCTCTTGAAGCTCGAGATCAACAATTGGATCTTGAGATGAAGGAATGTCACCAGCAGATGTATTCTAGACAAACGATAAAAGGGAAAAAAGATTACCACACTATGATAAGCCTGATAACAGAAAAGTATCTTCCATTCCATGAATGGAAGGTGCAAGGAGACCTCACTTTTTTCAGAGTCCAACGAAAAAAGACTGTTCATCCACTACCAAGTCTATTGATGTCACAATTCCTCACCTCATCCAATTACACTTTTCAGCAGACAAAATTTGAAGATGCACATGCAGTAATGAGATTATGGCATTCAAACTTCTCCAAATCTGACTGAATAAATTGCAATCCAAAGGCAGTGTAAGAACATATAAAAGGGGCTCTATTAGCCCTTTTCTTTGGCAACATGAAGCCTGGGTCCTATCATACAATGTCGCAATATCCAATCATTTCACAATTAAATACTGACAAGAAGAGTAGAGTCGGGCAAAGCATTGCTCCAAAAAGTCACAACTGGCATAATCATTCTCTTACAACAACTACAAAGTAACAATTCGCAAGTTTTACATTGCATAAATCTCTGAAGAGAAAACGTACATCTTTGGGAAAAGAAAATCCTTCGGGAACACTAAAACAGTGGCGAAGACAGTACTTCTCCCACATACCAAGATGCTTATCCAGAACTGATTGAATCATATTGTGCAAGTAGGCAACACCCTGCATAAAAAGACAGTGTACTAGCAGATATAAGCAGTTAAGATAAATCTTGAAGAACTTTCATCATACAACAAAGAGGAGCACATGTCACTTCTAGAATCATATGCAGAAAATCAACGCAATTGCCCACAACGTGCAATAAAGGCAACATTAAAAAGCAATGATGCTCAAATCGAGAAGCGTTTGACCATTTTCTCAAATGATCAGATCAGAAAAAGTATCTAAAACAGTCCAGCCAGTGTCCCAGATTGAAACTGAGAAGGTTCATGCCCGCAAAGTAATAAAAGGATCGGGATGGGGTCTACACTGGAGATCTTTGTCCTCCCCAAAGTTACGCAAGGTTCATGGTTCTAAGAAAAAAAAGATCATGACGTAGAAAGATGAGCCATTTAACAAAACGCATCTACGATCTTTGTTTCCTCCTTTACCCGCGAACTCGCCAAACAGAACTGAGGCTTTCAACTAGATGGATGGGGGGAAATGAAACATCTCGTCAAGCTTAGATTTTTAACCGCGCAGCTTGCATCACATTTCATATGTCCGGCTCAAGCTTAGAAATCTAGATTTTGTGAGCTACCCACAGGTGGGTAGTCAGTTGAATTCTGGTAAAACAGATACTTGAGCTGCTAATCTGAGTCTAAGACGTGTCTCAACTCGATTTTCGCGGCCAATCACAAACACGCCCCCAAAAAAAAAAAAAAAAGAAGAGAAAAATTGCTTAACGAAACCCCTCCCTCGCAGCCTCTTTCACTCCTCTCCGAAGACAAAACCAGACAAACCAAGCCCCATGTAAAGCAACAAATAAGTCGAAACCGATCAAACGGGACATCGACAAGAGTGTAACACCTTGCCCAGATCTCGAGCCCTGTCCGAGCCCTCGGTTCCCAGAACATTCGATGCTCGTCTGTAAAAGCAAATATCACACCATTACCACAACAACAACAACAAGAAGAAAAAGAGCATTGCATTGTAAAAATTAAGAGAGAGAGAGAAAGGATTACTGATGATAGAAGAGGAGGGCTTCGTCGAGCAGATCGTCGACGCTGTTGACGACTTCGTTGATGAAAAGCTGGGGCTTCAGGTTCAGCGACTCGAACATCGCCTCGCTCTCGCTTCCTTCCATTTCCCACGAAACCCTTAAGTATCTGAACGCACACAACTCTAGAGCGAGAGCGATTCGAGAAGTTTTTCGAAAAAAATTTCCCGCCGAGAAGGTTGCAGAGAGGGGCTGAGGGAGGGAGAGAGGTGGTGGTGGATCGTATCACGTACCGATGAGACTGACTCCGTCGGGTCATGTTCCTCCTTTTTTTTATGTGCCGTCTGATCGGGTCGGATCACGAAAGAGGATGTAAAGCAATATGGGCTTTTTGGTTTTGTACATGTTGGGCCCGCCCCCACGGCCCACGGCGGATTATGAAGTTTCTTTTGATTTTTTTTTTAAGGGAGGCGCTATTTCCACCCCTATAACTATACGACTAATCCACTCCATTTTCCATTGAAAAGACAAAATTATCCTCAATCATTTAACTGAAATTTAAATTGTGGCCCCAAATCAATTTACTTTCCTTATTTTTTTTTATTTTTCATTTTACTATTTAGGATCTAGTTACCATAATTAAGCAATTCGTGTTTTTTTTTTGTTTATCATGGGTAATCCGTATATATATTAAAGGCACAATGTTTTCCTTTTTATTTTTGGATTTTACTTCCGTAGAAATAAGCTTTGTCGAGTAAAAAAAGTGATGGTGATAGACACAACATAAGTGAAAGTTTATAAATAAGTGATCTTGTTAAAGAAGTGTCTATGTTAAAATTTTTCTAGATTTTACTTGACAACGCAGAAAGAATTAGGTTTCTTAGAAAATTTTATTTTCAACAAAAATAATTTTACGAAAGTGATCGATTAGAATTAATCAATTTCGTAGTTGATCGCCCAATTCTGATTAGAATTGAAAATCGTGTTTTTATCAGGTGATTGTTTTTTTCTCTAATGCCGTTTTTCCCATTTTCTGGTAGAGAAAACTAGTGCTCCTTTTATAATCGAAGTGTGGAGGATGACGGGGTTGGCATCATAGATAGAAAATAGAGGACGATGAGATGTATGGAAGAAGAAGAAGAAGACGACGAAGAAGAAGAAGAAGAAAAAGAAGGAGCGGGAGGCGTAGACGATTTGTAAGAGCAGAGAATTGAGACGTCAAAGGGGTGGAAAAAAAGAAAGAAGAAAAAAAGTAGGACGTGCAAAAAATAAAAGAAAAAAAATTGATCGAATAATATAAAAAAAAGATCACTTTTGGAGAGCTGTACCAGAAGTGGTAGACTCCACGAGGGATACTATTGTCAAAATACAAAAAAAGGAGTGTCTAAGCTAAAAGAGGAGTGGAAAAAACGCGGCCCTTTTTTAATATCGTGGATTTTGAATCTTTAACCTCTCCTTTCTTTTTTGATAAATTAAAGGTGCGTTTATTTGAGGGAAAGTACTAACTTTCTATAAATCCATTTTCTGAACTTTCACCTGTTTGGTTTTCAAAAATGGTAAGTCAACTTAAAACATTTTCGATCAAGGAAAATATTCATGTATAAAATTAGGAAATTGAATTTCCTAATCTAAAAAGATGAAAATACTTTTCGAAATTGCCCCCATGAATTTGTTAATATTTTTTATTTTATTTTATTTCCTTTTCCTTCTTCCTCTCTTCGCTAGTCCTAAGTTGCCGAGGCCGGCAACCAGCCACAAGTGCGAGTAGACAAGGTCGAGCTCACCAACCTACACCCAGGACCATCAAGGCTAGGCTCGAACCCCTCGTGCCCATACTTGATGCTCCAACACTCGAACTCAGGTCCGCAAAAGTCGTGCTCGGTCCTTGACGCTCGAGCTCTAGTCGAGTTCACAAAGACTGTGCGCAAGTCCTTGATTAATGAAATTATTCTTATAAAATATATTTTTTTAAAAATTTGATATTTTATTATTTTTAACCTTTTATTTTCTTTTTTGCTTTCTTTTTCTTTTTTTCTTTTTTCTTTTCTTTCTTTTCCTTCCTCCTTCTTCTTCCTCCGCTGGATGCGCGCCTCAGCGACGGCTGGTAGCCCAACAACTGGCCAAGACGCAGCACGGCGAGGGCCTTGGCTCGAGCTCAAGGTCGATCTGGCGAGGCAAGCTTGCTTAAGACCTTGCCAGATCCCGGTGCGCTCGAGCTCACCCGAGGTCAAGGACAAGGCGGCCAAGGTGGAGGGAGGCGAGGTTGTCGGAGATGGGCGATGGTGGTGGTGGAGAGGCGGTTGAGGTGGAGAGGCAAATGGGAGGACAAAGAAGGAAAGAGAAAAAATAATTTAAAAAATACAAATTTTTTTTTATCATTTTTACTATCAAATTTTCCTCATCAAATAACTAAAAATACTTTCCAATTCTTTTTTAAGTTTTAGCCAAACACCCAAAAATGAACTCACTTTTCTAGAAATTTTGTGACAAATGTACCCGTTTGAGATTTTTTATGATCAAAAATTAGTTTGGGGTAAATTTGTCACAAGTGAATCAGTTTAGGATTCTTAATGGTCAAAAAATTAGTTTGATGTAAATTTGTTATATGCATACGAGTTTGCAATTTTTCGTGATATTAACCCTATATTATAAGTATACCATATGAAAATAGGTTTTGGTAGAAAAAGGAAAAATAAAACAAAACTTACAATCTAGATAGAATCGAAGGACAATAAGAACAGCCCCCACTCTGCTCCTAAACCGTATCCAAGGGAAACAAAATCATTGTTCCTAAATTTGCGATCAAGTTTTAAATCTTTTATAGATCCAATCAACTCGACGGTTTCTACTAAAATGTATAATCAAATCAAAAACATACATTAAATACTGCAATTTAAAGATGTTGCTTTACAATTTTCAATGTTATTTTGCCACATGTACTCACTTGCATATTTAGAATTCACCGTATCAATCGAAAAGTTTAAAACTTGATCGCAAGTTATGCATGAGATTTGCGATTTTTCAATGTGCTCTCCTTCATCTACAACGTAAATAACAATGCTTGATGACAACCAAGATTTCAACACATGTCGATGTAAATTGATAGCGTGGCAATGCCAACTTGGCACCTTTTGTTTTTTTAGAGGAGAGATGACATTTCTTATCTCATTATTGGAAACTCATCAAATCATTCCACGTGCAAGCAAAATGAACTTGTGTAGAACATATTTAGGGATTCTCCGAACGAAAGACGGAAAAAAGATAAACCTGTTAAGCAAACATCTTTCTTTCTACGCGCACGAAAATATAGAATTAGCAGTTACAAATCCAGAAGTGCAAACAATCTCTTCGTAGCTGTCTCTTTAACTGCCATCTCCTCTAGAACAAACGTCAAACCATTCTTTGTTACACGAACCAGAAGACCAACGTTCACCAACCTCAAATCCCACGTCCAATTCATGCATTGAAACACAGAGGCCGCATGCCCGGACGCCCAGAAAAGAAGAAAGAAAGCTCTCCTTCGATTCGGCCCCGACCCTGCCATGGCTCGCATCAGCAACACCATCGTCACGATATTAAACATCGTCTCCGCCGTCCTAGCGCTCGTTGCCATCGGCACGTCCGCCAATTTAATGGTGCGCAGCAGCACGGAATGCCAAAAGTCCCTACAGAGCCCTCTCCTGATGGCAGGCGTCGTCCTATTGGTCATCTCTTTGATCGGACTCATCGGATCGTGCGGGCGGAGTAATTTCTTCCTATACACGTACTTGACCCTGCTGTTCTTGTCCATCGTTGCGCTCATCGCCTTCACGGTGTTTGCGTTCCTCGTGACGAACGAGAGCGCGGGGAAGGTGGTCTCGGGGCAAGGGTTTAAGGAGTACCGGTTAGGGGACTACTCGCATTGGATGCAGAATAATCTGGTGAATGGGGAGAAATGGAATGGGATTCGTAGCTGCTTGGTCGAGTCCAACCTTTGTGGGAGGCTCAGCGAAGACGTTCATCAGACGGAGGCGGAGTTTTATAAGCAGAAGTTGTCGCCCATACAGGTACTTTCAATTGTGAAACTGTTCTTTGATTTTTAAACTTTAGCGAGTGTAATTTGAATGCAAGTATCTGCATATGTGCAAATGAAGAAGTGCACAATTTGGCCTTTTTATTTTCAAAAGACTCATTTGATGCTCTTCCAAGTAATTATGAATGAGCTTGGAGTCATGCATAATTTCTGCATTTTAAGAATTTATACAGAAGCTTATTGATTTGTGAAGTTCAGCTAACCTCATGATATGAACCCGTGCCAACAGAATTTTTATTTAAAAAAAATTTCACATTAATCTCGGTTTCGCTTGTTTTTCAGTCCGGTTGTTGCAAGCCACCGAGTTATTGCGGTTTCGAGTTCAAGAATGCGACCTATTGGACGGTTCCGAAATCGGGCCCGGCAGTGCCCGACACCGATTGTATAACGTGGAGCAACGACCAGGAAACCTTGTGTTACGACTGCAAATCATGCAAAGGAGGATTCCTAGCCAATGGCAAAACGGAATGGAGAGATTTGCTGATATGCAATGTTCTTCTCGTCGTCATTTACATGGTTGTCTACAGCGTCGGATGCTGCGCTTCCAGGAACAATCGCGAGGACCGCGTCTATGCCAAGTACAGAGGCTATCCTTGAATTTGTGATGCTTGAAGTTGTCCTGCTGGCTTAGATGATGATCTTCCCGAATCAACCTTACAACTCTTTTGGTTGATTGGTTTTAGATTGTCTAGTTAATGAAGCTTTACATAGACTTTATTTACCTATGAAAATGTTTTCTTAAGCACTAGAGTTACTTGTTTATGGCAATGTAAAGAGTATGAATGTCTAGGAAGCCTGCACTATATTCTGCAAGTTATTCAACTTGTCTTCCCTTATCCGATGCTATTTCTCTTTAAGAGGACTCGATCAACCAACCTTTGTTTACCATTGTCTGTCCAAAGCACGTTCTAATACCACGACATGGCAATGAAGAAGCTTCCGCCTTTACCGAAGTCTCCACTCCGGTTAAAAGCTTTGCGACCTTTCTAATCATCCCATAGCAACGCCGAAACCTCGTACATTCAGTTATAACCATGTACAACAGGGCAATGGTAATGGCTGAAAGATGGCCTCAATGCATTTTCGAAGAAGAGGAAGGAAACTTCAACTTCACCAGGGCCAATGCATGCAATTAGGACAAACATAGTTTTGCATATAAGCCATATCTGGATGGACCACGCGCTATAAACAGAGGAGACCATCATCAGCCAGAAATCGGTATTGTCCATACTATCCTCTGACAAACAATGAGAATGTCCACGGATGGAAATGAAATGGAAGCCCAACATTTTCAAACAGTTGAATTTGCAATGCATATTAGTCACTTGACAAACTCTGGATGCAACAAAATTCCAGTGCCACTATTGTTAAAGACCATCACTTGAGAAAGGTACAGCCAAGAAATAAGAACACATATGCCACTAGCGATGTTAAGAGTTCAAGCGTCCAGGTTGGTTGTATTAGAAATGTTGGGATCATTGGCACAAGGACAGATCCACAAACCCAGCCAGTTGCAAGTGCTCCCAGTCTGCAGGCAGCGAAAGTTCAAAAAGTAAAGGACCTCAATACAAGTGAAAGATAGGAGGCACAATGGATCGCATAATCGAAGCTTTACTTACCCAATAGCAAAAGCTCTACCTAAGCTTTTTGTCTTCTCATTCAAGAAATATATGCAAGCTGCCAAAGAGACTGCCACCTGCAAAAATTAAATTCAACTTACAAATTTGACGCATTCGAACCCTGAACCGAGATCTGAAGCCAACTTGATTTGGTATTTCGTTAAAGTAAAAAGGCAAACAAAAACCTCATAATCTTAAATGACGGTATCAGACTTGTGAAATATAGGAAGAAACAAGGGAAAGCTACCCAAATGGAGAACATGAAACTCCCTGGAAATTAGACAAATGCAACCAAAAGCTCTATGAGGTAATTATGCGGTTCACCAGACACAAGCATCAGGGTGCTCCCTAAGTAATTGATGCCAACGTTCCCACAATGGAAAAGACATTCCGGTTCCACTAGCTAAGCTTCATTATTAGAAGCTCCTTCCTTTGCGAGATCTATTTATCTTTGTAAGCAGCATATCAAAGTTGAGATAGAGAAGGAAAAAAAGAAGACTGAGTTTAGGTTGACGGATACCACAGATCTATGGTTTGCCCCACAGCATTATTGTCTTCGAACCTATCTTACTATGATCATCATGCTAAAAATTTGACTTCCCACATGCCGCTATTCTAAGGGTTAAGCTCATCCATGCACTGTCTTGATTCCAAGCAGCACCCCAAGTCCCCAGTTACTTATTTATTCCTCTTCCAGTCAAGCTAAATGATTCTAATCAGGAAGAATGTACCGAGCATATAAGGAAGAACTTACATAATCATACTTGCAGTGACCAGAATAAGAAAAAAGACAAACCTGAAATGCCGGTCCACCTTCAGCGGAGTTCATTATGCTCCACCCACCCATAAATGCGAAGAGAAATAATCTTCTAAATATAACATCAGTTGGAGGAAGTTCAACAAAATTGAGTAGATTCTGGACCCAAGGTGGTGACTCCTCAACCTTCTTCTTTAATCTGCTTTTTAAATTGATTTTTGTTTTCTTTCTTTGCTGAAAGCTTGCCATCAGTAATTTCTCAAAAGCAGCTTCTATCGACTCTTCACTACGCTCATGTCCAGAGTACTGCTGTAGGAGAAAATTCCGCGAACCCCAGATTTCTTCCTCGGAGGCATCAGTGCTGATACCAAGGCGCTTATAAGGATCCCAAACATTGAGTCGAGGAAATGTTGGAGCACTACCTAGAACAAAGCGAAAACAAAAATCCTCTTGAAATAAAGCTCAAGACATCAACACACCCACCGCCACCGCAAAACCAGAGTGACATTTCGTAGTTCACACAACTCCTCAAGATGAAATCTGGGTATCGTCACTAAGTCAACTATAGGAAATTTTAAAATTTCTGATTTCCTCCAAAGCAGTCACCAAAAAACACACATAAGAAACAGACAGCAAGCCCTCTGAAGTCTGAACTTGAAATATGAAACGACATCAGGACTATAATTTTGCAACAGCACATTACCTTTCATAGTTGGCCATCTTAAAAAGCACTCAAATGAATTCTTGTACACATAATTCAGCACGCCATAAAACCTCCCATTTTGGAACATGGCTCTGGAAAAAAAATTTCACTTTTTCGACCAAAAAAAATTCTATGCTCTCGTGTTGCCAAAAGAAGGAAAGTCCTCTTGCATGACTAAATGTATATGCAACGACCCAGCGAAAACAAAATAAGATGACTACAATATGTGAAGCTGTTAGCATCACTCGTGAGCTTAGTATTTTAGGTGAGTTTAAAGTAGGAAAGCATGGTTTTAGCCTCTCCATTCATGCCAAGTGGATGGCAATGTGCATCACCCTATTAAAATTGCGTCTACCTCAATTAATAAAAAAAAAAAAAAACTGAACGTGACATGACCCTTGAATTGCCACCAGGTTAAATAGTGTTGAGCTTGAGATAGTGCTGCGGCACAATTGAAGGAAAAAAAAATCATGTTTTCTCTAGGAATGGAACAGCTCCTTAATAGATTGAATAACTAAAATCGTGCTCTCCTGGGACTAGAGAACTCCCTAGTTGAACTTTTATAAGCTATTTGACGGTTTGGGCTTTTTAAGTCCAGAATAAAACTAAAAGTTGTCCAAATGAAAAGGTTTTCTGCCGAAAAAATACACCAACAGTCATGCTCATCTACCAATCTCAAAACACAGAGGATTAAAAATCTTCCACTTTCATGGCCAAAGAATCTCTCTTGGCCTCCTGATAGAAAGAATGTTCGTCCATTGCTGAAAACCGAATTTTCACCTCAAGGATATCTTTGTTGCCAGGAAGAATCTGAATATGGAGAAGCTGAAGGAAGTACAGAATTTTAAATTGTATTGTCAGTTCATCATACCATATCTCTAAGGAAAAGAAAATAACTTATGCTGCCATTGTTGTCAAGCTACTGTCTCGGAATACCAAGGCACCAGTCTCTTAGTTTTAGTCAAAAGAGTTAAACAACTCATCTGGTTTATCCAAATGCTAATTGCAGGGTGCAATGCTGCATACTATAGTAGATAACAACTGATTATCTCACTTGTCAATATGGTTTAACCAGTTCATAAGATAATGAAGAAAAAAGCTGCTGTTTTGTCTCACAATTCCGTTTTAGGATACTCTATGGATACTGAGTTAAGCTTCGACTTTAGTCAGAAATGATGTGATTTATGCAGTTTCAAACTAATATAAATTCTTCGCACGTCTATAACTATCCATTGGACTACTCCTGCACAGCCCAACCAATGCTTTAAATCCACAGGCTCTCATCCTCGTTATTCATCTCCTATATGCTCTAACAAATCTTCCAACGGTTCCTCACAAATGCAATGGCTGAAAATACGGGTCTTCCTGTATCAGAGCTTGCATCTCCATCAAAGCTAAGTGCGATAAATACGCGTGGACCACTACATCATTTTGTCAACCCATTACATTGATCACGGTCATGGAAACCTTCATTCGCGTCGTGCGCCGACTAAAATAAAAAAACAAACTTTCCCAAGCCTCTGGTAAAACAGAATTGATGGATTAATAAACCCAGATAACGCGCGCACATATGCATCCACCCGTCTAGAAAGCTCCACGAAAAGAAATAACAAAGAAAAGGGTCAACACGCATGACACGTAGGGACATTACCTTCAAGTGCACATCTAGGCGTCCGGACGATGGCACCAGAAGACGCCGGCTTCTTTAAAGTTCCACTGCACGCACGAACTGTACATACACCAGGAAGATAAACAAGTTACCACCTAAAAAGAAGAAGAAAAAAAAAACGGAGCTAAACACATGACAATTCAAAGCGAAGCAAAATCAACCAGTCCAATTCCAACTTCAATTGGAATCCATATCAAGAGCAGAAGCGCAATCAACCACAAAAACTACTCAACGCATCCCATACGAACAACAACTTCGATTCTCCGATGAAAGAGAGAGACAGAGAGAGGGTACAGTTTTTGGCCGAGGAAAGGAGCTGCGAAGCCGGGGTTCGACAGGGAAAGAACGCCCATCCTTGTTGATGACGACGACGATACCAGAGAAACCCTAAATCGAGGGAAGCTGGGGCTCCATGAAAGCGAAGCAGGGGTCTGAAGACGAAGCGGAGGAGACGCCCACCCTCCAACCGCAACAGGTACACGCCTATCGGGTAGCTGGAGAGAGAGATAGAGAAAGGAAGAACTACGGTTGAGGCTATGGCGTCCCTCTATAATACATGTATGAAGGCCGCGACGATATGGTGTGAGACCCAGCCCAGGCCCACTGTGTTGGTAAATTTGTAGTGCAAGATTAGTCTGGGTAATGAAATTTGCAGCAGTACAGGGGAAATGGTTCTCTCGATTGTTTTCGTTTCGGTGGTAGATAGGGGTGCGCATGGTCCGGGTCCAACTTAAGGACCTAATCGACCGATTCTAAACGATTTCCGGTTTCCAAAATTTGGAACCAGTGGGAATCGGACCGCACCGCACCGCACCGGACTGATGAAACAATATAAGCCCCGGCCATGCTTTCTTATCCATAATGATGGGGCGAACGTGCACGTGTTCATCGGTGGGATGTTGTTTTCCAGCGATGTTGGATCCAAGTGATCAAGTTTATGGGCGATTTTGGAACAAAATTTTAGTCCGAGAGGAACTTTAAGAACCGGACGCCATTTCGGAGGACAATTGAGTCAAAGCGATCAAATTCAGGGGCGCTTTGGAATGAAGTTAAAGTCTTAAGAGACTTTGAGAAACGGACCCCACCGTAGGGCGGCTTTTGCAATTTTTCCCGAAGAATAAAATACATTTAAGGCCCTATGAAGATTCGAGAGAACGCTAATTCCTTACAATGCACGGTGAGGGACATATTGGTATCGAAGAAACGTGAGTCAAACCACATATTAGTTTCCAAATGCACTGTCCAGGTTGCTTCCGACGAAGCTAATCACAATGGCTCGTTATACTTGCCCTCATGTATAAAGAAAGACCTCGTGATGTGTAAGACGGTAAGTAAATGCATTAACAACGGATGATGTTATGGTTTTAAATTGACAAGGGGGCAGATCCGCATCTGTAGTTGCAGTGTTCTGTTCTGGGAGAAAAGAAACGCTCTTCTACCAGTAGAGGTTCAGTACGTCTCCATCTTGTTCCTGAGGCACTCACCAGCGCAGTTCGTCTCTCTCTCTCTCTGTGAGAGAAACATGGTCGAAACAGCCTCCTGCGTGCTGTCGAGAAAATTGCCAGACATTTGGCCTCCGCGACCTCCTGAAATCTGGGAACATTGGGTTGGTGTCAAAACACAGCTCGAGAAAGCAGTGAGTGCCGAGCAGCACGGTGTCCGCCATCAGAGCTGCCGGTCTTAAGGATGAGCGGGGGCATCATAAGGTCATGCGAGATGCACGATCTGATGCGTGACCCTTGCACGTTATGTTGGAGGGGACAAAGATTATATAAGGGAGGGTCATGATGATTCTGAGGGGGAAAGTACTATCAATGGAAGCACCCCTCATGTAGTGATTGATAGTTACTATTTGGACAACAAGAAGGTCTCAGGACTGCTCGCTCGAGGTTGCTCGGGTTTAAGTATCCAGAATTCATGAAGTGTCGTCAGGGCTTGCGTGCTCTGCATCTTAAAAACTCACCCGTCGAGAAGTTGCCGGAATCACCTTACCCTTTATGTCTGCAGTTGGCTTAAAGCTCTTCCAGAGTCGGTCTGCGAGCTGTGCTATCTACAGAGGCTCAATCTGCGCGAGTGCATATCGTTGAAAAGTTGAACAACTCGCGGAGGCTGGATCTGGACTTGTATACATCCCTCCCATAGACCAAGCTGGTGAGTCTTTTGACATCTTAACAATAGAGCGAGTAGCGACCAGTCTTAGTTACATGCTGCGTTCGGATCGGACAGTTTACGGGTCTAGAAACATCATCTCGGTTCATAGGAAGCAAGGAGGGGGAAGCCCGGGTCCGGTTTAAGCCAGTTTACCCGGCTCGGAAACTCGACAGGAAGTCTTGCTATACGATGCTTGCACCTCCTGAAAAAAGAGCAAGAGTCTGGGGGACTGGACAAGTCCGGCATTCAGTCTCCCAGTCTCTATTTCGTTCTGGCTCTGATCAGATCGGTCGATGAGCGACAGGAAGAGGTGATGGACACCGAAACCTTGAATCCTCTGTCATCCGCGGATTCATCGGCCACAACTTCTCCGTCTGCGAGGGTATCTCGGCCTTGGATCAGCTTCCCCTCCTCCGGTCCTCTATAAATCATCCAGGTAACTACCGTCATAAATTTACCCGAAAAGTACTTTTACTACACGCGTTTACATGTGTCTCTCCTTCCCTAGTTCTGTCCACTTTTTGCCATTACAAAGATGTTAATAACACTTCGACGATTCTCAAGTTATTTATTACGTCCAAACACAGTTTATCTCAAAAATGTTCATTCAAATGAACCGAAAACTAAAAAAAAAAAAAATCTTTCAAAGATAAATAAAACCCTGAAAAGTTACAAAATTGCTATATTAATTTCATCAGAAATAGTTTAGCGACCACTGAGTTCTTTTTTTTTCATCCCCTGCCCCAAGCCTCACCTCTCTGTGTTTGCATTTTCCTGTGTTTGGATCATCGTACTACTTTAGTTATCAACTTTTCAAGTAGCTAAGGACCCGTTTGGCAAGTTACTAAATAGTAAAAATTTCTGCTCTTTTATTTCCGGAATCAATTTGGGAACAGAAATCCGTTAATTAAATTTTTTGTTCCCGGCACAAATTTGCAAAAAATTATTCCCAAAATCAGTTTTGGAATAGAATTAAGAAGCAAAAAAAAGTAGCTTCTTGATTCTGGGAACAATTTTCCCATTTCTGATTCTTCTTGATTTTTTTCTTCCTTTTTGGTTTCTTCTTCTTCTTCTTCCTGGCCTGCCGCCGGCCCACCGCCCGCGACCGGCCACAGGCCAAGGCCGGCGAGGGCGTCGCGGCCCTCGCCACCTAGGCGAGGGAGGCTCGCGGCCGCGATGGCGAGGCCTCGCCCAGCCATGGCGAGGCTGACCTTGCCGTCCCGACCTAGGCAAGGGAGATGGGTCGCGACGGCGAGGTCGACCTCGCCAGATCTAGGTGAGGTTGAGCCTCGCCCAGCCAAGGCGAGGCCGGCCGCGATGCCCTTGCTGGCCCTGGCCTGTGGCCGGTCGCCAGCGCTGACGACCGGCCATGGCCAAGGAAGGGAAGGAAAAGAAAGAAAAAAAAAGAAAGAAATATTAAAATATTTAAAATATTATTAATTAAAATGAATTTTGTGCAATTACCGAACGCATTTTTGTTCTTTTTCTATTACGCCTTTAAATGTTTAAAAATTATTCCTGAGCACGGAATAAAAAAAAATCATTTCTGAGCAAAATCAGTTCCCGGGTACATAATCGTTGCCATGCGCACCCAAAGTAATGTTCTTCTCCTGTAATGGGAGGAATTGGATGCGCCTATACATAAGCAATTATATGTTGGGATTTTGGCACCAAAATCCCATAGAATTGAATGAGAAGTGTGTGGGTGAAAGTGTCCCACATAGGGTAGAAGAGAGATGGGAGATGGGTTCAAATAGTTGAGCCTCACAAATGGGTTTGGGCCCCAAGGGATACCCCACTTTTGTGGAAGAGAGAGGACCTACGTCAAGCTAGGTCGATCCATCCCCCGCGCACGCGCCGCCGCCGGTCGTCCGGCCGGCTCGGTTCGGTTCCGGGTCCACTCTCCATCGGTTTTTTTTATTTTTTTCGAACAGACACGTTGTTTAGAATTTATTTATTTATTTATTTTTTGGACAAATAAACATGTCTGTTCGTGAGGTTCGGTTCGCCCGAACGGAAAACCGAAGCCCTTCGCGACTATTCACGAACCGAACCGGTTCAAGTGAACCTTCGCTACTGTTCACGAAAACTCGCAACTCTTCATTTTTTCGCCACTTGAATAAGATCGAACAGTTTAGTTCGGAAAAGATATCACTACGTGGCATTCATTTTTTCCCGACGCACTCTACGCATATTCACTTCATCATTGTCATTTGGTGCGATTGTTCTGCAAAATTGCGTTCGTTGGAGTCCTCCGAATACGTACCGCTTCGGAGGAACGAGATCCGTTCTATCCTGAGAGACGATTGTCCAATATCCTCGGGTACTGATTGAGGGGCCAAATTCGTCTTAAGGACACGACGTTAATTCGTTGGGTTCGGATCAACATTCTGCTTATTTGGTTGTACTGCTTTCAGGTTAGTTTTCATAGCGTTTGATTTTAATTTCTGATATACGAACTTAGCCAAACAACAATCTTAAGACGAATTTTCGTTGAATTGTTATTCTGTTTTCGATCTGCTTCGGTTCTGTTCGTACATTCTTTTCACACATTCTGTTCTTGTTACAATTTTTCGTTCCGGTTCATATTAAAATTTTCAATTCTGCTCATGAACAAACGATTCTATTCGTAGTCATATAATTCCGATTCTGCTTGTGAATATGTTCTGTTTTTATATTTCAAAAATGGCTTCGGCTTCGACTCCGGTTAACCCTATTCCGAATCACGGAGAAAAGCCAGAAAAGTTCAATGGTACTGATTTCAAGAGATGGCAACAAAAGATGTTGTTCTATCTCACGACCTTGAACTTGGCTAGATTCCTCAATGAGGATGGTCCTAAATTGGATGTTGGAGAGACAAATAAAGAAAAGGTTGCTGCTGTGGATGCATGGAATCATTCTGATTTCCTGTGTCGCAACTATGTCCTCAACGGTCTGGACAATACTCTCTATAACGTCTATAGTCCGCTAAAAACGGCTAAGGAGTTATGGGATAGTCTGGACAAGAAATACAAAACCGAAGATGCCGGATTGAAGAAATTCATTGTCGGTAAATTTCTGGACTTCAAGATGGTTGATTCAAAGACCGTCTTAAGTCAGATTCAAGAGCTTCAAGTGATTATGCATGATATTCATGCTAAAGGAATGACTCTAAGTGAGACATTTCAAGTGGCTGCCTTCATTGAAAAACTGCCACCATCCTGGAGAGATTTCAAGAATTATCTCAAACACAAGAGAAAGGAGTTGTCACTTGAAGACTTGATTGTTCGGTTGAGGATAGAGGAAGACAATAGAAATTCCGAAAAGAAAGTTGGCAGCAATTTGGCGGTCTCAAGAGCCAATGTTGTTGAAGAAGGATCAAAACCCAACAAGAAGAGGAAAATGCCTAGCAAGTCTGGAGAGGGATTCACCCAAGGCCTGAAGAAGTTCGTTGGCAAGTGCTTCAACTGTGGCAAGTCTGGACATCGAGCCAAAGACTGCAGAGCCAAGAAAAGACAGAAAACTCAGGCTAATGTGGTGGAACAAATTTCCAATGGTGTTGATGATATCAATCTAACTGCTATGATATCCGAGTGTAATATGATGGGAAACCCCAAGGAGTGGTGGATTGATACCGGAGCAACTCGTCATATTTGCGCCAATAAATCAATGTTCTCATCTTACATGCCTATGGAAGGTGATGAAAAACTCTACATGGGTAATTCATCGACCTCTAAGGTTGAAGGTGTTGGAAAGGTTGCTCTAAAGATGACATCTGGGAAAGTTGTGACACTAAACAATGTCCTACATGTGCCAGACATACGCAAGAATTTAGTGTCCGGATCTCTTCTTAGCAAGAATGGCTTCAAGTTGGTTTTTGTATCCGATAAGTTTGTACTCTCCAAGAATGAGATGTATGTAGGAAAGGGTTACCTCAGTGATGGTCTTTTCAAGTTGAATGTAATGACTGTTGTACCCAATGATATTATGAATAAAGTTGTTTCTGCTTATGTGCTTGAGTCTCCTAATTTATGGCATGCTAGATTAGGACACGTTAACTATAAGTCGATAAAGAAGTTAATGAACATGGGTTTATTGCCAAAATTCGATTGTTCAAGTGAGAAATGCCAAGTGTGTGTTGAATCTAAATTTTCTAAGCCTCCGTTTCATTCTATAGACAATAGAGTCTCAGAACCTTTAGATTTAATACACACAGATATATGTGATATATAATCAATACCGTCAAGAGGTGGTAATAAGTATTTTATCACATTTATAGATGACTGCTCGAGGTATTGTTATGTTTATTTGCTTAGTAGCAAAGATGAGGCTGTGAATGCTTTTAGAATTTATAAGTCCGAAGTTGAAACTCAGTTGAATAAGAAAGTTAAAATGATAAGAAGTGACAGAGGAGGTGAATATGAATTTCCTTTTGAGGAAATTTGTGCTGAGTTTGGTATCGTTCACCAAATGACTCCTCCTTATACGCCGCAATCTAATGGAGTGGCGGAAAGGAAAAACCGGTCTTTAAAGGAAACAATGAATGCATTGTTGAATAGTTCCGGTTTACCACAGAATTTGTGGGGGGAAGCTGTTTTGACGGTGAATTTTATTTTAAATAGAGTACCCCACAGAAAGATACAACAAACTCCTTATGAGAAATGGAAAGGCAGAATGCCTAACTTGAATTATCTCAAAGTGTGGGGGTGTTTGGCTAAAGTTGCGGTTCCTAAGCCTAAAAAGGTTAAGATAGGACCAAAGACTGTTGACTGTGTCTTTATTGGATATGCTCAGAATAGCAATGCATATCGTTTTCTTGTTCATAAGTCAGAGATCCCATATATACATGTTAATACGATCATTGAATCAAGGGACGCTTCGTTCTTTGAAAATATATTTCCGTATAACATAGTATATGAGCCAATTGATAATAATAAGAGGTCTCGAGATACTATATCTAGAAATGATCCAATTGAGGATGAACCTAGACGTAGTAAAAGACAAAGGACTTCCACGTCTTTTGGACCTGATTTCTTAACGTATCTGTTAGAGAATGAGCCTCGGACATTCAAAGAAGCTGTGACTTCGCCAGAAGCCCCGTTCTGGAAAGAAGCTATCAATAGTGAAGTTGAATCCATCTTGTCAAACCATACATGGGAATTGGTTGACCTTCCTCCCGGTAATAAACCACTACAATGTAAGTGGATTTTCAAGAGGAAAATGAAAGCGGATGGTACTATTGATAAATATAAGGCTAGGCTTGTAGTAAAAGGATACAAGCAACGAGAAGGTCTTGATTATTTTGATACTTATTCACCTGTTACTAGAATTACATCTATAAGGATGCTAATTGCCATAGCAGCGGTGTATAAGCTTGAAATCCATCAAATGGATGTTAAGACGGCTTTCTTAAATGGGGATTTGGAAGAAGAAATATATTTGGAACAACCCGAAGGGTTCATTGTTCCAGGACAAGAGAAGAAAGTATGTCGGCTTATCAAGTCACTTTATGGATTGAAACAAGCACCGAAACAATGGCATGCTAAATTCGACCAAGTCATGTTGTCGAATGGTTTCAAGATCAATGAGTGTGATAAATGTGTATATGTTAAGAACACTCATAATGGTTTTGCCATTTTGTGCTTATATGTAGACGACATGCTTATAATGGGCAGCGATAGTGAGGTTGTTAAGGCGACCAAACGCATGCTCACAAGTAAATTTGATATGAAAGATATGGGGGTTGCAGATGTTATTTTAGGAGTTAAAATCCATAAAACATATGGAGGATTAGCTCTATCACAATCCCATTATATCGAGACGATTCTTGAAAAGTACAAGAATTTAGATATTGTACCAGTAAAGACTCTGATAGATGTTAATTTACATCTTTCAAAGAATACTGGTGAAAGTAAGGCTCAAAATGAGTATGCTAGTATACTAGGCAGTTTAATGTATGTCATGAACTGTACTAGGCCAGACATAGCTTGTGCGGTTAGCAAGCTAAGTCGATTTATAGTTAGTCCAAATGAAAATCATTGGAAAGCTATGAAACGTTTATTGGGCTACTTAAAGCATACTCAAGATTATGCTTTGCATTACACAGAATATCCAGCGGTACTTGAAGGATACTGTGATGCAAATTGGATAACCGGCACTAAAGACACAAAATCGACAAGTGGATATGTATTCACACTTGGGGGAGCGGCAGTGTCTTGGAAATCATCCAAACAAACTTGTATTGCTAGATCCACTATGGAATCAGAATTTATTGCTTTGGATAAAGCCGGTGAAGAAGCAGAGTGGCTTCGAAATTTCTTGGAAGATATTCCTAATTGGCCTAAACCAGTGCCCGCTATTTGTATACATTGTGACAGTCAAGCGGCAATAGGAAGGGCAAGGAATGTCATGTATAACGGTAAGTCTCGACACATACGTCGAAGACATGACACAGTAAGACAACTTCTTTCTAGTGGAATTATCACCGTTGACTATGTGAAGTCAAAAGATAATATTGCGGATCCATTGACAAAAGGCCTAACTAGAGAGATGGTTGCAAAAACATCAAGGGGAATGGGTTTAAGGCCTATAAACAAGTCATCATAGCGGAAACCATACCTAGTTGACTGGAGATCCCAAGATCTAGGTTCAAAGGGACAACTAAGTTATGAAGACAGTGTAGAGTACTGTCAAATTTTTACTCATTCCCGGATGAAGACAGTACTAATATGTGAAGGTTAAGCAAAAGCTTTTAATGATTTTGAATTGAGTATGTGATATACTATATGTTCAGAAATCACCTATGTGAGTGTGAAGTGAGGGCCACTTCTGTGAAAATTGAAAAGGCTGAATTCTCTAAAACATTCATGAGACCAGGCCGTGTGCATGGCCAAAACGAACACAACAGTGAGAACCAATTTTGTTCGAGAAACAGTTGTGTGATTTCTATTGTCTAGGCTTACACCAAAGGTCGACAGTTCAAAGACATCAAGTCTACTGATTGACTGAGTAAGTCCGATAGGTTTCACTAAGGAAAGTTCAAGGTCTCAGACTACTTATCCTGATGCAACGTTTTCTCATGGAATAATCGCACATTGCATCTCATGCATACACGAAGAGTCGTGATATCTGAACTTCTCATTCATGTGGAGGATTGTTGGGATTTTGGCACCAAAATCTCATAGAATTGAATGAGAAGTGTGTGGGTGAAAGTGTCCCACATAGGGTAGAAGAGAGATGGTAGATGGGTTCAAATAGTTGAGCCTCACAAATGGGTTTGGGCCCCAAGGGGTACCCCACTTTTGTGGAAGAGAGAGGACCTACGTCAAGCTAGGTCGGTTCACCCCCCGCGCGCACGCCGCCGCCGTCCGTCCGGCCGGCTCGGTTCCGGGTCCACTCTCCATCGGTTTTTTTTATTTTTTTCGAACAGACACGTTGTTTAGAATTTATTTATTTATTTATTTTTTGGACAAATAAACATGTCTGTTCGTGAGGTTCGGTTCGCCCGAACGGAAAACCGAAGCCCTTCGCGACTGTTCACGAACCGAACCGGTTCAAGTGAACTTTCGCTACTGTTCACGAAAACTCGCAACTCTTCATTTTTTCGCCACTTGAATAAGACCGAAAAGTTTAGTTCGGAAAAGATATCACTACGTGGCATTCATTTTTTCCCGACGCACTCTATGCATATTCACTTCATCATTGTCATTTGGTGCGATTGTTCTGCAAAATTACGTTCGTTGGAGTCCTCCGAATACGTACCGCTTCGGAGGAACGAGATCCGTTCTATCCTGGGAGACGATTGTCCAATATCCTCGGGTACTGATTGAGGGGCCAAATTCGTCTTAAGGACACGACGTTAATTCGTTGGGCTCGGATCAACATTCTGCTTATTTGGTTGTACTGCTTTCAGGTTAGTTTTCGTAGCGTTTGATTTTAATTTCTGATATACGAACTTAGCCGAACAACATTATAGTGCTGTCTTCAGTAACTTTTCTAGCAATCAGTAGGTTTTTATTTCTCCGAGACAAATGAAAACGTTTAGCCTTCACAAGTTCATGTGGTAAACGCCCAACGCTACCTTCTGTCACTAACTTCTCGAAGGGTTTAGTAAATTTACATGTACTCCTGTAAATAATGGTATTAGCAAGTAAAACTCGAGCTGGGTACATGTATTAACATTTTTTTTCGACTCCTCTACTAAAATGATAATGGGTAGAAATCAACCAAGCATTCCAAGAACAAGTAATATACATACCAGAAAAAGGTGTTGCACAGTCGAAGAGAACTTGAAAACAAGATTTTAACTCGAACTACGAAGTTTGTAAGGATTGATGACTTCACAGTCCAAGGAAAGAGAGTCTTCTCTTGCGTGATGTGATTCCAGTACTATTGGGTATTTCTGCTTTCCTCATTTTTATTCACCTCTCGACAAATATTGGCGTTGTGCCTTATCAATCGTCACAAGTCCACCCATCTCCTATATCGGCTATCTATTTGACCAATAAAGTTTTTGTTCTCGACACCAGTTTACAATACTTGGACTCCCAGTAGATACAAGCTTCTCGGTCACATAATTCTGAGGGTAAAATCTTTGGTTTCGTGAAGATTGATGCCCCGATCATACAACATGGTCACTGAGGGATTCCCTCTGAACTGCTGTTCGCTGCCAGGATGTCAAAAGCACAATCAAATGGCTGAACTACATAATCTCCAAATCAGCAATAAGAATAAAACTGCAAATCAAAAAATTTTAGTTCACCTGCAGAAGCATTTGCCTCCATTTTTGTCATCATGTTTCGGTACTGCTAGCATATAAGAAATGACCATGGGTACATACCTTTCCTAGAATGATGGATCCCGGACGTTTTCATCCTTCATAGCTTAGGCTTTTTGTCAAGTTGCACCAACTGCTGTCGCAAAACCCTTCTCATAACCTTATTTGTAGCTGTCCTTGGAAGAGATGAGACGGGCACAACGCGAGAAACCTACATAAAACAGAACTAGTTTGTGTGTAAATAACACAACTGGTGTAGCACAAGAGGTTGAGGGCATGGCTATGTAATGCAGAAATTGGTACCCTGAACAAAGGGTTTAGTCTCTTCTGCACAGCTGAATTGAAAGCTATCCTTAGTTTATCCATATCAGGCACTGGTTCCATCAGCACTGCAGCTATTATCAATTGCTCAGGTCCACCTTCAGCAGGGGGCACCCCAATTGCAGCAGTTTCAAGGATATTTTCATCAACAGCATTGCAAATTCGTTCAATCTCGATGGAACTCACCTGTTTAAACCAAAATACCAAGCCAGTCAAAGGTTCACAGTTTCTTCACTCAATGAAGTCATTGTTCAGTCGCAATTAGTTTAGGAGCACCCCAGCTTATACAGTGATGATGAATGATCATAGATTTAGAGAACATGAGTACTGCAAACAGATGAACATCTACTTTACTCTGAAGAGATGTATAAAACGACATATTTCATGACAACATATCTCAAGTTCCTCTACATGAACAACTCACTCTAACTCTATAATAACTGCAATCCTTGCATGCATGAGTTATGATAACCAAGCACCTGCATAAAGGATATTTCCCTTCCAAGATACACATTCTTAGTTGGTTTTGAAATCTATACTTGGTAAAACAATGTCATACAAAATGCAAATCGGTACTTAAGAAATTCACCATTAACATTTTATTAGAGGAGTCATAACACTGAATTGATCATCCCCCCCACCCCACCCCACCCCACCCAAACCAAATTTTTTTTTCTCAGAGGAGCCCATCCTCCTCCACCCAGAGACCCAAGTCTTTAATCCCCCGACTCCATGCAATCCTCTTCCTGTAGCTGGGATCTTCAAAAGAAGAAAATGATTGGCCCCTCTTTGTATTCGTGCTGCTCAGATGATTACACCTAACCAGGTTGACTAGTATCGGCCACAGCACTAGAGGCAGTTAATCACCCTCGAGACAGTCCCTTGAGTTAAGGTTCATAATTCAGTGCACAAACTCTGGCCACTTGGAATGTGCCGGGCATCAGCATTTTATGTGCAATATTCTCCAGATAAACAATCACAAAAAAGCCTGAGCCTACATGAATAGTCATTAGCTAACTCAACACTGTACTTCTCCAATTTACCCAAGCGAAAGGACCTAACAACAGAGTAAGAGTTGACATAATTATCAAATACAGCAAGTAATCAGCTGCCTCCTCATATGAAATACGAAATTTAGTTATAATGATGAAATCTGAGACCAAATAAGAGGGAAAGTATCCAAATTTTGCAGTCATCTTCCATGCCATGACATTTCTCATTTCTCTCATTTCCTACCTCCGCCACCTCAAGTCAGATAAGAGGAATATGTCTTCTGAAAACAAAAGTAATTAAAAGATACACTGTCTAACTCTGTATTCCAAGCTAATATCGCCCATTTTATCCTCATATTAGACATGAAAGGTTTCGCAACATGCACCTTATAAAGCTGAAGAAATTGACAAAAACTAGAAGATATCACTGTCATGCCATTTTTCTGCAAAAATATTATCCACCAAAATTCAGGTAGAAAACCTATTCCCTGAGGACCTTAAACTTCCAGCACGGTATCAAGTTGGTTCATATGTTCATAATCCCATATATAAGTAGCAGTTATGGGCATTCAATTTAGCCATATGTTTTGAACGATATCCAGGCAAAGCACATACCTTGATACCTCCGAGATTCATTGTATCATCTGCACGACCATGTGCATGATAGTATCCTTTAGAAGTACACTCAAATAGATCACCATGCCTCCGCAAAACCTGTGTAGAGAAAAGATCTCCAAATTTTGAATAAAATATAACCGTGTAATTCAAAAGGTTTGACAATTTATGAGCTCACTTTTCCTTTCCAAAGGGGCATTCCTTTAAAGTAGACATCGTAATGGTTTGCATTAAGCAGTGTACTTGAAGACCCAAACATGACTGCTCCGAGTGCCAATTCCCCCATTCCTGGAGCATCTTGTGGCTGCAATTGAGCACCGATTAATTTAGTTGTTATCAAAGTTGTAAAAATTCTAGGATTTTCAAGGGAGAGGGAGAAAGGAAATATTCAAGGGCTACATCTTTACTAAATGACTTGATAAAAGAGTACATAGACTGCTATATTTATAGAGCATGAGAGATACCCAAAAACCCTAATTACCTTATTATGACCGCTTACTAACTACTGACCAATATTTAACAATATACTTCAACACTCCCTCAAGCTGGAACACCCAACTTGTCCAATAGGTGCAACTTTCTTCTGAAGTCTGTGACCAAAGTGTCGTGCAAGCCAGATCTTACACTAGGTGATAGATGTCGATACATCAAACTGGATTTCAGGCAACAATTGTGCAATCGAACATGAGTCTCACAACAGATAACCTCCATAGTAGGCTCATTGAGATTTGAGAGGACCAAAATTAGGGAAGTTTCTGAAGATGAGGCGGTGCAGATTGAGCACTAACAAGCCCCTTGAAAGCCCTTTTCTGTGTTTTTCTTCTTTGGGAATTGAAAATGACATAAAAAAAAAACAAAAGCTAAGACTAAAGCCAACAAACTAAATACGACAGTAGCTTGATTTTGATGGAGAAGCTGAACAAATGACCACGATCAAGAAAGTTGCACAGCGGAATGAAGCTAGAGTGCACAGAGGCTTGACTTGTGACAGACTTCACCAGCACAAGGATGCTGGCGACAAGACTGATGAGGCCCTAGGGAACAATGACAATTCCCCATGATGATGACAGAGAGACAAGTGGCTCACGAGATTCGTTGCTCTCAAAAGTTAAAGAAGGCCAGCTCAGTCTTTCGATCTATGGGCATCGCTCTTTTCACTAGTAAGAACTATTTATGATTGAGCTAACTGACCGAAACCTTCCTTTCCACTGCAGTCGGGTGGGACCTAGATGGCTGGTGGATTGAGGTTGATTTCAATCCTTCAAAGGGCTAAAGAGGCTTGTTACGGCCTCTCTCTTGATTGGAAGAATCGAAACACATTGAAATGTGAGGTTCAAGCACTGCCATCCTTTGTTGGTCGAGTTCTCTATGTAATTTCAACAATGCCTTTCAAAGCCCAAAAGGCTGTAACTGCATCTTTCGGGAAACTAAATAATAGGTGTCACAACCATGATTAGGAGAAGGTATCTTGTTCAAGGCGAATGGATGTCCTTCTTCCAGTCTTTGAGCCTGTCTGTTTGTATGTAGAAAGTGATAGTATATTTAAATATTAAACTATGCTTTCATCTAAATAGCTTAAGCTTTTGGGTTGGACTTTCTAACGCGGTATCGAAGCAGGATGTCCTGAGTTAGAATCTTTTTAGGCCTCATTTGCCTCCCCAATTAAATATGTCAACACTTAGTACTAATCGAAAGGACCAGACTAAGCGTGAATGGGAGTGATAGAATATTTAATTATTAAACCACGCCTTCATCTACCAACTTAAGCTTTTGGGTTAGGCTTTATAACATAAATGGATCAATCTCTATCCGTCCGGAAACTCACAAGCAGAGGACAATCATGCCGCTCATGAAGATGACCGATTGTGGCTATTCTCAAGGATGAAGTTCGGTGGACGAAAAACAAACGACTTGGAATGACGAATGGAGGTGGTCTCAGTGTTAGAGTAGAAAAGAGGGTTCTTTCTTTCTTTCTTTCTCTCTTTTGATGGACAGCAAGAGGAAAAATAAAGCTAGGGTGGGTCCTCTCTAACTGTCTCTGATACCACGTAAACATCCTAGGATCTTCAAGAGAAGGGGAAGAGAAAATACTCAAAGGTTATGTCTTTACTAAATGAGTTGATAAAAGAGAACATAGAACATGAGAGATGCTCACAAGCCTTAATTGTTTATTTATGACCACCTACTAACTATTGACTAATATTCATAAATATACTTCAACAAAAGCAAAGCTCTGGGGAAGTTTGTGCATGCAAATATAAATCTGGGAAAATGCATTCAACAAGAGGTCGAATGGGAGAGTTGAACGTATCCAATATCATAAAATAGTCAAGGTGCCTGACTCCAATATTCAACAAGCAGTTTGAAAGCAAACCTGGAAACATTATTACGTGTATTAGAATAGCTAGCATGTCATGAATCTCAAAAACCTGGCCAATTTTGAGGTGGTGATCAGCGTGTTGTCAATCTCTGAAGCCTAGCAATTTCCCAGTCAAGACATTTTAAAAGCAAAGGGCATGCATGTCTTGCTTAAGATTGAATTAAGGTTATGCAGTACTTACAATAGGAAGGCCATCATCCCCAAGGATAAACAAACTACAACCCATTACTGGTGTACTGAAAGCAGCCGATGACTGTGCCTGCAATAGTGAGCCTGAAACAAATGCGCCCCCAATCTCTGTACCGCCACAATATTCAATAATAGGTTTATATTTAGCTCTCCCCATCAACCATAGGTACTCGTCTGCATTAGATGCTTCCCCAGTAGAGCTAAAGCACCTGCCACATCCAATACAAAAGATTGCTTGAAAATTGACAGAAATGAATGCAGAGTTCATACTTAACACAAAACCTAAACCTGAAATGTAAACAAATTTCAAGAACTAACCAGAACTAAAGTAGACAACATGAAATGACTAACCGTATAGCTGACCAATCATAGCCAGATGTGGACTTCGAATTCTTCCATGCTCGCACAATACTTGGAATGACACCCAGCATTGTTACTTTAGCATCCTAGGAAAGATTCAACCAAATGTTAGGAGAACATATTCAATGAAGAGTCACAGCACAAAAACCAGATAATATCTAATGCCAATCATAAGATTTGCATCTCTCAATTCATTCAGGTTTCTTGTTTTACGAGAAACCTGAACGAGCTGTTACAATCAGTCATAAAGAAATGCATAAAATTCTCTGATATTTACTTTAGCATAGATATAATTGCATGATCTATATTCTACAAAATGATCTCTCTTACGGGTGTAACACCCTCAGGGAGGGAAGTAGGAGCTGTAAAATTACTAGAAGAAAATAAGAGACAAAACCTTCGAACGCAACTACCGACTCAGCCACTGGTAAAGCGTTCTTCATGCATCCATGTGCATTTGCATACTTTTCCTGAAAGCTAAAAGTGTTACTTTCCTCAATCCCTTTAATCTACGAGTCCTTGAGTATGATATGCATTTTACGACATTTCTCCCTAGAACAGCATACAGTTTATGTAGAGGGTTTTTTTAGCATAAATGCACATTCAACAAGGGGCTGGTAATTTTAGACTCAGAATAACACAGTGCTAACCTCGCTTAGCCCTCTTGCCTAAATAGTAAAGACTTATGAGAGAAATACATCTCTGCACGCATTTTCCTGCTGTGTAGATGCATCTTGTCCACAGTTTATGTCAACTTAAATTGTTTATCTAAGCTTACATTAGCCTTTGCGACAGTCAACGATGAGCTTCTAATATCTGATCTTGATATGGAACCAGAAAGAATATCACGTCTTTTAGGTTAAGAACTTTTTTTATCGGCAAAAGTGTTTTATTAAGAGGCAACACGGGTGTGCCAAACCATTTGCAAAATCATTCACAGGAGAAGGAGTCCAGTAGGTCAAGGATAGCATTCACATCAAACTCATGCTGTGTGAACCAAAACTTCCAAGTAAAAAGCCATGAAGTCCTATCTATGCTTTGCTTTGAACTGACTAATAACTATGCAAATCATTTCAATGACTCCTCACTGATCATCCATGTCTTTTCTATGCTTTAGATACATATGCCCTGAGAAAGGAAAATTACATAATTTACCTCATGAAAGGTGATTTTACTCTATATATTGCCCAACGAAATGAACAATTGTTAAATAGTGCTTCTGTGGTATCTTTTTGAACAATTTTTATTCTTTTACCATAAAAGAGCTGCTAGAAGTGCCTCTTTTATCTTTCTGCTCTATTGACAACTATCTTTATGCTGCTTTGCCTGAACTGATAGATAGTCCCCAACTTTTACATCTGATATTCCCTAAATTATGACAGTGCTCCTAGAAGTTTTAGTTCTTTCACTCCTCCCTATTTATCAGTAACAATCAATCAGTAGTTCAACAGTTTGGCAGTAATTTGGCTAGACAATTGCAGTCATTCACCACCAATAGAAAATTACAGGCCACGGAAAAAATCACAGTATTTTGAATAACTACCTGGACGAACTTCGCAAAGCCAGAACCAAGAGGGGATCCATTATATAGTGCCATGGCAGCGCCATTCAAAAGGGAAGCATAAACTAGCCAGGGACCCATCATCCACCCTAGGTTAGTGGGCCAGGCAACAACATCATCTTTATGAATATCCATGTGGCACCAAGCATCTGCAGCAGCCTTCAAAGGAGTTGCGTGTGTCCATGGAATTGCCTTTGGCTCCCCTGTAGCATGAAATAAGGATATATAAGCCTACAACAGCAGTTGCATATTTGGTACTTAGGAATGCTTTCAACAAGCACATTGTAGATGGAATATAGATGCTTTGATTATCTTGAGAAATCGATTCATTCAGAGAACCCATTAACAATAACACTCGTCCACACACAAATATACAGAGCAATATGACCTGTAGTTCCAGAAGAAAAAAGGATGTTTGTAAAAGCCTCCACCGGTTGTTCCACAGCAGCAAATTCCTCCCTGCAGTTAAATTGTAAATTGAGACAGAATAAGGAAAAAGCAGGCAACAACATTTCACCGATCATTAGGCCAGCATCAATACATGGTAAAACAAACATGATGCATTAATAAGAAATCAAGCCATATGTATTGAACGTCAAATTAGTAAGTAAAGCATTCCATTCACACTGAATGGCCACAAGAGAATCCTGGCCAGATGATTAAGTTTTAAGGTAACACATTCACATGCAAGGGCTACTTTTAAGGAAGATCTACCTATGAATGTGAAAAGGAACAAAACTGTGCTTAACCACATCCCACGTTAGATGGTGCATTCATGTGTTACCGTGATCAGAACAACATCCAGAAATTAACTTGCAGTGGGCCAGAGAGAGATAGAGACCCGTGTGCTGAACTTAGATGAAGTAAGCCTAGGATTCAGATAGTGTTTGAAAAAGATAAGATAGATATCCAACAAAGTTGTATATATCTATGATATAAAAATGAAAATTTTAGATAAAACCATCGATTATCACCTACATTTATAAAAATGAAAAAACAAATAAGTAAAGAGGACATAAGTCAAATTTAACCCGATAAAAGGAAAATCATGCTGAGGCACAAGATAACATACTTGACATGCTCGACTCTTCCTCGAAAATCAAGCCAAGAAATGTCACCATCACGCAATTCCAAAGTGGAACCTTTTGTAGGAATGACTATTGCCATTGGTGATTGGGCATCCACAACTCTACTGCAGAGATGATGCTGTACTGTCAGAAATGTTGTCAACCTCCATGACGTGAAAAATAGAATATTCACATCCATGTACTGTGAACGTGGAGAAGTTCACCTGTACAAAGGTATACTCTTTTCTCCACGAATGATTACATCCTGATAAGATGTGCTTGAAGAAATATTGTCAGAAAGGGAACTTACATTTTACTCAGCTAGAATCAGAATAAAATAAAGGATGTGGATAAGAGATATGAATATATACCAACACAAGTTAAAAGGAAATAGTAACAATAGCACAAAAAAAAAATGCAGGAAAGCCTTTCAAATAGTTTTTATACATGATAACCATAATCTCAGTTTGCTTGTTGAAAAAGAGAAAAGGAGCCAAGAATCCCAATGGCTTGCCTTTATATTCTTACTGCTTGCTTCACTCTTTGCCTTTTAAGTTCAACCATGTACTAAAATCTGGTGAACACATGAAAGGATAGTACACGGCATAAGATGCGCGATATGTGCTTTCCTTTGGTAGCAACAGACAGAATAATGTCTGCTCCCAGACAACTCTCCATTTCTATGATTTCAACATCCAAAGAAAAATTCTCCAAAGAATTCACAAGCAGACAAAATGCAGCTTCAGAATTATTACCCCAAAATTAGTATGAGTCGTCAAAAAGACGTGTGAATCATTACCAGTGTTTATACCGTTTAATTATCATAAACAAGGAAAAGCCTCCATAGAGTTTAAATTTACGCGGTAGTGAAAGCCGCTTAAACAACAACAATATTAAGGAAGCCAACGTCTTAAATCAATTAACTTGTTCCTGCAACCTAACCATGTCTTATGATTCATTACTTTCTTAAACTGACTGACAAGCCTACTATTTAGTCAGTCACTTTCAGTCAAACCTCAGATAGCAAGTACACAAGGCACAGAGATAGCATGAAAGCCGATATAGACACATAGCTCAGCAATGAATTAGAGAAACATACGAAGAATCCTACATGAGTAATAGGTGAGAACCTGAGTAAAAATTGCCTTGGCTCCAGATATTTTAAGTCTCGTTGATATTTCAAGTGGAGCAAAGCTGTCAGCAATTGATACAACTACATATCCTGCTAGAACAATAGCTAGGTAAATAACCACGGAATAAACATTCATTGGCATGTCAATTGCAATTGCAGATCCTTTCTCCAAACCGAGTCTGTGGAGGGCATGCGCAACCAACCTATGAATATTGAAAGAAGCATATCGGAGTTCATTACAAGTTTCGCATAAGAAAATTGAGATAACATACTTTCATTTTAACACAGACTTCTGTTATCCCATTACATACACAACAACTCGTGTCTTTTTTTAACTATGATATACCAAAATCGCGGTAGATACTCATAAAGGACAGAAGAAAGTTATCTGACAAAAAATGAAACTGAATCAGGTGAAGAACAGTCTAGCATGGAAAGACATGATCAGGCTCCACAAATCCAAATAAATTAGGTTTCACGAATAAATATCAGGCATCTGTGTATGCACTAGAGAACACACACACTCTAGATCACTACATGCTATGTTAGTAACTCTGCAAGCTATCCAAAACAGGCATTTATAATGCCTGCTTTAACTAATATACAGAGTCTGGAAAGGTCCACATTGTAGACTCACACTCAACCAATCCAGTAATAAATCGCTATATTTAGGTACATGCGCGGTAAAAGCCATTAACTTCTTTTCAACAGAGATTTTAAGATAAGTGGCATACCAGACGTCTTCTCGTAGCTCCTTTACAGACATTCTTTTGACAGGCAGATCATCATGTCCTTCATCACGCCATATAATCGCTGTATCATTTAAGGCTCTCTTATTGTTCAAAGACAGGCAATTCGCTGCTGGGTTCAAATATGCTCCAGGAAGCCATTGACCCCCTGGATGGCTTTTGTCAGATGGATCCTCGAGAAAGATACATTTAGGAGGTTCCGAAAATAATATGCTTAGTTCCTCAAGTACAGTTGCCCAATAAACCTACCAAAGAAATGAAAAAGAAATGATGTAAGAAAGTCACAGGCATAAGAACTATCTGTTAAAAACAGAACAAGAACTGCACCTCGGGGCTTGATACAGAAAATTTCTGCAAATCAGAGAAGCTTGATATGGGATCCTTGTATTTCTCCCCCAAAAACTCTTTTCCCCTTCTTTCAAGCAACCGGCCAACATTTGTTTCCCGAGCAGTCTCCCTATCATCCAACAACAAGAAAAGAAGTTGCAAGGTGCCTGAATACTACAGGTCAAAGGTAAAAGAGACTTATACATCTGTGGGTTGAACATCCCATAGAGTGACCGAAGAAATAAGAACCGTTCGGCAGATGACTAGTCCTAGACTCCCGGTTAAAAAAACAAACAGGATTTTCGGGAAGAAAAAAAAATTGTAATGTGAGGAAAGCAAAAAAAGAAAATTTTACATCGCTCTTCCGACCAAAAAAGAAAAATTTACATCGCTCTGATCCAGTTTGTTCATGATAGCTAGAATTCAAGTGGCACAGAGTCTGCTTTGCTGCAAGAAACTGGTAATTGAGAAGAGAACAACCGCATACAAGGCCCAACTGTTTAGAGATAAGCTATCTTATTCAAGAAAAACGGTAGTAAAACATCGAATGTCCTGATCAACTCTATTACATACCGAACCGAGGGACATAAACCTTTAGCAAAAGAACCAATTGCCGCACGGAATTACATTGCCCACAACCTCGCCTATGCGCGAACACGAGACCCCAAACGAGAACGAGATTCGAAGTTCGGGTGGGGAGAGAGAGGGAGAGAGAGAGAGCGTGTACGGGTCGGGGAACCAGGCGGGCGGGTCGGGTCCGGAGTCCCCGTAGCAACCGTAGTACATCGACCGGTGGAACGAGAAGGGGAGATCGGGCTCGAGGAGGCCCGTGGAGATGGCCCGCCAGGTGGCGGGAGACGAGGCGCCGTGGGCGCGGACGATCCGGGCGAGCTCCGCGCTCAGCTCCTCCGCGACGGGGGGCGGGATGCCGTGGGCCTCGATGTCGGAGCTCGTGACGGAGCCCAGGGACCCGGACGCCATTCTCGGGCGGAGATAGAAGATGCCAGAGCCAGAGAGAGAGAGAGAGAGAGAGAGAGAGAGAGATGATAAGGAAGAGAGAATGGAGTAGTAGTCTAGTCTCCGCATGGAGAGAGAGGGGGGGAAGTTGGGGGTTGGTTAGTCAACGCAGCTGACCCCCAGACGACACTGCCACCTCACCGAATCGTGGGACCCACGAGGATCAGATCCTGCGACGGTCGTGTCGCGATCGAAACGGACACGCACGGGGATGATTAGTTTACGCTTCTCGAGAATAATTTTGGAGATAAAAGCGTTTTATTTCTCGAGTCTTGCGCGCGTACTCCCGATTTCTGGCGTTATTAAACGTTTCGACTGCCGAGGTAAATCTCGTGGTCTGTGGTTTGGTCGTGGTTGGTGCTCTGTTCGGTCAGGTAGCTGCAACGCTCGAACACGTGGATCCTTTAAAAGGGATAATTTATGAATGATTTAAGAAAATACATTTTTTTTTAAATGGTTGTTTGATTCGTTTATAAAGACGAACGGACGAAAATATTCGAGCATAAATTATTATCGATTACGAAAATATTTTTCGTTTGGCGAATTATTTCAAGCGATACGTGCTGTCATTTGATATAGAGAAAATTACCAAAACAATCGAATTTTAAATTTATTTTTATTTGTTATGTTCCTTCTTCCTCGGTCGGTTGCCGGCCACAGATAAGGGACGAGCTCACCCCAAGCTAGATTCCAACGAGCTCGAGCACCTTGCCAAATCCGGCGAGCTAAGCGAGGCTCAAGCCTCGCCTAGCTCGTCGGATCTAGTAAGGCTAGAGCTCGCCGGATCTGGCAAGGTCGAGCCTCGCCGGCCTTGTCGGCCTTGGGCGAGCTCGTCCATTGCCTGTGGCAGGTGATTGGCTGAGGAAGAAGAAAAAGAAAAGGAAAGAAAGAAAGAAAATAAAAATGATACAAATTTGATTTTTTAAAATCAAATATTTTTATTAGAACGAACGTTTCATTAAGATTAAGACCTAAGCTCGAGTGCCGAGGACTCAGGCCTAAGTGTTGGAGACCAAAGCTCGAGTATTGGGGACCCAAGCACGACCTTTATGCACCCGGGCTCAGGCACCGAGGCATCGACTATCAAGCACGGGCACCAAAACTTCGGGCCCGACCTCAATGGATCCAAGCGAGGGCACCAAGGGCCTGGGGCTGGTTTTGATGGACCTGGGCTCGGGCATTGAAGACATGGTCCTGAATGTCGCGGCCCCAGAAACCAATGTTGGAGTTTCCATGCCCAAGCGTAGAATTTCGAGTTCAAGCGCCGATACCTAGTTATATTTTAGAAAATATTTTTCGATTTTTTATTTTCCTGAATTTAAGCATAGGTTTTCCATTAACTCATTTTCCTGAGCAAACAAAATGCCGAAAAGTGAGGAAAATATTTTTTCTCAAAACAAACTAAGACTAAGAGTGTGTTTGTTTTGATGAAATTGTTCTCCGGGAAAGTGTTTTCGATTGACCAAATCATATTCTAACAACCAAATGGATGAAAGTCCAGAAAACACTTTCCTGAAAAATAATTTCATCAAAACAAATGCGCCCTGAGATAAAACCTTTTTAAAAGCATGCGACATGATTTTTCTTAGAGAGTAAATTTTTGTCAATTTTGTGCGCCTACGGAACTTTTAAAAGCCAAATTGATTTCTCATGAAAAGTTCGAAAGTTGCCCAAGGGAAATCAAATCGAATTGACGAGCTAAGCATGCTTAAAGAAGGAATTACATGTATCGTTAGAAAAACAAACAGTTTAGTATTCGAAACTTTGCATAACGAACGTCCTCAAAACAACAGGAATCTTTACCGTTCTTTGGTGATGTGGGCTTATACACCAGCCGCTATAGGCATTAGAAACTAGTTAACAAAATCATACCTGACTTTGAGCGTGCGCTTGATTACTCTTTCACTTCTAACGTTCCATACACATGTAATGTTAGGTGTTCGAGAGAGGTTTTAAGATGGACAGAGAGAGAAATGGTGGCGGTGGCACGTGCGGCCACCACGGCCCGACGAATCTCGCCTGGGGTCGCATGACTCCGGTTAGGTAATGTTGTGCTCGCGTCACCCCAGCGAGGCAAGATCTCACCTGGGTCTCTAGCCAGAGTTCGTGCAACGGAGCAATGCGTTACCGACTCACCGGCAATCTTGCTACCATGCCGTGGCCTCACTCAGGTCAGGTCAGGCAACCCCGGCATCCGATCGCCTGAGGCGGCTCCAAACATCTGACTCCTTTGCTTTGTATTGTTTTTTGTTTTCATACTTCTCATATTGTTTTTTGTTTGGTGGTTTCATCAGGAGGAGTTGACGTTCTTTAATTCTCATGCTGAAAATAAATTTAATACTGAAAAATCAACTTTATACCTGGAAAAAGAACGTAGAAAGTTTCAATTCACCAATAGTGGTTTAAGATGTTGAAATCTTAATATAATCGATGAGTGAGAATTTAAATTGACATATGACCAAAAAATTCGAAATTGATTATGAATCGATCAAAATCAAAAGACTTGTAACTGCAACTTCACCAAACAACAATCATGTAAAAGTTGCTTTACAAAGAGGTTTTGGAATACTAATCATCAAATGCTCTTTGCTTTTGATGCAATCATGTTGAGTCAAGGTCCTTTATGTCAACTTTATGTCATTCCCAAACTCACTCCCTTATTTAGGTTGGTAACCCAATTTTCAACAAATTAGTCAGAGCAACTATCTGTTTTAATCCTGATGATGCAGCCGAAAGAGACACTAAATAACTATAAGCATCATGTTGTGATGGGATTGGAAATTTGGAGAGGAATCAACTAACTGACATAAATCAAAGAATTACACCAGTCAGACAATTCGACGACACTAGCACTACACTGAGATTCACAGGTTGGGTATTCTCTGGCAAAATGGGGGGGAACAAAGGAGAGGAGCTATTTATTTAGACCCGGGAAGTAACTTTCCACCTGAAGAGCTCGTCGTGCCGAACCGTCTCACCGCGGCTGGGATAACCCGTGATGGCGAAAGAACCTCAGCGAATGAGAAGTTATATGAATCCGTCCCTAACCGACTCTGTAACCATCCGTTTCTTCCTGAGAAGCCATCTGCTACAATCCAGCAGTTCTTGAACCCAAGACTCGTGAGCGTTCTGGCAACTATTTTTGCCGAATCGGAGTACCTGAATGCATGTGAAAATGCCAGTGTAAGACCCGCAGAAGCAGAAGCCATATCACTGAATAATGTGTTGCAGAACGGAGGAAAAAACTAAAAGAAAAAAATCTGGGAAGTGGAACTCACGTGTCCAAGATCACGATGTTGGAGCCTTTATCGATCTTCTTGTGGTATGAAATTTTTAGAGCTGCAATTTCAGCTTCCACTTTCTTCACATTTCTCACTAGGCCTCTCAATTTGCTGGGCAGTTCTTCCAAGCTGAAAATCCAAGGCATGATGGATCAGTCTGATGCTTGTGCATGCAAGTCGAATAAAGAAAAAGAACATGGAATTCGACCATCTCTCAGGACTAAGCAAATGCGGAGCAAGAACATGTGATTGACTTTTCAAGTTATTCTTCCGACAATGTGGAGACTTGCATGCTCAGACAGAACACGACGAACATGCGTTACCTGCTATGGTTATTGGGCAGGGAACTTTTGGTACCAAAAGATAAGTTGCACAACTCATCTTGTCTCCATGCAACAAAATGTATTTTACTCACCATCGTAACACAATCACTATACTTAGATAGCCATTTAATCTGCCTCTTGTAGCAATCTAACAGTGTATATAATCAAAGTGCAACAGTGAAGGAAACAGCAGAGCACTTCACAGACAGATTGCTTACGGTATTGCAATCATTCTGTTTTTAGCACTCGAGGGAAGACGAGGAACACCAGCCTTATCCTTTTCCTTCTCTGACCGAATATCGATAAGGATATGACTCTTCGTGGAAATTAAGTCAAGAGTTTGAGCAGGAGTCAGGTTACCTGAAAGAGGAAGAAATTCGGAAAGTATGACATATTTAGACCGAGTGATCTTAACAAAAGGACGAATCGCAACAGTAAAGACCCCCTGATGTTCGATTTACAAAAGCATATAAAGATAAAGAAGAAATTTTCCCTGTTTTCCCTCTAACATCCTTTAACTTAATCAGCTCCTTTTATCCTATAGACAGAATTAGACCAAAGTACAACAGAAGGTTACCTTGATAACCACGAAAGCTAAAAGAGATGGCGGACCAAATTGGAGGGACAATGAGATACGCGACAAATAAAGCTCCAGCCGTCTCAACAATCACAGTAGGGTCAGCAGATGAGATAGTCTCGACAGCTGACGAAGCAATAGGCTTAGCCTCCTCAATTACCTTTGTGGTCTGCTGTACAGCATCAGCCACTGTCTGCAGCCAAAGGTGCTTATCATGGTCAAAAATTCAAGAACTGTCCAGTTTATTGTAAAGTACACTCATCTAGTGTAGTCTTAAAACATTACAAACAATGAGCTGCGTGCACTAGAAAGATGTTTTGGAGAACGAGCCAGATGAACCAATTTGAACATAACAGTGGGGTGAAATACTGGGAATTTCATGGTCACTATGTGAGGCCTAGAAAAGCACTAGAGAAACTTAATAGAATCGCCTCCAGATGCTCTCTTAGATATAGTGTGGTACAAAAAGCCGACAGCCTATATCTCAATGGAAGCATGTCCAAAGCTCTGCAAATGCGAACTCATTGTGTATTAGAAGAAGAACAGAGTTCCCCATGTCAATATTTGAAGACGCTACTCTAGTTCCCACCCCAGCCACCATTAATTCCCGGCTGACTGTAATTAAGACCAGCTAAGAGGTTGCCCCACAAAGCTACACACACAGGTAACTAGATTGATCAAGTTCATCCCACCTAACTTCCAAGAGTTTAATTGACGAGGTCAGTCCATGTTCTTCAACGGGACATTCGTATTTATACATGAAAAGGATCTGCAACGTAGAAAGAATGCCAAAGTCAGCACAACGCAAGATTTCAGTCTTACGTCGTAATATCCTCATTGCTGATATCACCACTTTAAGCACACATTACATCCTAGGGAGTTCACAAGTAGGCTGCATCCCATTGACCTCCTAAACCCAACACAGCATGTGAAGCCCAATCATAGGTCAATGTGGCCTTGCATTGAAAAAACAACATGCTGACCTCGCAAGTACAAAACGGTATACTCAGACCACTGAATTAATACCTAGAATGGCATTAAGAACCCATCTCCAAATAACAATGGCTTTAGAAAGAATGAGTAGTTCATTTTCAGCCTATTCTAGCATATCATAAGAGTATAATGGGGATCTGCTGAAACCATGATTTCACATTTGTTGTTATAAATTGGGGTCGGGACAAAGCATACAAACTGTGAAACTTATGCAAGGGAGAAACCTTTGCAGCACTCATGACAGGCTGTGCATCAATGCCCGAGCTCTGCATTGCTTCTTGGGCTTTCTTCGAAGCCTCGGAAAGAGCTGGGGAAGCAATCTTGATTGCCTGTTCTCCAGCTTTCTGCAGCAACGGAGCCGCAACATCTACTCCCAATTTCAGAGCATCTGCAACAATTTGGAAAATGCTCTGTGCAGTGTCCAAAAATCCCGAGCTCACTTCCTGAACCTGGTCAATTGTCTTCTCAACCTGCCAACTCAAATTTCAGAAGCAACCTCAAGAAACCAATAACATGGTTTAAATCCCGTCCCTTCCCCCACCCCCAAAAGAAAAAGAGCAAAAAAAGATCAACATAGGTATCCAAACACAGATATTATGAAAGGATACTCATTCCAACAAATTTGACCGGTCACAATTGAATCGATTAACCATTTTTTAATACTGTGAGGTGGGCACTGGCTACAATTTCCCATTTTTAAGCGGTTCTTAAAAGTTATTTCTTACTATCCTTGGTACGCAACTAGCTCAATTTCTCTCCCAAAAATGAGAAAGCCATACAAACGCCAAGTTCCCGGAAAGAACATCTGCGATTCGGATGAAAGGTTCTCGCAATGGAAGCTCCATAGGATTTAACGTACGACATCGGGTTTTGGAGACCCACAGCCAGATGATGTCCGCTGGTTGGTAGTGAGAGGACGCCAAAAATAAAACAAAATGAAGCAAGCACGCTTTCGCCGTTGATAGAATCTTTGCGACTCTCCACTCGAAAAAAAGAAAAAATGCAGGAACTTTTACCTCCGTGATAGAAGAGACAATCTGGTCTTTGGGGAGGCTGACGGCTCTGGCTTCATGGGGAGGCGAGAAGAGAGCGAACAGAGAGAGTGTGGTCGAGGTTGGCAACGACACCGAGATGGGTCTCAACAGCTGCGGTCTCTGAGCGGGTTTAGAGAGAGAGCAAGAGACTCTGGAAGTAGTGGCAGCGGCAGAGGAAGCTCTCATGGCCATCTCCAATTGCCCAACTCTCTGGCCACACCTCTCAGTGGCTCCTGGGCCCGATTCCTTTCGCGGGTTGATCGATCAATCGCACAATGTCTGGTCGATCTGGGTTCTCAAGAATCGTGTGATGAGAGTTGAGAACCGGGAAATTTTGGTTTGGTTTGACATTTATGGAAAGACCCTCGTTTCATTGGTCCGCGAGGGTCCACTGATCTTATTGGGCGCTTCTGAGTCCACTTTGAGCCACCCATTTGATCCCTGTTGCATTTGCAGTCACTTCTTATCCGGACCAGAAGCTCTCTGTTCTGTGCACATTCTCTCTCTGCTCTCTGTATGTTTGCGTGGAAATGCAGTTCATTACGTTGATAGGGATTCTATTGTAGTGTATATCAAAGTGACCGTTCCAGTAATCTTGAATTATCCAGCACAATTTGCCCCTTGATTGGTGCCAAAGCTAAAATTTTATAAGATTGACCACTCATCTTCGATGTCGGCTGATTAAGAATGGGAGACTTTGTTAGTTTCTGCAGTTGGAACAGAAAAGCTCATCATGACCCGTTTAGGAATCATTCTTACAAGCGACAGATGAGTCTAATCACTAGTTACGATCACGTTGTGAAGATGGCATGTTTCGTTTCGTTTCGTTCGTTCAACCTGGGCGGCTTAGATAATGCTGAGTTCAAACGAGAGAGGCAGATCAGAAGATGTACTGTATGTACTAAATTTGCTGAAGTGGAAGACAAAAGGCGTACTGTCGAGGGGAGGAAAACTAGTCGGCGGCGTTAATATCGAACATAGTCCCTCCTATCTGGTGGGATCCATGTGGATCGGCATCAAGACTCGCTATTTCCAATAGTTCAGATTATATCACTCATGAAATAATTTCAAAGGCCAATGTCACGAATCGTGATTCTCTCGTAATTTCGTACCTTTATGGGTAGAGCTTGGTGTCGTCGGGATGAAGAGTGAGTGTATGAACGGAACGATACAACTAGTTCGTGAGAATGATGTCAAGTTGATTTGTACCATGAGTTATAGATTAGAATGAATATATTCTTAGGAGCTCTAAAAGCGGGATTAGCCTCCCGTGTACAAATTAATCGGGAGCCAATGCCGCTCTCTTGATGAGGCCATAGCCCATGGCTGGCCGAAACCAATTTTTGTGCCTAAAGCGTTCTGTATGTCTCGCTCGAAGGATTGGATGCCTGAGCTAAGCTGGATATGGTACGATCCGACACGAGAATGCAATTCGATGTACTGTTCTTAGGAACAACTTTAGAAGGAAGGCTAGCCTGGGGTCTTACCGGCTTATCAGGTGCCGCACAAGATATTCCGCAGCCAAGGAATTGCCGACTCGTGACACAAGCATAGTTGTTGCCAAGTCCTCCTGAGGCAGCCCGAGCGCAGCCTAACATCCGTTTGTTCTGAGCTTGGGCTCTGCCCAAGTTGCTCTTCCGATTGGCCTCGCGACTGGACTTGAAAAAAAACCAACCTCTCGGTCATGATTTCAAGGCCTGGTTAGGGGAGAGGATGAGAACATGGGCTCTTTCACAGCACAGATTAGGCTTGCACACTGTTAACAAGGTGCGTATTCCTTGGTCTTTATTTTATGAAATTGGCGTAATTTGTCCACATTCGTAGCTGCGGATGAAGGGTGAGCGGGCGGATCGGGTCAAAAAAGATCGAACCATACGTCAATTGCCAACATCGCCGGTCGCCACCTCCGACCAATTGCTAACTCTAGCACTGTTGCCACAGCCATCTATTATTGATGGTTATCACCAACACTACAAACCACCAGGACAATTTATCGGTTAATAGATATCATGTAATCTTGTCTTAATAGTTTTTTTGTGAACTTTTATAGAAAACCTTCAACAAATTTTTGGTGGGATTGCAATTTATTCGAGACAAATGCAACCTAAATATCCTTTTGCAATCGCTAACATTCTAGTTTATCATCTAATGTTATCCGGTAGTTGAAATCAACGGACATAAATCAGAACTTATAATGTTATCGACTTTTCCATCTTCGCATTTTGTTAAATCTCAGCCGATTCACCGAGCACCACAATCGAAACCCAAATGAAGTCCTTCCTCGTTGTCTTGTCCAACATTCTAGTTTATCATCTAATGTTATCCGGTAGTTGAAATCAACGGACATAAATCAGAACTTATAACCGTTATCAACTTTTCCCGTCTCCGTATTTTGTTAAGCCTTAGCCGATTCACCGGGCACCAAAATTGAAACCCAAGTGAAGTCTTTCCCCGTTGTCTTGTCTACTAAGTCAAGTCAGCGTATATCCATTTTGCTCAAAAAGAAAAGAAAGTATGTCAAATGCACTCTTAGCGTTTAAGTTTCTGTGATCCATTCCACAATGTTAAGTTTTTTCGCTAGGACAGACGGCATGCATTATCATCACTAGGAAGAAAAGGAAGAGGCCAAAGGAAGAACGGAAAGCGAGAGACAGAAGATGATCATTCGATTGAAAAAAAACCAAACTTTAACGTAGGAATCTCTCTGCTATCTTTACGTCTATCTCGGTTGGCTAACGCAATACATGCAACGCATGTGTCTACATCTTTCGGACAAAAGAAGTTGGACAAGTTCAGAGCTTTTTGGCCTTTCCATGTGAGCTTCCACTCATTCCCTCAACAATCAACATTCAGTTAAAGGCGCTGCCAACTACCTTTGCACTGCTGGGGAAGTACCTTATCTGTCTCAACTTGGGATTGATCCGGTACTTTCCTATTCTCGCAGAGCACGCTTGATTCACAGAGAAGTCCAGGGTTTTCCATAATGCGGATGATAGATCTCGAGGGATTTTAGACGGCCGAAACTGCTTGGGCAAACGTAGTCCCGAACGCGCTAAGAGAGGAATATATAGCACTCTGATTAGTGAAAGTGATCGAATAGCATGATTATCCTTTCGAGGAGGACAATCTAATGATCCAAATGGTCTCGGGCGCTCCCATTATTGAAAAGAAGGAAAGCATGAGCTGTCATGCATTTAATAGAAAACGATATAGGATATTTTAACGAAATACCTATTTAGCGAAATGACATCGGACATTAATGTTACAAAACAGATTGGATTTTCAATAAGTGCCTTATGGGATCTCAAATTATGGTAAAGAAATGCCTCGATTCTCTAGGTATATCGTGTGTCAGAAGGACACAATAGACAGAAATAGTATATGGTACACTTAAAATTCATCTTTACAATATGCATGAATTAGAAATGATCGATTTGAGGGTGGGCTAATTCTCAGTTTGTGGAATCGGAAACTAGCCCACTTGATCCTAGAACTGGATCGGATCGGACCAATGGGTTCAGGAACCTTTTTTTCTTATTTGTAGGCAGGGAATGAAACATTGGAACAGGACAAGGGATTGGAAAGAACATTGTTTTTGAACTCTTGCACGGAATGGAATACTCTTGTAGAGCGCAAGTATGTCTATGAACGCTTTTTACAATAAAAAGAAAACTATCAATCAGGTCCCGGTGGTTCGGTCCGGTTCCCGTGCTGATGCAAGTCCAATTCATATTTCCCCACTTGAAAAGTTGACAAATTTCACAAAATTCATCAAGATGTGGGAGTCTTAATAGAAGCGAGACTTTTTAAAGCTTTTCTTGTCAATGCCAGTGCCATCTCAACGGGTATAAATCACAGCTGCGGAAGCATTTCTTCTTACTACGCGCACACACTTCTTTGCGATGGCAACAATATTTCCCTCATCACCAACTTTTCCGGGGCAGCAACAACCAGCAGGAGAAGCTGCAGTCGCCAACCCTGAAGCTGTGGCATCGGCATCAACATCAACATCATCCAGTGGTTGGCAATCTTCGGGATCGATCGGGCCGTTCTTCGGGGTGATCTCCGTGCTCACCGTTCTCGCGATCATCTCGTGCGTGGTCGGCCGGATCTACAGCCGGAGAGTCGCGGCGAACACGCCATTGGATACCATCAAGCAGAAAAGCTGTTCGGGGTGGGTCAAGAGGCAGTTCGGCCAGTGTACCGATTGTATTCCCGCGAGCGTCGTGTGGGGAAGAAAGGTGGTGATGAGTTGGAGGAAAGACGGCAAAAATGATGATGCTGCTGCTGCACAACCCCAAGCTTGATTGATTTGCAAAATGGCATGGATTGGAGTTCATTGGTAAAAAGTAGGCAAATAAAGACAGCAATCTTTTCTACTGTGATTGATCATCAAAAGATCCTATTGTGATTTTACAGTCCTGGTGTGATATGGTCCTCTTGTTAGGACCTTCGTTCTTGGAGGTGATGCTTATTCAACTCTCTCTCTCTCTCTCTCTCTCTCTCTCTCTCTCTCTCTCTCTCTCTCTCTCCTTTGCTTGCCATTATTCTGAAAATATGCAGAGAAGCCGAATTTTTTTTCAAGGCTTCGTTCTTGTGTGGTATAAGTCTAGCGGTTGACGAATCCGAAACTGGGATTAGAAGATGATCTGAATATACACTCGGATTCGGATTTTCCCTTCAATTCTCTCTCTATCGACAAGCTCGGTCAATAAGAAAACTCATGAATTTACCCACAAGACCATCAGATCCCTCCCCTCTAAAACGGATTATCGAGATGACATCTAGCACGACCATCAGGGAGATTATTACGTGAGACACTAGCTACTTTTGTCAAGGAGATTTCGATCTCCAGAGCAAGAGCGCTGGCAGACAACGTTGCATAGTAACACATGAAAAAATAAAAAGGACAGAAAAGAATAATAAAATGATGCTGAGCGCAACATGGCAACTAATGAGAATACAATGTAATGAGTAGATACGTAGGAGAAAATATTCGGTGATTTCAAAGCGCCACATCAGGTCCGTTTTTTATCCATATCATAGGCACAGACATGGCGACCATGGGAAGATGGAGCCGACCAGGCGCCACAAGCCAGATTTGGCCGGTGATGCCGCTAGTCCAAGACCAACAAGGCGAAATCTGGAGCGCTGGTCCATGGCCGAGCCACCATCTCAGTCGCGGCGGCTCGCAGTCCTCTCTCTTCCTCCTCCTTCATCCATAGTCATCCGACCTCCAATGCTCCCCTGTTGGCACCTTGATTAGGCTAAACCCCACCGGTGGAGTCGCTGGCCATGGACTGCATTCAAGCTCCCGCCATCTTCCCTGACATCTATTTCTCTATTTTTTATTTCGCTGTTTGAGCTCGCAGACCATGGCCGTCGGGATCTCAAACTTGCCGCCTCCTCACGAGCCATGGACAAGACCAAATCTGGAGGCACGACTCCAGTCCACATCTAGACAGGCAACGACCACTTGCCATTGTGACGATGGAGGGGTAGCTCAGCCATGGACGGGTCCAACCACGAGCCAAAGGGGGGCGACAACGGAGGAAGAGGGAACCGACCACAAGTACCATGGAGGGGAAGCTTCCTTCCCAATCACAATGGCAATCCATGAGCCATCGTCGCTCGCAACAGGACTTCCAGATCTGCAACGACGACGGTGGTCGACTTCCATGGCCAAAGGGAGATGGGAAGCTTGGGCTCAAGGTGGCTGGAGATGGAGGACAAAAAATGAGGTTGATTAAGAATTTTTTATTTTGTTTTAACTAGACCCACAACAGTATATACGTCCCAATTTGTAATTGGTTCAAAGTGAAAATGCATGCCACATCAGCTATTGACATAGTGCTCACAAACCACTGAATATTTTCTTGTAGGTACATAGAAAGATACCTTCGACAATGCCATGGACAAATGAGTGTCCCATCATGATTAAGCCTAAAATAAAACTTAAAGCTCTATAGTTTCATCTGATGTCATTTTGTACGGAGTGCAATTCTTCGACGTGCCATGCTCAATCGGTCCCTTCTGAATTCCGTCATGGCAATTGAGGGAGCAAGAGTAAATGCGGATGCTTCACATCGGCGGGCAGCAGATGTGATTCTTCTTAGAAAGCCCTGGACGATGGACCCCGTGAGATTTTTAAGTGTACCTTCTTACTATACTCAGGCCCAACATTTGCTTCCCCAAAGCCAAAGCCACACGATATCAGAAGACGAAACGAAAAACTGCAAATCTTCCATGAACCTTTAGTCATTATATCGTCAACCAGGTGGAATCTATTTTCCTCTTTTCATCTCACTCTCTCTCTCTGTCTTGACATCTGCACGATCCTTTTCACTTCTATGGCGAGAAGACTTCTCAGGAGAGTCCCTACTTCCATGCCTCCGGTGCTTTGAGTGTTTCCTTCTGCTGCGCCTCTTTTCTCGACAAGATTCTCTCTTTTTCTCTTTGGACTTGCAGTAGTATCGATCACGATGATCGCTTGATGAATCACTTTCGGAGTCACTGCTATAGTGGCTTCGCCTAGAGCTTTTTCTAATTTTTTCATCCTCTGAGGACAAAGGGCTCCTGTTTTCACGGCTTTTAGATATTGCTTTAGAATTCCCATGATCCTGAGGCAAGTAATCCACATGAAGTTTTACTGATCTTTCCTCAGATAACTTGTCATTGGCATGTTTGCCATCTTCCCTTGGTACTCCAGAAACAGTTTTGTTCTCTCTAGGTTGTAGGCCTTCTCGAGCAGATTCTCTGTCCTTTGGCAACTCATAATGCTGGGAAATCCTCTGAGGAACAGCAAATGACCTGTCACGGACTGGGAGAATATTAATGTCTCCATCGCTAGCATGGGCAATTTCTTTCTCACTGGGATTCCGGTCTTGGTTTGATGAGATAGGTCGATCAGCGGGGACCTCCAGACCTAGTTCTTTGCCCAAAGATTCCAAAAAGTCACCAGCTATGAGACGGTTCAGTGTTGCATTTGCTGCCTGAACCTTCTTGTCCGGATTTTCAACATTTTTCACAATGGGAGTTCCCTTTTCCTCATCAGAGTCATCGGAGAAAATGGCCTGGGGAGCACAAAAATAATCAGAAGACGAGATGAAGCAAGAAATACAAGTTCTGGTGACAGGTTACCATCCATAAGAAGATAACCAACTGCAAACAAATAAAACAGGTGAAAAAATAATGCAATCAAAGCAATTTATGATAGATCTGTGCATCTATATTTAACAGCATTTTCAAGCTCATCCCGTCATTTCATCCATACAAAATAGGCTCGTGTTCCCATCAAGAATGGAGCCATATCACGTCTTGAGGCATGCAAAGAGCACTTGAGGCTATATGGAGATGATTATGTGGAGAAGCAATAAGAAAAACAATAAGCACACTTGTCACTTGACAGAGAAAAAAGTACCTTGTATAGGTCAACCGGCCTCCCGACAACTTCGACTTCCACCTTATCTTCTGATGTCTTTTCATCTATGTCATTATTTTGTTGGTTATCCAGACGCATAGACAACGTATCACTGCTTGTAATAGCTGATTCTTCCACTTTTGTCAGTTTGACAGAATCTGGAATGAAAAAAAGAGAGTCCATCTTGCTCCTTACCCGCGGAGGTGGTGGTGGCTGCCAATTGTTCAAAATTAATCCTAAGATATACTAGGAATCAAGGTGTAATAATTATAAAATTCACCAAATCAACGTGAATTCGGCATTCATCAATCAAGCCCAATAACCATAAAAAATCATTTGAATGACCAGCAAGGCCAAATGAGGATAAATCTAGGTTAATGCAATCATAGAACCAAGATATATCGACGAGGAGGAGGAGGAGGAGGCAAAGCAGAGCAATAAACATGGAGGAGAATATCACCCATTATAAAGTTTGTTTTACATCTCCGTGTTCTTCTGATTCCTTTTAAATTTGAAAAAGGGATGATACTCGAACTTTTTGTAAGCAAAAACTAAGCTGCGCCTATTTGCCCAATGATGTTTGCCACCTCACAGATAATGAAACTACCAGATGACCCAATTAGTACCTTCCCCATGTACGGATCAATGAGATCAAAGCGCTTGCATAAGATTGGTGAAGGCCGCCACTGGAATTCTTCCCTTTTGGGGTATAGCTTCCTTGTCATCAAGTCTTCATCTTTAAAGCTTCTAACTTGCTGCATTCAAAAACATTCATAAACAACACAAAAGAAAACTTTATAGATGAAAACCAACTGCTGCACCAAAAAAGACGCACCTCTATCCCTCCAGAAGTAAACTGCATGCCACCAGTTGATGAGGACTCCGTGCGGCCCTCTGTGAACTCTTTTCTCCAATGGCCCTTCTCTATTGCCTCAGCTGCAGCCTCAAAATCTAATCTCTCACGAGCACGAGCAGCTTCTGACATATTATTTGCTCCACCTGAATCAGTGGTACGGAGTCCCCCGTAATGCTTTTCCTTGAGAAACTGCTCATATCTTTCTTGCTTTGCAGGATCATCTCTAAACGGCTTTGAAACTTCTACAATGTCGCTCTGGAACAAGGAACAGATATAAATAAATTTCCAAGAATCCCAGCGATGAACCAAGGATGGAGAGAACAGTTAAAAAACTAATGTACTGACGGGAACTGAAGATTTTGTGAATGTTTCAGACAGATCACTCTGAAATTTCACATCTACAGGCACGACAGACGAGCTGGGAGTCGTTGCACTTCTTTCCAGAGGTCTTTCACCTAGGATTTTGCCACGGCTCTCTGCTGTCATCTTTGGGACATCCACAGATAACTTTCCTTCCACATGCGGCTTACTTTGATTGCGTTTCTGCTTTTCCTCCCAAAGCCTCCTTTCATAGTATCCACAGAAATCTCCTCCATAAAGAAAGCTAAATAATGGATTTGATTGATTCTTTTCCCGAGAGAGATCCTCAAACAACTTTCCACATCGAGCCACTAAAGCTGCAACCCCCTCAATTAAAAGCTTCAGATTACTATCCTCAGGAGGTGGAGACTCTGGCGGGGGAGGGTCATAGAGGGAGTGATCAGCCTCAAGAGGCCCGGAGAATCTATGATGAGGTTCAAAATCCTTTGGAATTACAGGAGGATCAAATCTGGACGACCAAGTTTCATGTCAGCTATGAGGACATTGTATCAAGGTTCTCGCAGAAGCAAGAATTAATAATCAGCAGCTCAAGATCTTAACATGAAATTTAACCTTAATGGCCAAAATAGACCCAACAGTTGCAAAAACAATAAAACTAAATTCAGATCAGAGGCAGCAATTTCAGATTACCTCTGAAATTGATAATCAGAATTTGAAGCAAGTCTAAAGCCGGGCAGAATCCCATTTTCGTTTCCAGTCAATCTTGGCCTGTCCTGAAAATCCAAACTAGGTCTTGATGGCTCTTCTACTTCTTCAACAAAAGATCCGAAGTCATAACCTGAGCAAAATGTCCATCATGTGAGAAATTAGAGCCGTTGAAGAGAATTTTCTCAAAAATCTAACAAAGGAATAATTGGAAGTCACAGAGAAGTAGTGAAGTATTCAATGATAAGAATTTGCATCAAAGAAAAAATCAACATCTGCAAGGCATTTATCGCTTGCTTTTGGGAAGTCAGATCATATAAAAAAAAATAGATTATCAAAACACAGTATATTGCCCCAAAAAAGGAAAGGCCATCAACCAAGATTTTCCTCATCCTAACCTGACAGTGTATGGAGATAACAAAATAGCATGCAAGTATACTAAAAGAAAATAGCCTCTTCTGCATTTACATTAGAGACATTGACAGAATGTCCCGGTCCATTAACAAGTACTGAGCGAAAGATCGATCAGGAGCATCATAGACCTTTCTACCCAAAAAGAGGCAAGAATACTTATGTTGGAACAAGTAACCGCCCCAAAATTTATCCAGTTCTAATGCCGATGAGCCCCAATAAAATTACTCACCAGATGCATAGACATCCTCATCTTCAGCATCAAGTTCTTCGAGGGCGCCAATACCAAAACCAGGAGCAATATTTCTTGCTGAGAAGACCCAAACCAATGACAGTAGTCAACCCAATGACATTATTTAAACAAAAACAATGACATATGATGGCCCTCACTTAACCAATGACAAAACAACTCATCCGGAGCTCTCCTGAAAGGGAAAGGCGAAAGAAATGCACAAATGGAACCAAAAACGAATTCTCACTTCGCAACCCTGCAGAATAATATAGCTTACACTTGGAAAAATTATCTTTTGTAACTCTGCTGTGCGCATGCTCTCTTCCTCCAGATGTGCGCAACCGTTTCCTTTCTGAAATATACAAAAATGAGGCTAGTGAGCACAAGCTGTTGCGAAAAGAAGGATTGACAAATTAATCTTATAAGTAGTTACCCCTGAACTCTGGAGCATGCTTGTAAGGATCATAACCTAACCCATGCAAGTCTTGCTTTGGGTTCAGAACATAAACCTACAGCCAAAAACATGAGAGATACAATTGCCAGTTTCAAAATCTTGCATCTACATGGGATAGAGATAGCCCAAGTACAAGACAAATACATAAGGAATCACAAATCCTCCAATAAATCAGCAAGATAACCTTCTTACAGGAGTGCTTTTAGAGAATTTGGAACCAGTATCTGCAGGAAGCTCCAGAAGATCTTCAAAATCACCAGTGATAGGCTCAGATTCAGGCTGTGCATTTGTTTCATCGGATGTAAATGCCAGGAAAGCTCTCCTAGCTTCCCTACGTGCATCTACAATCATGTAAACCATTAGATGGGATAAAATCCAGGCAACTCAAAAGGCACGGTAATATGCAAATAGAGCTGTTAACGGTAAAAAATTAGAGTTTCCGCACCAGACTAAACAACTACAAATGTAAATAATAAACAATGGAAGGTGTCGTCCTCTCTAGACTAAACGAGGACCCAAAATATGCTCTTCCAATTGCAACTCTTATAAAGGCAATTTCTCTTGGCTAATGACTAGAAATGTAAAAATAAAAAATGGAAGGTGTCATCATCTCTAGGCTAAATGATGACCCAGAATATGCTCTTCCAATTCCACCTCTTATAAAGGCCATTTCACTTGGCTAAACACTACCTGAATATGTAATAGGAACCTACGAACTACCCATACAGGGTTGTAATCATGAATAAACCACAAGAGCCAACGTCCTACGGTCTTAAATATGGGTTTTAAAGTCCTGCTGATAGAGTTCCGGGTAAGATAAAACCATTGACGCATGTCCTATCTGGCCATACAACTGAAGCTGTATAAGCTAGTGGCACCTTGACCCTTTTCAAGACAAAAACAGCTGATGATGCAAACTTCCAATGAGTCAATGACATACTTCTCACGAGGATTTAGCCAAGTGCATAATACACTATAATTAAAAGTAGTTAGTTAACAAAAGAAACATACCATACAGCGATTTAGTTTGCGAGTCCTTGATTGAATGACCATGACGCCATCCCATCTTCTTGAGCAATTTCACACCTAAATGAGAAAATAAAGGAAATCAATGCAGAATTAAGTATATTGGCAGCAGTGGAAAAAGAAATAACATAATTTAAAAGTAATTTAGGAGTATCTATAACAAACCAATAGATTCTGTCACTGGAAGAATGAGTTCATCGGGAACTGGTCCAGGAATAGCTGACTGCCTGAAATAGAGAAGATACATTATAAGCAGACAAAATAATTGCTGTCCAAAACAGATGGAAAAATATCTAGCGAAAGATAAAAACCAATCGAATTCATGCATAAAGAAAATTCAAGGAACATGATGGACTTAAAGTAAGGTATGTGGCTTTGTGAGCTGCTAAGTTCAATTGTCCATCCACGCTCAAAAACTCCAGGAATTTTGATTTACAAATGGTAGATTCACTAGCTGTAACGTTATAATGAAAATTATAAAGTTCCAGACAGTTTCAACACCATCACAACATAACCAAGCAACAACTATATCCAGATAACTCCCATTGAATTGCAATCCGATCAACAGGAGACCGTATGATATTAGAAAGTTACGAGATGAACCTATGTTGTCGCTCCTTTTCTGCCTGCTTGCGAGCAAGTTCTGCAGCTGTAAATCCAAACGTATCAAACTGGGATGATGTTGCCAAAGAACGACCCTCCAGCTCCTGGATTGAAAAATGAGAATAAGTTCATCCCTACAGTTATAACTACAGCTACAATATGAAAAAAATGTCCCAGCAACACATATTTAAGTTGAGCATTGTTATGGATGTCTCGAGAGCACAATGAAAGAGCATGCTATTCTTTTGACAAGAATATTACTGAGAGAGGAAGGGAATGTTATGCATTGTCATAGACTCAGCCAACCTTAGCAGTATAACAATAGTAATAACCAAAGCAAACAACACCAAACAAAAGCTGAAATCAGCTAAGTTATGGTATTGCTCTACGCCCCTTCCATTTCAGCAGCTAGTTGTCATTAGCGCTTAATAAACCCAAAGGACTTGGAAAGCAAACTTTGCTAGTTGTTGTTAGCAGCGAGCCTACTATTATCACAGATGTTGACATGTATGACTTATTGAGCAAGGCCTTCCAATCCAATCAAGCCTGCCTCACCCTCTCTGGACAGATAATTCTGAAAGGCTACTCTAGATGTCAAACCAAACAGCCCTCCAAACATGTGAAAACAAGTTCAACACTTTTAATAGCACTAGCACTTTATCAAATCCAAGTGCAGCATAATTTTTTCTAAACTCAATTTTTTTTTATAAGTGATAGTGGCTCTAAAGTCTACTATGTGGTGTGCACTAAACACAGAAAATTATGGGTTCATGGATAGACTGGTCCTCCTGAAAATCCTAAATCCTAAACACCATAGGATTCCAGATGTAGATATTTTGAGGTAATAGATGCAATCATATGAATCTGATAGAGAATTCAAATGAGATAATAAATCGCCATATTTACAATTGTAAAAGCTAGTTCTCATGCAAGCACGCACGCGAATATACATATGCAACGATTCTGGTAAAACTTACAACTTTCTCGTCTTCATCTAAGAAGTTCAAAATGCTCTGCTGTTTCACTTCAGCTCTGTTCTTCCTGGATGACGTGAATGTCTGCGGAGCCCACCCTGAAATATTTGTAAGAGAAATTGAAAATAAAGGTTTTTCCGGTAAACATGTGAGCGCTCCGGTCAAAAGATGAGACATACCCTCTTTGGTACCCACTGTATTGTAATATCCAGCAGAAAAACCTCCGGTAAATGCTCCATGGAATCTTCTCCGTCCTTCTTCGTCTCTGACCTGGAGAATTGCAGATGGAGCATAAACAAATGTCGGTGCCCTCAGCTTCACTAAAGAAAGTGTCTCTTATATTTGACAATTCAACCAACGAAAACACTTCAGTATGTGCAGACCGCAAACTTGCAATCTCACTGCATATAAGTCCCTCCCCAGAACTGGCATTGAACGCGAGAGCAAAGCATTTTTCAAAAAGCACAAAGGAGGAAAGTCCCCTGCAATCCTTAATAACCTTTTATGCCATTTGCCGTCAAGAATTGAAAATCCACAGAATTCACCTATGACAGAATGCCAGGAAACAGTCAATTACGTCGTTCCTCCGTTTGTAACCCAAAACAGCATCAACTTTAAGTATCAAAATGGCGATTCGCGCGCGTCTTAATACTCTAATCAATCAAAGGCTACATAGGTCACTAATCTAAACGGCCTTCCCCAACTATCCTCATCGCCACAAGCAAAAAACCAAACAGCTGATGTACGTAATTTCTGCTAACTCCTCTGATATGAGAAGCTGGTAAAGCACAGAGACTTCGAATGCGGAGCCCACGTTCCCACATATTTCCGAAATATTCCGACGGAGCAACGCGAAGAAATGCCCAGAACGGAGTGAGAGTTACCTCCTGCTTCCACGCGGGCAAGGATCGCAAGTTACCGGAGGCTTCGGCGAGGGCCTTCTTCTTGCGGCTGGACGCCCCCTCCTCGCGCTCGATCGGCGTGCCGTGGAACACGAAGTCCTCTTCGTCCGAATCCATCACCATCTCCGACGGGATCGAATCGAACGGCGGCGATGCGGCGAAGCCCCCAGCGGGGACGAGGATTGAAGGATTGAGAGCGGAAGATCAAATCAGCAACGGTGATGGATTTCTAGGGCTTGATGGAGACGAGGCGAGAGAGAGAGAGAGAGAGAGAGAGAGAGCGCGCGAGAGCGAGAGCGAGAGCGAGGTACCGAACGAACGGACCCTGCGAGTCGCGAGAGTGTCGAATGGGAGGTTAGAAAGACGAAGAGGGATTAGAGACGACGACGAGGAGTCTAGAGAGGTGGTAAACATGCAGTGGGCACGGATACTGATGTCTCGGGCCCGATCTCGATGGACCCGGCAGTCACACCGAGGTTCCAAGCTCGATGTCGGTGGGTCTGGGCTCGGGCATAGACATTAGAATAAGCGCGAATGAACTATTCTGCTTCCAAAATCAAATTCTTGTCGGAAATTGATTTTCGAAATTCTCAGTAAATTGATTTTTGAGGAGAAATCTGTTTGATAAAACATGACTAATTCAAAATTGATTTCCTGAACGTAAATCTATTTTTATTTTTTTATTATTTTGGGTACTCAAAAAAATAAATTTCACTCAAAGTGGCTTCAAAGGTATTCTAAGCCATTTTGTGAAGTTTTGAAATTTTGATTTTTTGATTTTTTTTTGCACCTCAAAAAATTAAATTTCACTCAAAGTGGGCCAAAAGGTATTCTAAGCCATTCTAAGTTTTGAAATTTTTGATTTTTTTATATTTTTTGAAAAAATTCACCAGATTTCCTATTTTCCCGAAATCTTACTTTTTTTTTCTGAAATTTTTTCAATTTTTATGCATTTTCGGAAAAAAAAATTAGTGAGATCTCAAAATGTGTTGTAAAGGCCACGAAAAAAGAGAAAATAGGAAGAATGCTTTCTGAAGAGAGAAGCTACAAAAAGTAGCTTCTCTTTCTTACCCAAAACTTATTCTGAATCAAAATGCATTCTAATCAAGAATGCATTCTAATCAAGTATTTTTAACAAACGCATTTTTATTCTAGAATGCAAAATTACTCTATGCATTTCGAAAATTTTTAACAAACGATTGCTCTGAGCATTCCGGAGACTTTACCCATAATGGATTCCATGCACGCCCTAAGCGATTCCAGATTCCTTATAAGTTTCACTGGAACATGAAACTTATTCTCAAGTACAGATTCTTCATTTTTTAACCTAAAACCTACTCGTCGGAACTTGAAACCTGGAACCTATCCGGTTCTTATTTTTATTTCATTTTTACTTAAATAAAACAAAAATAAACACAATAATACTGAATAAACTTGTCATTCACCAAAGAGAATATAAAAGATTAGTTTTCATGGTATTACAGTTCAAATAAATACAATTAAAATGAGAAATCATTGCATGAATCAATATTAGGGGTGAGTGGTTCCATATTTCGTACAGGTTCCACCTGAAACCAACCCATGAGAATAGGTTCTTCATTTTTTGAAATTTGGAACCTACCTTTTCACAAGTTTCGGGTTGGTTCCAGGGTCTATCCAGGTTCCACATGCATTATTAATTGAACAATTACAACAAATCATCACCTTTAATGATTACAACTTGCTGCTATGATCCACTGACCACAACTTATATTTAGACACGCGAAGAATATGAAAAATTAACAGGTTATAAAATGAAAGCTCAGACTAGTGGTTCAAATTATACACTTATCATTTAATGCCGTGAAACACCACAAGATCACGTGAAGACATAAACCAAGAAAAAACACAAAAAACTTATTTAAGTGTCAGGTTCCAGGTTCCATCTACCTAGAATCTGAACCTACCTGTCGAAAGAGGTTCTCTAATTTTTGAAACCTGGAACTTACCTTGCATACTTTGAAACCTGGAACCTACAGGTTCCCACCAGTTAGGTTCTCAGGTTCCAGGGTAGAACCTGGAACCATGCTCACCCCTAATAGGCACTGGGGTCTCGCGCCTAACCTCGACTGGCACAAGCGCTGATGCCGCGAACCCAATCCTTGAGATCCAAGGGGTTTGAAATTATCATATGCTTGTCAGAGTTCTTTTCGGGTTCTTCAGAGAACTCAACAACAGGTTTTGCTTTTTCCTTCGCAAAAAACGAGCATTGGGGTCCCGTGCTCAAGCAATATCCGGTTATATTTAGAAAATAATTTTTAATTTTAAGAAGAAAATCACTTCCTTGAATATAGATTTTCCGTTAAATGAGAAAATATTTTATGTTAATTCATTTTTCCAAGCGATTCAAACGTCGAAAAATGAGAAAAATATTTTTCTGAAAAATTATTTCGGCAAAATAAATGGATTTTACAAATGTTCAATTTTAACCTTTTTTTGTGATTCCTATGATGCAATCTAGTCCTTATATAATTTTTCAACAAAAATTTAATTTCTTTCATCGAATTTTGACTCAAAATTTTATGGAAAGGTCGAATTAAAACCAAGCATTAATCGGTAATTTCAATATTCACAGGTTTGTCCAATCTAATTTAAAGTCTTGTCAAGATAAATGCCATCGCATGCAAGTTTTTACAATCGACGTGATGTGGAGTTGCTGATGATGCTACAATTGGAAGGTTTCTTGCAAACTTTCTAAAATATTTTAGGTACAAAATAACGAGTTAAATGTGGTTAAATCATTTAAAAACGACTTTATTTCTTAAAAGTAGTCCTAGATACTTCTACATGGATCTATACTGAATATGTGAACGTTGATATTACTAAATATGATGGAATTCAGGAATTCACCTCAATGGTGATATCATTCAAATCGTTTGTACTTGTTAGGAATCACCGGTTAATAGTTTATTTTGAATTGACAGTTTCATAAAATTTCATACAAAGGTATCAAGTTTTATTGAACATTAAATTAAGGACTAGTTTTATAACTAAAACAAGTCCACGTACCAAAATGGTTCATTCTTAACAATATGAGGACCAAAAGTTAAAAATTTTCGGAAACTTGTTCACGTAGATGCCATGCCATGCATCAATTTGCAAGTGCCAAGTACACCCCGTCAACATTTAAATCTCAAAGAATTAAGTCAGATTCTATGCATCAACTTCTATATATTGCGAAGGTTTGTGTGTTTCGAGTAAAAAACAAAATTTACCGTGCATGTCGTGAAATTTAGATTAAATGAAAAGTAAAAGTCTATCCAGAATTCTAGACATAACCGGAAGTTTAAAAAAAAAAACTACTGAAAACAAAGGGATGTTTTTTTTTTAATTATGCGTAAAGTTGGGTAGTAGTTGCTTCTTAAAAACCAACATTTTAAAGCTTTTTTTCTTTTTTGGGTCGGTAACATTTTAAAGCTTACGAGTAGGCAAATTCATGCAAATTTTGAATCATGGGATTGGGCCTTGGAGTGTGCCCTTCTTGGGCCTCATGGATGGGCAGGCTCTACAGTCCACGAAATGTTTCGGAGGCTCAATGGGGAGACTTTTTTCCCTCTACCTGGGCTTGATCTTAATATGCCGACTCAACTAGGGGTGCGCAAAACGAATCGCCCAAATTGAGAACAGCCCAGACCGGACCGAACCGGCTGATTTGATCTGGTTCTCGAGAGTGTTAGTCCAATTTCTAAAAGTAAAATCGATGCCCGGGCTGTCCGGTTCCTAGTTTCAAGGGGGAACTGGATCGACTACACATACTTTAATTTTTATTTCTTCAAAAAAATTAGTAAAATGTTATCTAAACTTTAAGTGAATTTCATTGATATAAATTCAATGACAAAAATTAGTAAAATGTGAACTAAATCCTAAGTGAATAGTAAAATGTGAACTAAACCCTAAGTGATCGGTTTCATTGGAACGAATCAGACCGGTAACCGATCACCCTGGATTTAACCACGTCTTTTCATTTCGATTCAACAATGAGAGGCCAATTTAGGGCGTGTTCCGTCATTTGGATAATAGGCCCGATAGGATAATATTTATGATATCTGTGTTCGTAGAAACGTTTTGAACTAGGATAAGCCCGAATAAGTTTGCATACCACGCTCGTCCCACTTGAGCAAAATAAAATAAGAAAGAAAGGCAAAAGAAGAACGGTAGACGTCGATAGTAACCATTGCACAGCGGTTGTACCCATTGGGCAACCTCATCGCCGTGGTCGCTTGAGATATCATGCCCTTCTTCTCTCTATTTTTTGACTTTGTCAAGGTGGTCGATAACCACAACGATAGATGAAACTATCGTCGCGGCAGTCGCACCCGCCAGTCGAAATCTAGATCTGGATATGGATTTCTCTCTTTCTTTGGTGACAACCACGATAGATGCGACCAGTACCATGGTTGTCACCGTAGGTGATCATGATGGTGGCGGCACCCCTCGAGTGGGATGACCACCGTGGAGGCGACCACAAACCTATAGCCACCAAACGCAACCTCATGATAATATACGGTCCACGTAACAAATATTTACCTTCTCCATTTTTATAATTTCTCTTTTCATATGCTACCGAAGTGTCTCGTGAGTTTCAACAGAATTAAAACGACGCTTGTCCTGCATCTGGGGGACTCCATTGCTATCATAGAAGCCGTCGAATTCAAAACATTGCCCGACATACACAGCTATTTTTCTTTGGCATTCTAATCCAAACGGGCCGAATTGCAGCTACAGGAGTGATCGAAGCACGCAACGACCGAACACGGGCGCGATATTCTCAGACCGAGGCGATTGCCCGGGAACAAGTTCCCTCCAACACGACGCTAGCGAACTCGATCGAAGGACCCGCAAGAGAAACAAAACCACAAAAAAACAAACCAACGAATCTCTAACGATATCTCTGGGTGCAAGAACAGGCCCTTCCGGAGGAGGAGGCATCACCATTCACCATCATTTTGATCCCCAATTTCTCATCCTTAATCGCGCGCGATTAGGCGATGGTCGTTTCTCGAGTCGTTTTCAAGTTCAAATTCCGCCTGCACAATAGGTACAGTATACAGGGGGACGCTGTGAAGGACGAGGAAAGGGATGCATATCTACTGTCCGATGTTAGGTTCGGGTCGGGTCGGGTCGGGTCGGGGCGTGCCGAGGCCAAGCCGATTTCGTTGACGGTGGTGGGTGGGGGACACGGGGGGCCCCACGGATCGGCCGAGGTGTCCATGTCGGAGTTGTCGCGTTCGGAGGGAATTTTGGAACCGGGCCAAACAGGGGACGCAGCGGGAAGATGTCAGGGACGGCTCAGGTTGGTCTCGGTGGCAGTGTTGGCCCCTTCCTTCCTTCACCCCCAACAAAGGAATCGAATTGACACGGCTCGCGTGTATTTGATCTATTTTAAAATTCGAAACCCCTACAAAAATTTCGTTCTCTTGTAATTTCTAAAGATTTGAACAGTATCTCGAATTTTAACGAAGAAGTAGGTAGAAAGTACCTTTTTGCTTTTATTTTACGTTCGAGCAAGCGAGGAAATATTGGGTAAATCAGTCTTGCCACGTAGGCGATAGGTAGACCTGTCAAACGGGTAGGTCAGATTATGTCGAAAATGGTCTGACTCGTATTGACCAATTTTCGTACAATACAATTCTAGCGACCCATACTTGATCCGACCCATATTGCTAAAAAGACTTCAATATTAATCCAATTTAGAAAAATATGTTCCTTATGAATTTTTAGAAATATAATATATATATATATATATTGCTAAAACACTATGGACAAATTTTTTGATTTTAAAAAAAATTTCATTTTTCTTTTCTTTTTTTCTTCTACGACCGACGGGTTGGCGGCATCTGGTGACCGGCAACTGACGGTGGATGGTGGCATCTGGCAATGACCGGTGGTGATCAGCGACGATTGACAATCGGCGGCGACAGGCAAACGACAACCAGCCAACGATCGCCACGTGTCCTAGTGGGCCCTACAAGGTCAATCTCTGTCTTCTTCACTGTTTCTTCCTCTTTGTTTTTTTTTTTCCCCTTTTCTTCTTTTTTCCTTTCTTTCCCTTTGGTCTGTGATCGGTACTCGGCTATGGCTAACAACCGGCCACAGGAGAGGATTGCTCTCGTCGAATTTGGCAAGGGCTCAACCCTCGTGGCCTGGGCAAAGGTCGCCCTCGCCGAATCTAGCGGAGGTCACCCTCGCGGCTTGGGCGGCGATGAGGATGAAAATCAATGAGCGGATTGACGATGGAGGAGGAGCCGCCGATGAAGAAGCGATCGGACAGCCGAGTGGTGTTGAAGACGTCGGTGGAGTTGATGGTGGAGTTGTAATCGATGTGGAAGGAGACGTGAAGAGAAAGCCGATAGGACGAGGAGGCAAGAGGGAGATAGAGGAGGAGAGAGATGAAAAGACAATTTGAAACGTGGACCCCACTCAAACACGTTACCATTAATGAGTAAAGTGTCATACCACCTACGTGACAAGACCGACATGCCTAATATTTTCTAGTCCTTCACTATTCGAAATGAAAGGCACATCTCTATGCTGCTACAAGACAAATGACTTATGATCGATCGAGGCTTCTCTCGAGCCACTGTTTCGGTGTGGACCGTGATGATATTTACTGTTTTGCTTACGTGCCTTCACATGAAAGATAGCTATTTTAAGACCCGAGGATGATAAGCATGTTCGTCTTCCTCGCTAAAAGTTGGCATTCAAGCAAATACTATACATACCAGGAAAATGTGCTAAATGTGTCATTCTTTTGTCCGTGGCAAATCTGGTTTAAGTTTAATGGAAGCGGTGTGGACAAAAACAACTATTTGCGTCTTGATCGCAGAGCAAAATAGCAGCTCGTTGCTGCTTTTTGGCATTCAAAGTCAAAAAAAGAGTCAGTCAAGAAAATTCTCTCCCTCCTCTCACAATCCCAAACACTCGAAAGTGAAATTACACACCCATTGTCCCCCTTTGATTCCTTTCCTTTTCTCTTTTATGTTTTCCCCATCTCTCTCTCCTATCTCTGTGAATATGTTGGTGGGTCAGGTGTGTGTTTCTTTTGTCAGGATTCTCTTGTACTGCAGCAGAGGACTAGAAACAAAGGTTTAATGAGCCAGCCCCACAAGTTCATTAAAGAGAAGAAACCAAGAATCTCTCTCTCCCTCGCTGAAGATTATTTACTCCTCCTCCTCCTGGAGATTTGCTTCTCACAACATGAAGCCACTCATGGCGAGAAACTCCCAGGACTTCTCCTCCAAGAGACACTTCCACTGGACTAAGAAGGTCGGAGCCGACGAAGAGGACCAAGAGCAAGAACGAGACCGTGCTCATGTTCACGTTCCCGGTGAGCATGAAAAGAAGAGCAATGAGTCGCAGGACAAGAAGAGCAAGCTGAGACCTGACCAAAGCAGCGAGAAGGTCATCACCCACGACTCGGTCTCTCCGTCCCCGACCGCCAAGAAGAAGCTCCAAGCCATTGCCGTCTCCAAGCTCCGCTCGGTCCTCTTCCAATTCGCCAAGAACGTCCGGTCTCATTCGCCGGGAGGCAGCGGCGGCCTTGGCCCGAGAGTCGTCGGCACCATCTTCGGCCACCGCCGAGGCCACGTCCTGTTCTCGTTGCAGAAAGACGCGAATTCTCAGCCCGCTTTCCTGGTCGAGCTTGCGACCCCCATCAGCGGACTGGTCCGGGAGATGGCCTCCGGTCTGGTCCGTATCGCGCTCGAGTGCGACAAACCAGCCCAAAACAACAGCACCAACAGCAGCAACAGCACCAACAACAGCACCAACAAGAGGTTATTGGAAGAACCCGTGTGGAGGACTTATTGCAATGGCAAGAAGTGCGGGTTTGCAGCAAGGAGAGATTGTGGGCCTAAAGAGTGGAAGGTCCTGAAGGCAGTGGAGCCCATTTCCATGGGTGCTGGCGTCTTGCCTCTGGATGGTGAAGAAGAAGAAGGCCATGAGAGTGGGGGTCCAAGCGGCGGTGAGGGTGAGATGATGTACATGAGGGCCAAGTTTGAGAGGATCGTGGGGTCAAGAGACTGTGAGGCCTTCTACATGATGAATCCAGATTGCAATGGAACTCCTGAGCTCAGTGTCTATCTGCTCAGGGGTTGAAGCAAAATGAATGCCATGGAAGCTACTCTCTCTGTCTCTCTGAGCCGAGTCCTCCGAGAACTTCTTTTTTGTTTTGGGCCTTTTGGGTTCTGGTGCAAGAAGGATGCTAATGGTGATCTTGTTTAGCTGATCTTCAAATCGAGGCCTAGCTTAGTTTCTTTCTTTCCTCTGTTTTTTTCTTGTCTCTGTTTTTTTTTTCTTTGGGTCATTTTGTTTGTTCTGTTCTTTGCTTTCTTGGGAGGTAGGGAAATGGTATACGTGGGGGGGTATAATGTGGGTTTTCTCTTTGGGGTTGGTGGGCAGTGGGGTTCGGATGAAGTTGTATATGTATAGTTTCTAATGAGTAATCATTAATGAGAAGGAGGAGGGTTTATGCACTCAGCGATTGCTGTTCGCATAATTCATTAATGTCATTCATTTGCTTTGCGTGAATCCAACTCTCAGGTAGATTCTTGTCTTGACTGGACATGAATTTTCCCGTCTGCTCTTTTCTTCAACACTGCCCCTGAATTTTCATGCCCTATCTGGTCACCATATTCACCGCTGAGAAAGAAAAAAATGATGTCTAGTGCTTCTGCATACGATCATCTAGTCAAATTTTTGCCGGCTGTTTTGTGTGGAGAACTGTCCCATTTCGAGTCCCAGTCTCGCTCTTGCTCGTGCCTGAAAAACGAACACAAGAAGTCCCAACCTTGGCACGATCAAGATTGGATCCTTCAGCTTCACATGTTAAATCTATGCATTGAGCCAAGCTTTGAGCCCCTTGGTCTTAAAGTGGAAGATGTTCCAATCATGACACTGAGCTGTGTGATTTTTGAGTGGACTGATCCCAAGGTATATTTATTGGAATTCAATCATAGAACCCATCAAAAGCAGACTACGCAAAAGGAGAAAAAAAAAAAACAGAAAGAAGAGGAAAATCCCAATCACTGGCAAGATTGTGCAGTCGAAATTTTGGCTTTTGTTTTCTAACCTTTATCTCGTTTGACTACTTTCCACCCTGGCAATCCTTTTCCTTTCCACGCTTTGGAACTCCATGTCTCTGCTCACCCAGTGGCTGCACTATTGCCATTCAAAGTAAAGCTCGCCACTTTGTGAATTTATGTGCTAGTAATTAAAAGCCAAAGCGCATCTATCTCGCACACCCATAAAGAGCAATAGGGGAAGAGATGATAAGCCCACCCAGAAGATTGGCATCTTTTGCAACAAAAAACATAAACACTCTACCGTGATGTTTTGGGCATCTCATGCTTTCATGAACAATAATGCTCAGGAGACGTCACTCTTTTCTAAATACTTAGCAGTCAGAACAGATCGAACCCTCTTCGTTTTGCTGTTTTTTACGCTTGATTTTGTCGGTAGAACCTCCTCGTTCTGTACAGGGACAAAGTGGTCGCCTGGGGTAGTTCGTGCCATTGCAGCTGCGTGGACTGTCTGCCCCCATTTCAAGCTTTCGTCCTCCATCTCTGGGACACTGTCTCTGCGGGGAGGCTGAAAAAGGGAGAAGTGGCGAAGTTCAGGAGATGTGGGTTACAGCTGGGACAAAGAGATCCGTTGAGATCGACGCCCACCCCTGTTCCCACAAAAACCGAGGAGGAGGAGGCCGCCCTTTGGGGTTTCACATAATTCTGCTCATCATTCTTCAAAAGATTCCTAAAGTTAGATCACTGTTGCTTAAAGCAAAAAGAGACCATTTGAACGAAAGAGAGCAGAACCCCACCGGCCGTCGGGGAGACCCGTTTCGGTTTCGTTTTTGCGAACTTTTTCGTGCTGATCCACTTGGTGTAATGAGCTATGACCACTATTGTTTAGGATGTGTGTATGATTTGTTCGGGGTGACTAAACATTTTGGCATGATTAGATTTGCCATGTTATCATGAGCATTGTCATGGCTTCCGATGTTATGACGAAGATGACTTCCTCTTTTTTCAAGCCATCGTCTTTTGGTTTCGCCCCGAGAAGATGATGATGCAACTCAGAGCTCGGTCAAACGCATGTTCTATGCGATTTGATTGTCTAACGTCGGGAAAAAAATATAGACACGCGATGGTCATTGACAAAGAATTTGCGAGTTTGATCAAGTAGTTAAATAAGTGGCATCGTGCTCCCATAAAGCATTGGATAACTTTTTGATGAGTATTAGACACCATTATGGTGGTCGACCAAGTACTGTAAGGTTTAGGAGATAGGTTCCTCATTTTTTAGAATCTGGAATCTATTCTACATATATTCTAGAACATGGAACTTACCCTGCCACGGGCTTATAAGATCTGTCAGGGAACTAGGCAATTTATTTATTTTTGTTTTATTTATAGTTAAGCAAAAGTAAAAATGAACGCGATAACAAAAATGAAAGTCTCCTATTGTCAATAGCAACAATCCATAAAAGATGAACACATAATATAAAATAAATAATAAAAAGTTCAAAACACATAACATAGAACCTAAATTATAGAACTTCAATCCTCAATACGAAACTTGTTCCAAATTCTAACAAACTGAAATCAAAAGAAAAAATAAACATAAGTAATCACTCGATAATAGTTTTAAATTAAAATTACTATTAATTAAACTAAAATATTTATTAGAAAGCCTCACCACATATATACATTCCACTTCAACTCGTAAATTCTAATTACTAATGATAATCTCTTCGTTAAGACAATCCATATCCAATTAAACTCTAATTAACGATCGGATCTAAATTTCCAGCAACTAAATTTAAATAAGGACAAGATACGAAACAAAACTAAGAAGGACTGATGATCATTGATTAAGACGGCTATTCGGACCTACTTCGGTTCAAGGACCATGAGCACTCGGTTGAGAGGCCCCCGTGTTCCCATGATTAACGGACTCAGAGTAAATGCTAATCGCAAAATCGAAAGATGATCGATTCCTACGCGGATCGCAGTGACGAATCAAGATCTATACTTAGGGACAGATGATGATGCTATCATCGGAAAATCAATGAGCAAATTACCCAGAAGCTACAACCACTTGAATGGGGCTGAGTCCTTTCTGTCCCGTACACACATAATTTCTTTTGAATGGAGAACGTGGTTGTACGTGAAAATACGTGTGCTCGTCAATGCATGATGATGGTCGCATATGCCTTATACTACCATGAGAACGCCCAAGAGAGAGATCGAGCTTCACGAAAGAGAGCGCTCCACGAGACAGATCAAATAGGCGTTGGTCTTGAGTTCGAAAGGCAAGGAAATATACTTTCTTCTGTTTAAATCCAAAGTGTATAAGTCAATCTTTATTTTAAGCTTTTGTAGATTTCCGACTCTCGGTTCCGGTTCCCTCGAGAACTGAGAATGCTCGAGAACTGAGAATGGAGGTTCCAAAAATTGTAGAACTAGGAACTGGATCGGATCTCACCAGAACCTGAAATCGGAATGGTTTTCGTCGGTTCAGTTCTCCAGTTCTCGGTTCTACCCTGAAACCGTGCTCACTCCTAGTAAGGTCTATTCTCATGTGATTCTACATTTTGTAGCCTCTGGTCATCGATTCGAGTCTTGGAATAGCTTTTCGATCTTAGAAGAAAAAAAACGAAGAAGAAAACTTCTCTTTTGTGACATTAGTCTAACTTAGACAAGACATCGGACAATTCCCGCTCCACTTCTATTGGAACGATAGTGCAGCGAACCCGGTCAAACAAACGACAGCAGCGATCGAATCGAGTATTCCGTCGCGGACAAGAGACTTACACGAAACGTCCGAGGGCCGTCAACGTCGGTCGACCCGCGTCTGTTTTTGTTTGCCCCTTTAAGCTAACAACAAGGGCTAGGAGTCTACAATGAAAATAGCACCATCATTTCATGGGACTGGGGGAAACTGCTGGCGATGGGACTCAAAGTATTTGCCAAAATTTGCAACTCGGGAAGCCCACCAAGAACGGCTGATTGTCTGCGGCCGCCTGAGGGGAAAATCGCCTCCCCTTTGGCGCAATCATTCTCGTTTTTAGGCGCAGCAATGGACGTGCCCCGCGAAGCGCAAATGCGAGTTGGGTTCAATGCTTTTCCGAGGAAAAGAAGCGTGAATACTGAAGCCGAGGCAGGAGCCTAGTTTTTGTTCTTTTGTTGAGCCTACCATTTTTGAAAAAAAGAGGAGGGGGTATTGCTAAAGGTTTTGCCTAAGCCAGCACGATATGATTACGAGCTGGTGTGTGATCCCCCACGCCCTATGGCTTTTTTGGTGGTGGGTCTTGATCTTTGATTTTTCTTAATGTGGTGTGGTGATTTCGCTTTAATGAAAAGAGAAGATTGGTAGGCCTCGGGAATGTTCATGTTATGAGCAGCTAGAACGATTGATTAAGCCGAGTCGGGCATTGGAATAATTTACTCAGAAGTACCTCTAGCGTTAAAGGTTACGCATTTTCTGGCCAAGAAAAGAGCGAGAGCCATTTTGATCTAACTTTTGCGGTCGCGTTCTCGCCTATTTCGAATTTAGAGAAGGAGAGTCGATGTCTTTCGTTTTCTTAGAGTCTTCGGTTCGGCTCGACTCGACTCGAGATCAGGAAAGAAATGAATTTGGGTTTGGAGAAGCATGATGTAGAATATGTGGAAGAACAATAATCAAGGTGAAAATCATGATATCGTATGTGAAGCAAGGCTTGCTCTCCAAGAACGGCAAGTTCATTTTGAGCCCTAATGGTCAATTGATGATTACACAGTATAACGTTTTAGGATCTGGGCTTTACCTTTGCATGCTCTGGTGGGTAGAATCGCATAGGCCTCGAGCACACTCAATTTTTTTGTCCAAAGTTAAATTCCGACTTATGTGTACAAACGAAAAGCAACCTAGGCTTTAACCCTATTTTGAGCATGGCGAATTTTAACCAACAAATCAAGAGCAACGTAAATGTTAGCTTCTATACAAACTCATTTTCTACTGCTGAATCGGCTCTGTTTGCTTTACGAAAAATATGACATTTTTTGAAAATGTTTTCTTGAAAGTCATTTTCCAGGAAAATAACAGCAAGCTGGAAAATAATTGCCATCGTTTAGTATGGAAAATCCAATTTGATTTTTCAAAATAGACATACACTATTTGAGCATTAATAACTTGCGAACGGGCAACCGGAGAATCGGGTACTAGTACTAGAATCCTGGGTCCAGTCTCAATGGGCCCCAACCAAGGCGTTAGGGATTGGGGCCGGCCACCTGGGTCTCGATGGACCCAAGCACAGCCTTTGTGTATCCGATCCCAGGTGTCGGGGATCCAAGCTTAGGTACCAAGATCTCGGGCACGAGACTTGGGACTTTGAGCTCAGCTTTGATGGACCCATGTACGGGCACCGGGGTCCCGAGCTCTTCCTCGATGGACCCAAGCACGAGCATCAGGGATCCAGGCATCGGCACTGGGGTCACGGGCCTAGCCTTGATGGATCTAGGCTCATGCGCCGGAGACCTAGCCCAGAACACCGAGGACCCAAGAACCAGCGTTGCAGATTCTGTGCTCAAATATAGAGTTTCGGGACAAGCGTTAATATCTAGTCATATTTTGATTCTGGAGTGAACATCGTCACTTGCTACATTTTTTATTAACACGGAGAAGGTGGGAATTACTCTCAATAAATGAAGAGAACTTAACCGAAGCAACAAGTAGCTGTATGGATTACTAATGAAGCCTTGGATTTGGAAGCTTTTATATGGAAAACATTTGATACGATAAGAGCACTTGGCTAATTTGCTAGTACGGCTAATGTGCTAGTACGTATATATATTTTATAAAAATTCAATTCAAATCACGTGAAGATACATTCCAATTTCGACGTGCCACTAATGACAATATTCCTTAAACTAATTCGTATTCGTATCCTCACAATTCGTTCTCGTTGATTTTATTTTATTTAGATTGAGTCATTTCGGTATTCTTGATGAATTTTTATAAGATATCTGGGGGATTTCTTATTTTATCGAATCCCGAGCAAGTCGAAATTATTTCTCGATGATGATTATAATATGTACGCGAAAGCTTTTCCACAAGTACAATATTGTTCGCAAGAGTCATCAGAAATTCATATTTGGAGAACTTGTTGACCACCTTAAATTTTTTTAGTCCTGTCATATTAAAAGGTCCGTCCTAACTCTCATAGTTGATTTTTTTTTTTCAAATTTTACAAGATATTTTTCAAAGGGAAAATGACACAAATGGTCCTTGAACTTTAGCCCAATGGGTAATACGGTCTCTAAACTTTTAATTTGTTTAATTTGCCTGAACTTTAATTAGCCCAATGCACAATATAGTCCTTGAACTTTTAAATTGTTTAATGTGATCTATTAAATTTTAGTACACGTTCAATTTAGTCTATAGATTATATAAAAATGTTCAATATTGTTCATGAACTTGAATTAATGGAATGATGATATCGAACATTTTCACATAGTTCAGGGACTAAATTGAACACGCGCCAAAAGTTCAGTGACCATACTGAACAAATCGAAAGTTGAGGGATTACATCGCATATTAAGATAAATTTCAGGCACATTTCACGTTAAATCAAAGTTCATGGACCATTTATGTCATTATTCCTTTTTGTAACACAAGGTATTTGGATATGTATAGTTTTCTCTTTAACTTTTTTTTTTTTTCCAAATTTAGTTATTATTTTAAAAATAGTCTTTGACTTGTCACAAATCCAGAGAAACAAATCTTAATATATACTTGGAAAAGCCCTACTCTTGAGAATGACTAGCCTCGTGGAGGCTCTAATCTAGTAAACGGGCCTATTAAAGAGGCACGATTGTTGGGCTTTGGGCCCATGAACGTGTCTCGGGCTAGGGCAATGCGAAACAAGAGTGCAAGATCAAAGAACCTTCGGGGACCCACTTCCCACTCCTCGAACAAGAAGTCGCTCCCTCCCCCCCCCCTCTTCTGTAGCTCTTCTTCAAAATCCCCCGAAATTCTTGGTTAGCAGCACAACGCTGAGCCGCCATGGCCGAACCAGAGAATTCTCCAGCCGCCGCGGTGGCGGCGAAGAAGAACCGCAAGAGGAAGAGGAACAAGAAGGCCGCGCATGCGAGCCCCGGCCAAGCCGAGGAAGCCGCGGGGACGGAAGGGGAGAGGAGCGGGAACGAAGGAGAGCTTCGCGAGTCGAAGGGCGCTAGCCTCAAGAAGGAGAAGAAGGAGAAGAAGGGGAAGAAGAAGAAAGCGCCGAGGAGAGAGGAGGAGGAGGAGGAGGAGAGCGAATGCAACGAGCTTCGCGGCGAGGAGGATGGCGGCGGCGGCGGCGGCGGCGGCGGCGAGGAAGAAGAGGAAGGGGAAGGGAAGCCGCGGGAGGCGAAGAGCGTGGGGAGCGGGATAATGAGCACGGCGTCCTTCGATGAGCTGGGCTTGTCTGAGCACACTGCCAATGCTATTAAGGACATGGGGTTTCAGTACATGACTCAGGTATATTTGCCTCGCTTGATTGAGTTTAACCTCGTTTTTTTAAGTTCCTTGGAATTGTGTGTAGTGGTCTATCATGGATATGTGGATATGTCGTACAGTTTGGTCCTTAGAGTAAGATTTTGGCAAGATAGGATCTTCATGACTTAGAGACTAAATGCTGGCAATAAAATTGGATACGGGCACTGCGACTGCTACTGGAATGTTGAGTTGATTGAAATCACCGAAGTTGTGGTCAAGAGGAGGTTACAGTTGATGGCAGTAGTGAGACTAGGCGTCCGTAGCTCGGTTAATATCAAATGTGACTGTCCTCTTAGCTGTTTTCCGGTGATTTTCTGTTAATATCAAATGTGAGACCTAATTGAATTCCTTGCATCTGTGGTGGCTCGGTGGGTGGTACGAAAAAAGTGTACTTCATAAAACCTGATTTTTGTCTAGTAAGAATCATTTTAGGCCATTTTCCCATATCCAAAGGGTGATTTAGGAGAATGTCTGTGGACAACCTCTTTTATCAGTATCTCTTTCTCAAGGTTTACGTCGGAATGTGATTGCTAATGCAGATCCAAGCCCGAGCTATTCCGCCACTTATGGAGGGTAAAGATGTCCTTGGTGCTGCAAGGACTGGTTCTGGAAAAACTTTGGCCTTTCTAGTACCGGCTGTGGAGTTGTTACATAGCATCCATTTTACTCCTCGCAATGGAGCGGGTGTTATTGTGATTTGCCCAACAAGGGAGCTTGCCATTCAGGTGAGAGATCTTTAAAATCTCAGTTAGTGCCTACCCTCAGACAATTGATTGGAGCTGGTTTACTATGTTGTCAAAAAGAAAGAGAAAGGTGTATTCGATCCTTTTGCATCCACTGCAAATTAATCCTCAAAATGAATAACGATGGCTATAAGTCACCTGTTAAGATGATGGATGCGTTAACTATCATAACTCAGCTCATGCTTCTTTTCGTTATATTGAACTACAATCAAAATACTTTATGGCTTTTTCTTCTATGTTAAGGTTTTGGAGCCCTATGATTTCTAATCAACTCTCTGAAGCCTTATTATGTTCTGCCAGCCTCTGGAATGACCACCCTGCACGATAAAACGTCTTTTTGGGTGAATGACAATTCCTGCTTGGATTTTGTTCTCCTATAGCCCCCCCTCTCTCCTTAAATAAAAATAAAATCTTGTCAAATCGTCCTCCTCTTGAATTAGTCATGAACAGGCTCTTGCCCTTAATATTTACTGAAAATTTTCATTAGCAAAGACACTGATGCGATAATTTAAATAGAGTTCTAAGGTGTTTGTACATAGGAAAAGCGACATCAGATAATGACATAAAAATTTGGCCAAACAATACGAGATTTTATATTCTCATTCTTGTTTGTGTTTCTTCCTTTGTTTAATTTGCGTCAATTCAATTCTGTAGACTCATGCTGTGGCGAAAGAACTGCTGAAAAATCATTCCCAGACGCTTGGCTTGGTTATTGGGGGCGCAGCTAGAAGAACTGAAGCTGAACGTATTGTAAAAGGCGTTAATCTTTTAGTAGCAACCCCTGGCCGACTTTTAGACCATCTTCAAAATACCAAGGGCTTCATATACAAAAATTTGAAGGTAATTGGATGGATTTCTTCGACTCTTTTCAAGTATGTTGGCATCAGAAAAAAGTGACTTTTCTCATGTTGATTCTATATTATATCTGCTGTTATAGTGCTGTTGACTTAATAATGCTGGTGAGCTTGTCATGATATATGTAGTATGAATGTGGTTCAAGACAAGGTGTTCCGTTGTTGGATAAACAAACCAGTTAAATGATTTGGAATGGGCAGAAAGAATAATCTTGTAGAATTTTGGTCTCCCTTTACTTTCTGAAGAGTTCAATTGGAGATACATTCATGTTGGAGTGTGAGATTGTGGTTGTTGACTTACTTTTTGCGAATTGTACATTTGACCTGGTTCTCTTTAGTCATTACCAACATTACGGGTATTAGTAATGTAGTTGATTAGTCATATGCACAGGTACTTTGAAGAATATGAGTTTTTGCTTACTCCCTTTAAACTTGCAGTGCCTCATGATTGACGAAGCTGACAGGATTTTGGAAGCAAACTTTGAAGAGGAAATGAAGCAAATTATAAAGCTTCTACCAAAGGTAGTTATCTATATTTTGGTCTTTCTCTCCTTCTTGTATAAAATGAGTATTTGACATGATTTGAAATTTAGGTAGCATTTATCATTAGAGTTGTTATAGCACACAACAGTGTAAAGGAAATTTTACACAAGCCTTAACCATTCATTTGAGAGAGTGAGTAGTTATAATCCTCAAATCGAGGGTTGATGAGGCTGATTGTATAAATTTTCCTTTATACAGGCAGTATATGCTCTATTTTTCCTTATCATTAACTGCTTGTAAGCAACATGGTCTTGGCTTATTCTACTAGTATCTGGGAGGATTGTCTCGAATCACTTTTCTCCCAATTGCCACTAGTTATGAAGAACAATTTCATTAATATTTACATTCCTACTGTATGATCTCTCTCTCTCTCTCTCTCTCTCTCCACTGGCAGACTCGACAAATAAACATAAGATGGCATTTACTTTAGATGGTGTCAATCTGTATTATGTCGAGTCAACCTTTTCATGACCTGGTAAGGAGAAGGAAGATTTACCTATATACAACAATCTAAGCAGTCTTCACTCGAGTGTGTAGAAGATGGCTTAAACAAGTGCTCAGTCACTTGGGCCATTATTCATACTAGATAATTTGTCCTTGTTTAATGTCAAGCAGGCTTTGTAACTTCTGGCTTCTATTAAAAGGGAAAACTACATTGATTATATTCTAAAAATCGTTCATTACCATCAGAGAAGTCTGTTGCTTTGTGTAGTTTCATATTTGTCAGACAAAAAGAAAAAAACCAAGTTCACAAAAAAGTTTCGGTTCTAGCACTATCTGCATTGATTATATGCAGAAAAATTCTTTGCTTTTTCCTTTTAAGATTTAGGAAGTGGTGTTTCATTTTCATGGATGTGTTTATCGAGCTGATTGTGAGTTCTAAATGTGCAGAAAAGGCAGACAGCATTATTCTCAGCCACCCAAACTAAGAAGGTATTTGCGTTCTGTCACACAATTTTTAGTTATCATCGTGTTATATTATTCGGTGTGATGCTTAGTTTTATTCTCATTTTTCGCTCTATATATGGACATGAATAAATAACTTGATCAGTAGTATGTCTCCGACTCTGCTTATTATGGATTCTGTTGATGTGCCGCAGGTTGAAGATCTTGCTCGGTTGTCATTTCAAACAACTCCAATATACATTGATGTTGATGATGGGAGGACCAAGGTAAACGGTCTGTCTGTATTAAGTTATTGACCAGGAAGGCAGGAAGGTCTTCTTTGGGTTCCTTATGCTTTAATGCTATCTTTTTTGCATAGGTTACAAATGAAGGACTGCAGCAAGGTTATTGCATAGTGCCCAGTGCAAAAAGATTTGTTCTTTTGTATTCCTTCCTTAAGAGAAACCTGTCGAAGAAAGTCATGGTCTTCTTCTCTTCATGCAATTCGGTTAAGTTCCACTCGGAACTTCTCAAGTACATTCAAGTTGATTGCTTTGACATTCATGGAAAGCAAAAGCAACAGAAACGAACAACTACCTTTTTCGACTTTTGCAAAGCTGAGAAGGGAATCTTGCTGTGTACTGATGTTGCTGCCCGTGGACTTGACATCCCTGCAGTGGTATGCTGCTGAATTTTTCTAACCTCCTCCTCCTCTTCTAGCTTTTTGAGCGCATGCTTGCTTGATTGCAATTGTATGTGCAACTTGTGCATTAGTCTTTGACTGTCGTATGTTCTGGTAAACCTTTAAGCATTATTATTAGTTTTCTTTTTCTGTCTGAGCACATATTTGTTACAACTGCTGAAGTTGAGTTCGAGTAAAATCCCTCTATTTTGGTGATAGACATTGAAATTGTTCTTCACTGCTATGGATTTTTACAAGGTCAGAGTATGGAGGCCTTAAAATTTATTCTGGGTTAACATATGAAGCAAAAGAATCAAAATTATATGTTATTCAGGTGGTGGCTGGTCGGATGTTTTTCCCGTAAATAATCAACGGCATGTTTCTCTATATTGCAGATATCTCCTGTACACTAAGTAGCTCTAGCATTAGTTTTAAGACTGCTTCTGCAATCTAGATGTAGACTATCGCCTAAATATTTTCTTTTGTTGTCAATAATTGGCATTGAATTCATTACTTATGTTTACTTGGCCACTTTCCCCTTCTCCACATGTAGGACTGGATCGTGCAATATGATCCTCCTGATGAACCCAAGGTGCGTGATTTTGATCTCTTAGAGACATTTGTTTCCGGTTCTATTCAATTCGTTTGTTTTCCTTTCACTTCGAACGTCTTATAGCATAGTTTCCTTGTTTCAGGAATATATTCATAGGGTTGGTCGAACAGCTCGTGGAGAGGGTGGGAAAGGAAATGCTCTCCTTTTTCTCATCCCTGAAGAACTTCAGTTTCTTCGTTACCTAAAGGTATTAGCTTACTGAAATGTCATATCGTTGGAGGCTCTGGAATGTATTCTTGTAGCTCTGAGATGAACCCTGTTCAGAAGGGAGAAAAGAGTTTCAACTTTTACCCCCTTTTCATGAGAAAGCACATCTCAAATATTGAAGATTAAGTCTTTCAAGAAAATCTCTGGGATCTAAGAATGGGCTTCACTTTACTTGTCAAAAGTTTTTTATTAGCATTCTGAAATTGTCCATCCTGTTTGTTAGGCTGCAAAAGTTCCAGTGAAGGAGTATGAATTTGATGAAAAGAAGCTGGCAAACGTTCAGTCGCACCTGGTACTTTACACTTTTACATACCTCATAAACTTCTTTACCCACATAGTTGATTGAGTGACTATTTACATTGCGTAACCCTGAATGGTGCAGGAGAAGTTGGTGGCTAACAACTATTACTTGAACAAGTCGGCTAAAGATGCTTATAGATCCTACATACTGGCATACAATTCACATTCTATGAAAGACATTTTTAATGTTCACCGCCTTGATCTCCAGGTACAGATTAACTCACCGACACAAGTCTTAGTGCATGCAATCATATGTGCATACATCAGTCCTGCATGCAAAGCATATGGATAGCTTCTCACTAAATGTTGATTGAGGATATCCAGGATAAAAGGATGTTAGAAAGGTCCTTGTAGCAAATTTGGAAACACTCTATTTAATGACTTCGTATTGTTGACTATGAACAGGCAGTTGCGGCTTCATTCTGTTTCTCTTGCCCTCCGAAGGTTAACCTGAATATCGATAGCAATGCATCCAAGTTCAGGAAAAATACGCGCAAAGTGGAAGGAAGCCGGCATGGATTCAGTGAGAGCAATCCCTATGGGAGGCAGAAAGAAGGTGATACCAGACAGTTTGTAAGATACTAGCAGAACCAAGCCACGAAATGATGGATGTTTCTGCAAGAAATTTTGCTCGAAGTATGTAGTTTCCGGCGGAATTTTAGTTTCTCACTTACCCGTTTGTATCATGTAAAATTGCTATTGAAACACGAATCTTCTCTAGGACGCGGCAGAAGAGGGAAAGACCAGAATATTTGTTACATGACCTTCAATTATTTTGGGCGAGTAGCTGATAAATCAAATAGTTAATAAAAACTCTTCGGCTATCAGCATGTTCATTTGGATGGAAAAAGGTCGCATTTAAGCATTTAGTGAGCGATTTTAGACTGCGTCTAATGACCTGCCGAACGACCTATTAATCTCTTCCACGAACTGCGAATAAAAAACTACGTTGAACTCATGGTCTTTATGGTCATTATAACGTAGAGAATTATCGACGAGGAGAGCGAGTCTTCTTCGCTCTTCGGTAGTAAATTTTGGAAGTGCTCATCCTATACCGAAAGAATTGATGTGAGCATCAGAGGGCGTTGAGTTTCAGATTGAACTCGCATCGTTTGGTTGGTTTCAGTTCCGACGCCATGACCGAACGTATTGTCCCTGTCGTCTGTGTGCCGGCCATCTTGTGAGTGAAATGCAACAAAAAGCAATTACAGAAAAGAAGCGCTAAATGACTGAGTAGAGCATTTCGTCTTGAATTATTTGGACTCATCAACTGTCCATGATCAAGTAGATACCTCCTCTAATGACATAATCTCCTAAAAATTGCAAGCCAAACCCAAATCAAACCCTGGTCCCTTCCTCGTACCCCAGAAGAAAAAGAGTTGATCTAAAACAAGAAAAGTCACGCAAGGAACGACACTGTGACGAGCGCCACGGCGCTGGCCAGCGAGTACATGGGGAATAGCGTTGGAGAAGACTGAGATGTCTTGGTCGAATTATCGTTCGCGGATTGAGGCGGCGGGGTTTCTTCCGTTTCCAACACTTTGATGATCATCTTCTCGCCCCTCTCGCAGTGTCCCGTGACCCCGCTGATGAAGTAGAACAAGCCGGGCCGGTCGAGCTTGAAGGCCGTGTCGCCGTTGTTGGAGTAGAACAGGGGGTGCGAGGATCTGCACTTGTCGTACTCCTCGCTCGTTACCACCATCACCGAGTCCTTTTGGTACTTGAAATCTACAGCAGGCACGAACAAGAAGAGCTAAAAGCATTGAGATGAGGATGGGATGTCACCAATCACACGACATTAACGCATCGTCACTCCTCAATCCTCATACATAGACGACACAAAGTGGGTCGTAAAATTTCTACTCAAGCAACTTACGTATAGTGTCATCGACTTTGAAGCGGTTCCTCGACGCCCAGTCGTTGTAGACGTCTCTGTCTTTGTTCGATCTCCGAACGCCCCAGCCATCTTCGCCGCCTACCGTGAACTCGGTGGCAGTGACAACGAAGACCTGGAGGGAAGAGACGAGCAGGAGAGCAAGCAATAGTTTGCATGAGCCCACGTGAACAGTCGCCATTGTTGTCGAGTCTTTTTCTGCTTCTTGGTTTGGCTCGGATTAGCAGGGTTTAGGGTGCTTAAGTAGATGCGGATGGACTTAAAGATGAATGATTAACGTTTGTTCGTTGAGAGAGAGAGAGAGAGAGAGAGAGAGAGAGTAGGAGTGAGAAGTGGAGGAAGATCTTTGACTTGGTACAACTGTTCTTCGGGAGAAGGATTGGTATGTTGAGGAAATCTAGCTATCTAGCCGTTGATTTTCAAACTTTAATTTTTCCTATCGTGCCTCGAGAGAAAAAGATGCAACATTTTTGATCGGGCAATAGCAGTTTTCAATAGTGTTTATCACTATCGTTAGGGGGTTATGATGCACAAAAACTGACTCTAAATATCACTTGATTGATTGCTTTTACAGGTATCTTTTATGTTTAGTAGTTCGGTGTTATTATTCATAACTTAACTTTAGCATGGAAAATCATTGATTGTCTTGTTTATGATCATTACATTTATTAGTAAAACTATGGGCGATCGATTTCAGAGTGGGTAGATTCTAGACTTAAAATTTAGAATTTACCATGTTATAACCGGTTTTCAATTTTTAAAAAATGAAACCTACCCTGTTTGCTTTGGAACCTGTTTTGGAACTTACTTTGTTTTTCCGGTCCGATTCTAGGTCTACTCGAGAACCTGTCTTTCTTTTGTTCCTTTTTCTGGTTTCATTTTTTCAAACAAAATAATATGAGTAGCAATGAAATGATTCAAAGTAAAAAATGAATAATAAAAATCACTATTTGCCATAATCAACAATCCCTAAAATGAGCAATAGAAATTATTATCTATCAAAAACAACAATCCAAACTATAATAATAGTATGATCTAGGGATTTTTTTTAATATAAGCTAAAAATCAGTTCCAAAACCGATCCGATTTTCGGGTGGGTCTTCACTTGGAACTGGGAACCGGTTTGCAAACCGGTTTAAACAGGAACCGGTTTTTGAACCTGCTTTTCGGTTGATCCGATCCGGTTTCTGGATAAATCCAGTCTAGTTGCATACCCCTCCCTAGGTAAAATGATAGAGTAGTGACATCACTTGACGAACATATATTTCTACGTAGGAGTCGATTTCAAAAGAACGTGTAAGGAGCAAAAAGTGTTTAGAAGCAAATACTGTGTATATGTTAAAATACGCGTGGAGGATCACGATTTATCATTATTTTCTTTAATGTTATTTGGATTCTCTTTCTTTATTTACCTTTTTTTTTCCCGCATGATAATCACGATACCAAATCTATCTTTTAAGTTCAATTGAGCATGGGTCATTAATAACAAGGAATTCGTAAAGATCTATTTTCGTATAACTTCGTGCCATGAGAATTTATTGACCGAAAAATAACCGAATATCATACATTTAAAAGGAGTCTAATTATTTTTACCGGTTCGGTTAGACTCTACCAAAGACATTGTGAGTTCCATCAATGGTGTCAAACCAAGCGTAGAACTCTACTCTCGTGACATTTTTAGGGATAAGTGCATTGTAATACTAAAATTTTCAAAAAGAGCAATCAAGTCTTGAAATTTATCGACTTGTAAGTTGCAATCAAGTTTTTCTATTGATTGCACTTATTCTCGAAGTTTTAGAATTTGATTGCACTTTTATAATAAGTTTTAGTACTTCATTGCATTTTTTGAAAATTTTAAGACTCGATTATATTTCCGTGACAAATTTTAGTGCTTCGTTATAATTTTTTGAAAGTTTTAGGACTTGATTGCATCTTCGTGACAAGTTTTTAGACTTCCGGTACCACTTATCCCGCATTTTCATTATCAGGGCCTTTTCATATTGCCCCCTAAACTTTCGACGCAGTCTCATTTTTCGCCCCCTCTCGATTTTCATTTTCCACCTCTCCCCCGAACGTAAAAGGGATAACGATATAAACAGTCCCTGAACTTTGGTCCAATGTGCAATTTGGTCCATAAACTTTTAATTTGTTTAATGTAGTCCTTGAACTTTAAGCTAATGTTCAATGTGGTCCCTGAACTTTTAATTTGTTCAATGTCATCCCTGAACTTTTGGTACATGTTCAATTCAGTCCCTGAACTATATGAAAATGTTCAATGTAGTCCCCGAACTTGAATTAATGGAAAGGATCGCATCAACATTTTCATATAGTTCGAGGACTAATGAACATGTACTCAAAAGTTCAGAATGACATCAACAAATTAAAAGTTCAGGAATCACATCCACATTAAATTAAAGTTTAGGACTATATCAATAAATTAAAAGTTCGGGATCAAAATGCACGTTTGGCTAAAGTTCAGAAACTGTCTGTGTGATTTTCCCAACGTAAAATTTGCCTAGCCGAAACTCGTCACGTGACTCGCAGGCGAGGCGACACATCTCAAAGCATCAGAGGCTCCGCAGCAGCGGAACCCGCCTCAGCGCTCATGCTTTGTCTTCGCGTCTCGGACTCTCGGAAGCTTCCTCACGCGTTAAGCGAGCGACAGTCACTTCTCTGCAAAACCGAGCAGTTGGAGTTCGTCGAATGGTCCTGTAAGAAGAGAGGGTCGAGTCGAGAGAGAGAGAGAGAAGAGAACGAGGAGGCGAGAGGAGGATCGTGGGATGGGGGAGGATCCGGAGAAGAGGTTCCACTCGATCATGGACAAGCTGTTCCACTCTCCTCCCGCTACCCCGTCTTCCAGGTTCTTGCCCCACATGCCTACAAGCCTCACCGTTTGCCCTAATTCTCGCCTTTCCCGCTTTTTTCTTTCTTACGGCTTCGGGGGTCGAGCTTGGAATCGCTGCATAATCAATCGTATAGGAATGGAGATTTAGTCTTTCGCTTCTTTTTTGTTTTTTTTTTTGTTTCGTCTGCGAAGAAAAATGAAGATGGCGAAATCTCGTTCGGATAGAATTTACCCAGGTTGTCTTGTCCATCCTTGCACTTTACACCCTTTTTCTTTGCCGCGCCCGAATCGAATGCTTGAGGAAATAGGCGTTAAATGCGATGTGATTCATTAGTTGCTGCTGCTGCTGCTGCGTATTTGAATTGCAGGGTGCTTGAGTCGTGGGCGATTTGGTGTTTGAAATTTGGAATTTAGGGTGGCTTCGTATTTGTGCTTGTTCTCTGTACATTGGCAATGAGAGAAATTCTGAAATTCATTTGTGCTCTCGAGAAGGAGAGAGACGTCGCGTTTGTCCTCATTTCGTTTTTGGTTATAGTGAGAGTCGACAAGATTCTGATTTTCGATTGCCCGATTGTCAGTTCGCCTGGTTCGCAATCGTCGAGGGGAAGGAAGCGTCCAAATCCGGCTTCTGCATTAGCATTAGCATTAGTGGATCCCCAATCGGGAGTCGATGTGGAAAGCGAGGTTCAGGTTTCGCGGCCCCCAGCTGGATCGTCCCAAGCTCCAGAATGCAGACCGTGGGATCGTGGTGATCTTATGAGGAGATTGTCCACATTCAAGTCCATGACATGGTTCGCTAAACCTAAGGTTCTGAAGTGACATCTAGTTTTTCCATTGGCTGACAGTTTTGTGTTTTGCATCCGTTGAATCAAGTGTAACTGTTCTTATTGATGTTGCGCTCCTGAAGTGCTTGTCCTATGTGGGTCTTTGTGAGAAGTGACTTTCTGCTGTTTCTTGTAAGAAACTTTGTACAAGGCGAGAAGATTTGGTGGCTTACTGCTGTTCTTCTAAGAAACTTTGCATAAGTAGAGAAAATTTGATAGCTTTCCTTTTACTCTGTAATCTTTTCTCCTCTCGCAAAAGTTGACTATGCTTTTTCTTGCATTTTAGGCTGTAAGTGCTGTAAATTGTGCTAGAAGAGGCTGGGTTAATGTTGATATGGATATTATAGCATGTGAAGCATGTGGAGCACGGGTACTTTTTTCAACACCATCATCTTGGTCACGGGAGCAAGGTTTTGTTTTTTGTTTCTGTTCGCTTTTTAGTTTAGTTGAACCTAACAATTTGTGGCCTTGTATATTATCTCTCGGTACTTTCATCCATCGCAGTTGAGAAGGCAGCTCTGGTATTCAGCTTAAAGTTGGACAATGGGCATAAATTACTCTGCCCATGGACCAACAATGCCTGTGATGAATCTCTGGCTCAGTTTCCTCCCACACCACCTCCAGTTTTGGTTAATCAATTTAAGCATCGTTATATATCTCTTGTACAATTATCGGCGCTTCCCGTCATATCGTCCTCAGCTGTTAAATCGATGACAAGCCCTCAAATGGAAAATTTTCTTCGAGATTTTTCTATGTTGAAGTGTGGTAACGTGTCTCCTGGCTTGTCTTTGGCAAAATACACTGGAGATGGATATGATCAGGACTCTGCTATCCTGTATTACCAGGTCAGAGTCATTCCCTTCTTATTTTGTTCTTTCTATTTCGGGGAAGGGAGAAGGGGGTTTGAGTGTTATTGTTGTGTCTAGATTATATTTGGTGTACTCCTTTTGGCTCAGTAACTTTATTGCTAATTCCTTGCTAGCTGTTTCTCTCTCTATCTGTGCATGTGTGTACTTTTGATAGTAACTACTTCTCCCAATCGACATGCAGGCAATGAAACTCATAAGTTTATGTGGCTGGGAGCCTCGCTCATTGCCGTACATGGTTATCGGCAAGGACACCAATATTTCGGATTCACCATGTAGAATTTCCAATAAAGAGAGCACACTTATCTGTATTGATTCTACAGGGAAAGATAATACTGCAGGGGCAAATGGAAACGATAGAAATTCAAAAGACTCATTATCCGATCCTCAATCTGTGGTTCTGGAATGCAAACTTTGTGGTGCCAGCGTTGGATTGTGGGCTTTCTCCGCAGTACCTCGACCCTTGGAGATATTAAGACTGGTTGGGTTTGCGGAACTTGATGATGGGAAGAATTCCAGTACCCATGAATCGGTCCAAGGAGACCAGACTGATATTAGGACCAGTGTCTTGACCACAACATCAAATAGCCAAACTCCTTCAAATGAGATATCGTCAAACTTGAACTTGAGTATTGCAGGGGGTCCACCTCCAACACAGCAGAACTTCAAAGCTACAATTTCTTTGCCTATAATTGGCAGGAGTATTATTGCTCGGTTGTCTTCTGATTCTGATCTTAGAGGTCGCCTATATTCTGTTCGAGCTGAGAATCAGTCGCATTTAGAGAGAACAACTTTGTGTGAGAAAAATAATGAAAGCGCAGAAGAGACCGATAGGTGTACAAGTGATAAGCAGCCTCCTTTGAATCCTGACATTTCTGTAACAGGTGGAATTGATGCCCAAGGAACGTCAGAATCAGTTACTTTGTGCAGTCAAGAAGTTCCATTGGTTCCCCATGCTGAGAACTATGGAGAAGAACAGACATGCTTTAAAGTGCAAACTCAATTTTCCACCGAATCTAGTTGCCAGGAAGGGCATGGAGATGATAATGAAAATGGAGTTCATGCAAATAAAGAATTAGTAGCCTCTACTGCAGGTAAATGATATTCTCTCTTGTTCTCTTAGCTTTCAGACTGTATTGCTGGGAGATGAGCTTTTCTGTGTTTCGAAAAGATTAAAAACTGCATTATCACATTTGTTTTGTAATTAAAATAATGCTAACTCATGGAAAAGTTTCCCCATCTGCACTTGCTTTTGGAATGTATAGGCAAAAAAGTTGATGGATCATCAGACAGTTCTAACTCATGGTGTATCAAAATCATCGTGTTTAAACTGTTGTGGTCTTATTCAGCCAAAGAATGGCTGTAGTCATGCTTGAGAATGAATGAAAAAGTATCCTGGAGTCCACGGGTTGCAAAAAAAGGAATGTGCATGTGCATAGATAGACTGCTAAAAAAAAGGAATAATTTTAAATGGATGTATTTAAGTGTGTGTACCATTAGGTCTTGATTGGGAAAGGGTTCCTCTTCTTGGTAGGTCATACCTGGTGGTGAATTTGTAACGCTTCAGGTTCTAATGATGGTAGCAGGATCACATAGATAATTTGATTGAAGGTTTACTTGCTGTGGTGCATGATAATTTGATTTGATTGGTTCTTCCTGTTTAAGGATGCCAGTATACAGACTGCGGTTCTTGTACGCCTGACCGTCAATTTTGACAAAACAAGGTCAATGCATGATGATTTATGAAGCTCAACCACATCAGATTGGCTAACTTATGGCATAGTTGGTGTGACCTATAAGAAATTTGGGTGGAATTTACAGCTTCACCAGATTTTAATAAGTCTTTTCTGTGCAAAAGAATTGGTACGAGTTTTTCAGTTTCAATTTTGGGAAAATGAAGTGAAAAGACTCTTCGCAAATATTCGTCTGTCGACATTTTCATTCTGCGTGTTGATTAATACATTCTCATTCAAGTGACTTCTGCATTGTCTTAGTTGATGCTTGATTCTATGTCAATAGTAAGGATAAAGGAATATGGACAGTCTTTTCTATTCTTTGGGATAGGCAAATAGAAATTCACTGTAGGGCACCAAGGGAGAGCAAACCCCAAGTGGAACCCTGTAGGTTTCCTGGTACATCTCTCTACAAGCACTTTGGATTTCCTCCTTTTGACTCAAGTTACTGAGGTGTAAGTTGTGCAACATGTAACTTGATCAGGTGGAGATTAGAACTTACCTCAACAAAAGCATGACTGATAGCCTGTGCTACTAATCATGTGTATGGGGTATAAAATTGACCCTATTAAGTGCTTAATCTCCACCAATTACAAACTATGTTCTAGGCTAAAAGCCTTTTCAGATAATTAACTGTTCTTTTGCGGTCTGATTTGTCTAAATGGTAGATGCTTTCGATTGATTTTCTATCAAAGAATCCCGTTGAAGGTTGAACTAGATCATGTAGAGATTAAAACGAGAGGCACTGATAAGGTGGATATTTATATGATTTGCATTATTTTTGTGATCACAGTAGATGGTGACCTGTAGAAAATTTTTCGTGCTACAGTACGACAGCCAATTGATGCATCTTGTGTAACTTTGTGCCATGGAGGTGTTTGTGTGTGTAGCTAATCAGAACAACATTGTAGATGCAAAGGTTCTTCTAAGCACTTGAGAGTGTATCTGAGAAGCCTGATGGAGAGATAACACGTGTCCAGCAACTAACTCGCATTTACATTTCCTTTAAATTTTGTAAAGTGCTGTTTCCCAGGGTCAGGTTGAGAATAATGACTGATGATCTTAGGTATACGATTGTGCTAGCCTTTTATGTTCTGGTGCCATCTGGGGAAGCATGATTGGCAAGTTTGATTAAGAATTGTGTAATTTAGCTGAACTCACTTAGATTGGTAGTGCAACAGGGTCATCCAGATACTGAAGAATTTCATTTTTTACCATTACTATAGAACAAAATCTGTGGCGATCTCAAGCCATCAGTATCTTCAAGATTATTTACCTTCTGGTTAGGGGAGATAATGGAAATGCATTGCAGGGTTACTCTACTGTTCTCTGACTTGCAATCTTTTCTTCCTTTATGAAATATGAAACAACTGCCCTGTTGTTAGTCTTATTACTCTATGACAGTGAGCATCTGTGTCATAATCTTGATTTCCTTCCTACTACCTCACTTGATCGTTGGACTCTTTTCATCGGTTCTTCGTTGTTATCTCAGAAAAGATTACCAAGCACCAATCACTGGATGAAGGCATGCAGTTTGATCCACTCAGACAGCATAGACATTTTTGTCCATGGATTTCATCAACTGGTAGTGCTATGCCGGGATGGCAACACACTCTATCCGCCTTAAACCGTGAAAAGGATGATTCTAATTCTGTAACTACAAGATCTCCTTCATCGGATTCCTTTATTAAGGTACTTATGACTACTATTGCTCTACTATAAAACTTTCTGTGGTTTAACTTTTTGCAAGAAGGTCAAGTGGTAATATTGTGCACCTTTCTAAGCTTTTGAAAACATCTCTCTCTCTCTCTCTCTCGCGCGCGCGCGCGCACACACACTCTAACAAAGAAACAACCAGAAGAGCTAACTGGAATTCAGGTAGTAAAGGACAGGGTCAAGTGCCCATTGCTTATGTTACTAAACGGGGGTCCTGATCATCTGGGAGCTGTAATCTCTACAAGCTTAATTTCCAATTCTGTGTTTCTGATAATGTTCATCATGTTTCTTATTTATTTGTGCAGGTGGATGATCCAGTCACCTCAGTGAGGAGGCTTTTCACATCAAAACGAATGAAGTCCACTCATGGTTCAAGCTAAGTCCTGAGCATTGGCAGATCAATTTTGGAAGATTATATGGTGAGGACGGAGTGCCGTCAATCCATGGGTTAATTTCGGGAAGCATCAGCAGGTCACTCCAGAAAGGTTCTTATCATTTCTTATGCATGCTCAAAATTGGAGGTGCTGCTCTTGGCAAACATAGATGAAATGCTTGCTGAATATCATTTCTTGGTCTAGCCCAAAGTCAAATTGAGTGCTTAAATGTCTTTACCTTAGCCCTGTATTTTTGTGCTTTTAATTTTTTCGGCTATTAAAGTAGCAAAAGAAAATATTCTTTTACACGAGTGAACTTTCGCCTCTAGAAAAAAGTGCGGGTGACAAAAAATTTTGCTACTTGCGTTCCTCACTCCAGCAGACCACAGTTTGTGACTTGCACCTTGGAGTATGGCCGGTTGAAGCCTCTTTCTGCTACAACAGCCCGTTTATCTCCGATCAGCTTGGCAACCCTGCCAACCAATTTGAAGCATTGTCATCCTAGTAAAGCATACCTCTTAATGAATTTGACTTGAGTAAACCAAATCAGCGCATCAAGTTCTTACTCAGGCATCAGGTAGTGATTATTTTAGGAGTGTCTTATGTGCTTGCACTTTAAGTCAACATGCCCTACTTCTGAAATCTAACTTCTACTGATTGTCTCCAAATGAAAAGAACAAAATCTTCCTCCGTGAAGAACTCACCTGAAATAAGGAGAGCTGGTATTTTCTTGCACAGTTTTCACCTGGCCTATCCTTTTAACAACCTCCATACCCTCCAAAACTCTGCCAACCACTAGAGCCGAAGCATCAAGTTCTGGTGAGTCCTTAATGGACATCACAAACTCGGTCCCATTTGGTTCGATTCCAACCTCCTCTTCGTTGATCTCTAGCTTCCCCTTCCTCGCGACCAACTTCAACTTTGGAGGTGGTTTCGATGGATCCCTCACAATTATTCCTATTGTTCCAGCCAAATTCTTGGTCCCCAGACATTTACCATTCTCTCTCTCCCACTCTTGCACCAAACTCGGGTTTGTCAAATCACTGCCTGTTCTCTTTGCGATCTCAGCATCCACACCATATGATCTCACCCCGCCATGTTGTACATAGCTGGGCATGATCTTTACGAACTCTTTCCGTCTGTATGTGATCCCCGCAGCTCCACTGACGAGGTTGCTGAATCTTGCTGTTCCCACGGGGGCATCGTCTCCGTACAACCCGATGACAATCCGTCCTGCTGGGTCCCCATCGATGGATATGTCGAGAAATGCTTTCTTTGTTGGGACTTTGTTGGTGCAGCCTGTGTTGCCACTGCTCTGGTTCTCTGGTTTCTCATCAATAGTGTTGGTCTCTGCCTCTGGTGGGATTTCTTCTGCTAGTGCCTTGGTGGGGTTGAGTGGTTGGAGTGTCTGAGAGCCCAAGAGAAGCAGTAAAGAAGAGTTAGCACATAAAGCAAGGTCTCTGCGCGAGAGCTTGAGATGGGTTTGCTTTGTGATTGGAGGAGATGGAGCAATGAGAGTGTTTTGGATTTGACGTAAGGTGGGGGAATGAAGAAGTTGAGAGGAGGACGGAAGCACTTTTGGCTTGTGGAGCATCTTTACTGATTGTAATTTGCAATCTAGGGGTGTCTCAATCTCTCTAGGCAAATTTGGGCAAGTTTTTTTGATTCCTATGAGGTTGAAAAGGTTGTGGATAAGAAAAAGGATGAGAAGCCAATCAAATGCTCCAATCTGCGTCTATTGTGGGCCGCAAAATACGTTCATGGCCATAGAGCATTCCATCTCCGGACTCTTGAAAAGAAAATTTAGCCAAGCAAACTTATGGTCAGCAAGCGAAGTGTAAAGAGAGCCTTCACTCAGAATCTCACGAGATTGCCGAAAGTGGAAAGACTCCAATAGTTTTCGCCTGGCGAACCCTTTCTTACCTAGTTTTGTAGAAAGTTTGCCCCCGTGGATTTGCAATGAAAGTCCTAGTAAGTGTGCTCACATAGGTTTAACTCACCTTAGCAAACAGACGCAGTAAAGAAATCACTCGAGCTCGTCCCGTTTCCACAAATCAGGTGAGCTCAATCCAACGCTTTCATACCAAACATTTTAATCCAGTTAGACAACTCCTCACAAATGGTAATCGCAATACCAATATCAAGCAATCCCTATATTGCCTGCCAAATTCACCACCAAAATCTCAACCAAATGGAGCTTAACATGGCTCACTGACCTAACGGAAAGATGCCCAATAGATGCACTTTTAACCAAGTCTAGGTTTTCTAAACTGCATGCTTCTGCGCTCCACGTGTCGCTTTGCATGTCTTCCCTCCCAACAAAGTAGCATCAACTCAACACCTGTCTCCCAAAACCCTAACTCTTCCGCTATAGCCCTTCAACACTTTTTGACTCACCCAGCCACTGATTTCACGCATCTTCACCTCCTTGAGCTCCTAATATCATCCACTCAGATCAATGGCTGATCGTCACTCCAGCCCAGCCCAAGTCCAGAGAGCCCCAAGACCCCCTGCCGCCGCTCCGGCCGCCATCCCTGGCGGTGACTTCCTCCAGAAGCTCCACGAGAATGCGCCGAACTCCGCCCAACTCCTAGGCTTCCTCAGCCTCCTCGTCTCTGGAGGCATCTTGGTCCTCCTCACCGGCCTCACGGTGACCGGCATCGTGATTGGCCTGATTCTGTTCACGCCTATCATCATCATCTCAAGCCCAATATGGGTCCCGCTCGGCGTGGCCCTGTTCGTGACGGCCGTGGGGTTGTTGTCCGTCTGCGGGTTCGGCATCACGGCCTTGGCCGGATTGTCGTGGCTGTACAGGTACTTCCGCGGGTTCCACCCGCCCGGGTCGGACCGGGCCGACTACGCGCGGAACCGGATCTATGACACGGCCCGCCACGTGAAGGACTATGCCAGAGAGTATGGTGGGTATTTGCATAGCAAGTTGAAAGATGTGGCTCCCGGGGCATGAGCACGTGAGGAGAGAGAGAGAGAGAGAGAGAGTGGGACTATATATATTTGGAATTTGATGGAGTGGCAATCTTAGACTTTTGTTATAGTTCATTTCTATCATCACTTTTGCATTTTCAGCTTCCTTAAGTTCGCTTTGGCTTTGGTGTTTGTACGAATTTTTGTCCTCTTTTGAGGTTCTCTTCTCCTTTTCACTTTATATGGAAATGCATAATGTTGGATGATGGTCCCACAATTCGTGTAATTGTGAACTGGCTAATAATTTGGCTTTGTTCAAGCTTGAGATTTTCTTTATTGTGAATATAGAGTAGCTTCTCCTTTTCCTTTTGGAGTGGCATTAGTGATTACTTATGCTTTGTGATTTGTATTTTTATTTATGACATGCTAAAGCCTTAAATCTTCAATTATTTTCAATATTGATTGAAAATTGTTCTTTGCATTCAACCCTGGGACCATTTCTAAACCAGAACCATTAGATTCAAATATCTATTTCTCTATACATATAGCATAGGATTTAGTTTGGAGGGTTGGTGGCTAGGTCTGTCTTGGAGTAGGTTAATATATGAAGTAGATGCCTCAAAAGCTTATATATCATGACACGTAATCAATGGCACATGATATTAGGTGGATCTTATCTGTGTAGAGAAAGGGGCTCTGACTGAACATAACACCACATTTTCAAATAAACTAAAAATGCAACACACTCCAAAAAAAGAGAACAGCAAAAAAGAAAACTGGGGTAGTGATAGCTGAAATGTTAGCCAAGAAGGAGAAACTTCATTAGCTGAATAGTTGTGGGTGGTGATTTTGAGATTGACACCTTAATCCTATTGGATTCAAAGCTTGGGAGAGTTTTGGGGTTTTCATTTCCTTCCTAGCCTTTCCATACAAACAAAAATGCATGAAATAACACTGACAGCAACGAATATTACAGATTGTTCATGGAAACTATTCAATAAACATAAGCAAAGTCGCTGAAAAAAAGAGAGAAAAGATAATAAGTTATTGGTGACCATGTCCTTCTATGTAAATGCATTTGTGAGGTAGCCCGGCAAGGGACTCGCCAGGTGGCGCGGCGATCTCGGCGGCAGTTGGTCCAGCCTGTTGCCATTCTCATCGTAGTAAATTACGCCGGAGAAGTTCAGCGGCTGACATCGATCCCCCATCAGGATCGTCCTCTGCCACACCCCTCCGTCTCCGGGGACCTCCTCACCGTCATCTCTTTTGTCGTAGACCGCCTTTTTCTTGTTTCTTCCAGTGATTTTCTTGATGAAGACCTGTTTGCCGGGACTCCTTAATGGTAATTTTGGCATGAATCTGGAACTCTTTTGCTTGGCTTTGATGAGCTTTCTTGAGATTTGGCTCGCTTTCTTGGCGCACAGGGCCATGAAGGCCGACATGGACACGAGCAAGCTGAGTGACAGCCGCTTCGCCGAGCTCGAGCTGTGGTGGCCTTGTGACGCATGGGCCATGGTTTGAGAGAAATGGAAGGAAGATTGGAATGCTTGTGAGTTTAAAAATATGAGTGATGTGTTTGTGCGCACGTATTTTATACAAGTTGCTGGTAGTTGGTACCTAGTTTGGGTCACCGGTTATAGCCGGTGGTTTCAAACACTTTGCTGTTTCTTTCTCATTCTCATACTTTCTCTCTTTTTCTATATCTGGGCTTCAAGTCAAGAGTCTTAATTTATATTATTCCTCTCATAATGTTTCTTCTGGTGAGGCTGTATTAATAATTTATTTTGGGGAGATGTTAGGAAACTTCGGTGAGTTGAATATCTCTCGAGCTTATCATTCAGAAGCTCATTTGAATCGTTGAATTTGGCTTAACTTCTAAACTGTGATGAGCTGGTTCATGATGATGGGGGGTCATCATTGATCTATTTTACAAGGTTATATGTTTCAGCATGAAGCTGAACCGAACTTTGAAGTGCTGAGAAGATAGTACTTTGTCTTTGGGCAGATCTTATGTTGCTTTCTTGATGCCATTGGATGTGCAAAGTCATGACGAGAAGTAAAAAAGTTAAGGGAGAGCAGTAAAGGGCAATTGTTGTGCTGTCATTTCACTTTTAAGTAAGTAACCATCTTGAAATATGTATATGCTCGGTATACTGAGATTTATATTGCCAATTTATGTCAATATACCAAGATTGGTCACAAAACTAGTAGCTATTCTTAGTACACCGAGCAGTATACGAATGCAGGGATATTATAAGGTCGGCTCCGCACACTCATACGGTTAGTACGGTTTGTGCCGGCTGATTTGGTTAGCACAGTAAAATAACTTAAATGGGCACTTTCTTAATGTGGAATTAAAACATTTAATATATCTTTTCTTGTCCAAACTGGCAAGGCGATTGTCATCTTCAACGTACGGACTATGAGCTGTGACATTTATCAGAGGGGGATGGAAGGAGTAGTTGGGTCAGTGAATGAAGGCCTCCATGTTCTATAAAGCCTTATCCATTCTTTTTCATCAAATTTGGGTAGTGGGTACAGTTCAATTTGTGGCTGAGTTGCGAACTTTAGGTTTTTGGGACCACCCTTATCTCATCTGCCTTTCTTTCGCTCATTTATCTTTCCCACTGACAGAGATCATCTCCAAAAAGCTTGATCCGACTTTGTCTTCTACCCGGGGACGCTTGGTGGTAGCTTCTTGTTTCCTGATCTTTATAGCTGCTAAGGGTCTGTTTAGTAACGTTTCTATTTTTTTATTTTTCTGTTCTTTTGTTCTCCGGAACAGAAAAAGAACAGAAATCCGTTTAGTAAAAAAAATCTATTTTTTTGTTTCTGGAACAAAAAAGTGTTCTGAAATAGATTTGGAACAGAAACAAGAAGCAAAAAAAATCTGCTTCTTGTTTCTGGAACAAGAAAAAAGAAACGATTTTTTTTTTAGAATCCTCTAAAAACAAGAAACAATCCATCGGCCGCAACCCGCCTACCGCCGCCTCTCGCTGTCCTTCGCCGCCACCGATCGCCCGCCTTCCGCCGCCGCCCGCCTCCCACTCACTGGCCGCCTTGTCGTCGACCACTATTCTCCGCCGCTCGACTTTTGTCCACCCGCCACTGGCCGCCGTCCTCCACAGCTGGCCGCCGTGCTCCATCGTCCGACGCCGGCCGCCACCCGGCGCTAGCCGCCTTCCCCCGCCAACCACCTGACGCCGGTGATCACCCACCATCGGTCGCCGTCCTCTGCCGCCGCCGGCCACCCACCATCGGCTGCCATCCTCCATCGCTGGCCATTGTGCTCCACCGCCCGACGCCGACCACCACTCGGCACTAGCTGCCCTCGGCCACTGGCCACCTGACGCCGGCGGTCACCCACCATCGGCCGCCATCCTTCGCCACCGGCTGCCGTGCTCCATCGACCGACGATGGCCACCCTCCGCCGCTGCCCCCCGCTACCGTCACTGCCGCCCGACGCCACCGTGCTCCGCTGCTGACCGCCGTGCTCCATTGCCTCCCGCCGCCGGCCGCCATCCTCTGCTGCCGCCGACCACCGTCCTCCGCCCCCCACTGCCACCCGCCGTCCTCCGCCGGTAGCCCAAAAAGGAGAAACTCGTCCATGGAATAGAAATGGATCATTCGCGCCCTAAACGCGTTTCTATTTTTTTTCTATTCCAGGAATAGAAATTTTGTGCAGTTACTAAACGTTATTTTTTGCTCAGAAACTGTTCCAAGAAATAGAAATAGAAAAAACTATTTCTGATCAGAAATTATTTCTAAGAACAGAAACGTTGCTATGCAGACCCTAAGGGCCTACCAAACAGTGAAAATTTCTGTTCTTTTGCTCCCAGAAATAGTTTGGGAACAGAAATGCGTTTGGTAAACTTTTTGTTCCTGGGCACATTTTTTTCTTTTTTTTGTTTTCTTCTTTTTGTGTTGCTCTTCTTGGGTTGTGGCCCGTCGCCGGCGACCGGCCACAGCCCAGGGCCGCGAGGGCATCACGGCCCTCGCCGGCCGCCGGCGGAGGCGAGGGTCCCCCTTGCCGGTGAGGGCGAGGGCCGGGACCCTCGTCGTCGGTCATGGCGAGGTCGGCCTCGCCAGACGGCGAGGCCGAGCCTCGCCGTGGGTCGCGACGGTGAGGTCGCCTCGCCCGGATCCGGCGAGGCCGAGCCTCGCCGACCTCGCCGTCGCGACCGATGGCGAGGTCGGCTTCGCCGTGGGTCGCGATGGCGAGGCTCGGCCTCGCCAGATCCGGGCGAGGCCGAGCCTCGCCGTCGCGACCCACGGCGAGGCTCGGCCTCCGCGATATGGGCGAGGCCGACCTCGCCCGATCCGGGCGAGGCCGACCTCGCCATGACCGACGGCGAGCCGCCCGCCTAGGCGGCGAGGGTCTAGCCTCGCCCTCGCCCTCGCCGGCAAGGGGACCCTCGCCTCCGCCGGCGGCCGGCGAGGGCCGTGACGCCTTGCGGCCTCAGGGCCGTGGCCGGTCGTTCGGCGACGGCCATGGCCAAGGAAGAGAATGGGTGGAAAGAAAAAAAAAATTAAACAATTCAAAATATGATTAAAATATTATTAATAAAAAGAAAATTTGTGTAGTTATCAAACGCATTTCTGTTCTTTTCTATCCCGAGCATAGAAATTTTGGACAGTTACCAAACACCTTCAAATGCTTAGAAATTGTTTCCGGACACAGAATAAAAAAAAACCATTTCTGAGTAGAAATAGTTCCCCGGCATAGAAACATTGTCATGCGCACCCTAACACTACTTTTTTCAAGAATCTGCTCATCTAAACATAAGTGTTGCGACCGCCCATGCTGGCGCTCGTTACATGAGCTTATTATATAAAAATTGCAGTATAACACAGTTACAGTACAGTCACAACCATTGCCGTTAAGGATGAAGCGATCGAACCTACCAAGCGTTGCTTAGGGTGCGCATGAATACCATTCTGTACTCGGGAACTATTTCTGAATAGAAATGATTTTTTTTTATTCTGTGCCCGGAAACAATTTCTGAGTATTTGAAGGCGTTTGATAAACTGTCCAAAATTTCTATTCCTAGAGTAGAAAAGAACAGAAATGTGTTTGGTAACTACACAAAATTTCTGTTCCCAAATAATATTTTAATAATATTTTGAATTGTTTAATTTTTTTTTCTACGGAACCCATAGGCGGCCTCGCCTAGATCCGGGCGAGGCCGAGCCTCGCCGTCGGTCGCGACGGCGAGGTCGGCTCGCCCGGAGACGGCGAGGCTCGGCCTCGCCCGGCGAGGCCGAGCCTCGCAGCTGGGTCGCGACGGCGAGGTCGGCCTCGCCGTCGCGACCCACGGCGACGTCGGCCGCGCAGTGGTCGCGACGGCGAGGCTCGGCCTCGCTAGATTTGGGCGAGGCCGAGCCTCGCTGCCTCTGGGCGAGCCGCCTCGCCTGTGGCGAGAGTCCAGCCTCGCCCTCGCCGGCGAGAGCCGTGACGCCCTCGCCGGCCACTGGGTCGTGGCCGGTCAGCGGCCGGCCCGGTGGAAGAACAACACAAAAATAAGAAAAGAAAAAAACGATTCTCAAAATTGTGCCGAGAAACAAGAAACAACTTTTTTTACTTCTTGTTTCTCTTCCAAAATGTTTCTCGGCACAAATTTTTGAAAAAATGTGCCCGGGAACAAAAAGTTTACCAAACGCATTTCTGTTCCCAAATTATTTCTGGGAACAAAATAACAGAAATTTTCACTATTTGGCACGTTACCAAATGGGCCCTTACTCTTAAGTTTTTCATCTGCGTTTTCGGGGTTTCAGTAAAACCGTAAAAATGAACGCTTCAAAGTGCAAAATATGAGTGAATATGAATATCATGTTGATCGAAAATCAAGCACAGCATCGCCAAGAAGGGAGAGGGCATCACATTTCCTTCAAGTTTTTCCAGGCTTAGCGTTCCTTTATTGTCCTTTTCCATCCATATGTGAGTTTCAAATCCTGATAATTCAGTGCGAAGAAAAGTTGATACTGATCTTCGACCGCCAAGCAGTATGTGGGGATCGATCAAAGAACAGCCAAAAGAGGATGTCCACCCGCCCCAAGTCAGATCAACTGGTGGTAATTGGTTCTCTTTCAGAGAAAAACAAGAAGATGAAAGTGTGAGTCATACTAAGCGGAAGTTTAAACCTTCCTGTTCCACGTAAACCGCCGGAATGTAGCTTCGCTATCATACATTTTTAGAAGCGTTGGGGGGTGTCTGCGTGCAGATTTCCCGTGTACGGTACAGTTACTCTATTCAATACAGTTTGTTTACTGGCCAACATGGAACCTGGGGCTGAGCTCCCAGAGTCACAGGACACAGGAGATTGGCATATAAAGGCTAAAGGCAAGTCAAAATGGAACTCGTTCGGTTTTTCTTTTCGTGTATACATGCTGATTTCATGTCGACAGGAACTTATCTAGTCATTTTTAATAAGAAAACCAAAGCATGCACCGCTGGCATAAAGAGAGTTTTTTCTCGTGCGGTCTTATCAACTCTTGACTTAAGGGTCAATAGAGAGCAAGTCGTTAAAACCCTCAAAACAGAAGACGAGCAACATTACATAGTCTACCAAGTGTAAAATTTTTGTTACACTACCGGTGTTTGATATAATTGGTCAATTTAATATAGGTTTTTATTAGTGATAAGGTTTTAGGCATGAGACTTGGAGATACAAATAAAATTAAGCC